CTTGACCTCAAGTCGTGATAGTTCCACTGCTAAAACCAAAGGATCAGAATCCCAGGAGTCACCCTTGGTGTTGTTCATTGGAAATACAGGAGATATGGCAGTCTCATCATGCAGTGGATATCCTCAATGTGGATCTCGAGCTGGATGAGCTAGGGAACTGAAATGGTGGATGACTTGATGTGACGCATCTGTTCTGTCGTGACTTGAGGTCAAGCGACAGGGGAATATCTGAAAGTGGGGGGCGTTCGACTGGTTCTCACCGAAGCGATGGTGAGCGAGGCTCAAACCTAAGGCTAGGGACAAGAAATGTATTAGTTAGTGAAGTAAGTAAGAATACAACTGGGGGCTTACTGACCTAGGGACAAGAGGTCGAAACTGAGGTCCCTAGGGCAGCAGAGGCCGGCTTATATACATGGTGGGATAAGGGCAGGCTGTGCACATTGGTCCGTGCGCAGCTGGTCCATGCGCAGCATGCCGATGCGGCCCCGGGGGCCGGTGAGTCAGAGCGGCTGTGTCAGCGGAGCCCGAGCTGTGCCGTGCGCTGCCGCCCCATCTAATCTAATCGTACAGTAGATAGCGACGCGTCCATATCGGGCATGTAGTACAGAGGTCGCAGGTTCAAGCCCGCGAAAAGGAAAAAATTAAAAAACGGCTAGACGCCGTGCCAACTCGTGACATTACCCCCCCCCTCAATAGCGCATGACCTCATGCGAGGCGCCCTTGCCCATCTCCCACCTGGAGCGGCAGCGTGCTTCAGTCAATGGCGAAGGCATCGGCTGGAAGTTGAGACCACCAAATGTAGCAGCATTGAGGCAGCGAGGGGCGTTTGGATTCTTCCGGTGGAAGTCGGCTATGAGGGCCGGCGCATTGGCAACGTTGCGCGCTGGTTCCCATGACGTATGCGAGTCGTCATAACCCTGCCACTTGACGAGGTACTGCAGCTGACGCCAGAAGATCCGCAAATCTTTGATCCGCTCAACCTTGTACTCCTCGTTGCCTTCAACCTCGATCGCAGGCAGCTCCTCCGGCTCCCGGCCCGGAATCTTGCTACATGTGTACTTGCTAAGCAAGGAGACATGGAACACTGGGTGCACTGGCACCAACTTCAGCAGAACCAACTCGTAATCCAAGTTTCCAAGCTTTCGCCGCATGGCATAAGGCCCGAGGCGCTTGGGACTGAGCTTCTTGCTCGGCTGTTTTAGCTTAAGGTTCCGGGCATCAAGCCAGACGTTGTCCCCCGGTGCAAAGACCGGTGCCTCCTGCACGTGCTTGTTGTAGTACACCTTCATGCACTCGGCTGACAGCTCAAGCACAGAGCACGTATTGTCACAAATCTCCTTCAGGATCTTCAGCCAATCGGTGGTAGCAGGCATCGTGGACATTGGATTGATCCGAACCTGGATCTCAGGATTGTACCCTTGATGCAGGAAGAAAGGGGAATGCCCGGTCGCGGAGTGAACTCGGTTGTTCAGTGCGAATTCCGCGAGCGGCAACTGCTTCGCCCAATCATCCTGCAGGTACTGCTCAATCTCCTGATTCCAGCGCTCAGTCTGACCGTCTGTCTGAGGGTGGAACGCTGTAGACAGCGCCGGCTCGATCCCTAGTCCCTTGTACACCGCATGGAGATATTTCGAAGCGAACTGGGGACCTCGGTCTGATATGACCTTGGCCGGGGCCCCATGATGCTTGAACACATCGCGGATGTACAGGTCTGCCGCACCTTCTGCCGTCAGGGTCTCATGACAGGCCGAGAAGTGGACCTGCTTGGTAAAGCGGTCAGTGGTGACCAGGATCGAGTCGAACCCATCAGACTTCGGCAAGCCAACGATCATATTGGTCGTGATGATCTGCCACGGGCGCTCAGGGATCTCAGTCGGCTTCAGCGGACCCTGGGGTTTAGCTGGGAATGTCTTGGTACAGTTGCACACATCGCAGGTGCTTACGTACTCATTGACAAATTTGGACATCCCAGGCCACCAGTAGTTCCATGACACGAGCTCCAGGGTTTTGGCACGACCGCCGTGACCGGCGATCGGCGAGTCATGGTGGATCTTGACTATATCCCGCCGGAGCTCTGCGTTCTTTGGGACATATACACATCCATGGAACAACAGAAGCCCTTGTTCGGCATTCCACTCCTCAAAGCCCCTTTGCAGCCGTGGTGGCCCGAGGTCCTGCACCTTTTCGAGTGCCTCAGCCACCTCCCGATCCTTCTCTGAACATTCCCTGATGCGCTTTAGAAGCGACTGATCGGTCGTTACCGAGGCATGACCGCGCCTGGTGGAGGCGATGCGAAAGCCATCCGGCTTGAGAACCACCTGATCGGTGTTATCGTCCTCATCGCCGATCTGATGGTCTGACTGACGCGACAGGGCATCAGCTTTTCCATTGGACGTCCCAGCCTTGTGCGTGATGCGGAAGTCGAAGCGAGCTAAGAACAGCGACCAGCGTGCTTGGCGACACATGAGGTGCTGGAACGTGCGCCAGTACTCGAGGTTCTTGTGATCGGTGACGATCTCGAACTGATTGGGTAACCCTTCGAGGTAGTGGCACCAATCATCTAGTGCTTCGATGATTGCAAGCGTCTCCTTATCGTAGATCTCGTAGTTCCGCTGGGCCGGATCCATCGCATGGGATCTGAAGGCGATGGGGTGCCATTTGCCATCATCCTGCTTCTGCATCAATACGCCACCAGTGGCGTACCCCGAGGCGTCGACTTCAATGCGCGTTTCCCGATTAGGGTCATACAGCGCTAAGACTGGAGTCGTTGCAAAGAGCCGCTTGAGCTCATCGAAGGCATGTTGCTCCTCTTCGCCCCAATGCCATGGGTCATTCCCTGTGAGCCGGTCGAGTGGTCACGAGATCTTGGCGAAGTCCTTAATGAAGCGGCGGTAGAAGTTGGAGAACCCCCGGAACTTCTGAATGTCCTTCTTGTTCCAGGGTACCGGCCACTCATTGATTCCTTTCAGCTTTGCGGGATCCATCGCCACCTCATCGCCACCGAACACATAGCCGACGTAGTCGACTTTGGGAACGTCCCACTCGCACTTCTCAGGCTTCAGGAACAGATCGTTGTCCTGAAGGTGACGCAGAACCTCGCGTGTGACCTTTTCATGCTCCTCTTTGTTGGTGGAGAAGATGAGTATGTCATCTAGGTACACAAGGATCTTGCCGCCGATGATGAGATCGTGGAAGATCTCATTCATCATGGCCTGGAAGGTCGCGGGGGAATTAGTGAGGCCCAAAAACATCACCAGGGGTTCATATAGTCCCCGGTTAGTTACGAAGGCCGCCTTCCACTCGTCACCGGCTTTGATCCGGACGTTGTTGTATCCCCATCAGACATCGAACTTCGTAAAGAGCGTAGCGCCACAGAGCTTGTCCACCATTTCGGCGATCAACGGCAAGGGATAACGATTTTTGACCGTGATCGCGTTCAATCGGCGGTAGTCCTGCACGGGTCGAAGCGTCCCTTCCTTCTTTTTGATGAAGAAGAAGGGGGACGAGATGGGCGACTTCGATTCCCGTATGTAACCCTTCGCTAGTTGCTCCTTGAGGAACTTGTCAAGCTCCTCCTGCTCGTTGTTCGACAGGGGGTACACCTTCGAATGGAATGTCGAATAGCCGGGCATGAGTTCGATTGCATGGTCATATGGCTTCCTTTCGGGTAACCGTTCTGATGCTTCCTTGGAGAAAACATTCAGGAACTCGTGGTACTGTTTAGGTACCAACTCTTCGGCGGTCTTAACGACCTTCTTTTTGATCTCCTCCTCAGCGAACAGCTGGGAGTACGTATGTCCTGCTGCGACGAACAGCTGAGGAGCACCGGGAAGCGTGATGCCTTGCTCCCAGGCTTCGATCAAATCGGCTTTGTCCCACTCAACCTCCACCAGATCTTCTTCGGGTTCGAAGTCCGGGAGTACCTTACTCCGGCAAGCGCCTATGACCGACCGTTTGGACTTCGGCGAACGTCTGCGTGCCGTGGGCCTGACCCCCGTATCACGCGCAGTCACTGCTTGCTCCATCCGGCCAGTCTTCCTGGCACTGCATGTTTCAGGACATCACGACAATTTGAGGGAGCCTTTCTTCCAATCAATTTCAGGGTTGTGCTCACGCAGCCAATCCAACCCAACGATCACATCTTCTGGACCGATGTCCGTGACCGTGAACACCGTCTTCTCGATGTGTTCTCCTATGTGCATCTGTAGCACTGCTACTTCCGAGATGCTTCTGTCTTTGTTTAGGGTGCCGTCAATATTGTACAGCGGAATCGGCTCCTTCAATTTCCGCATTTGCACCTTATTTTCTTCAATGAATTGCTTGTTGATAAACTTCGTGGTGGCTCCGCTGTCCACCATAGCGATTATGTCCTTGTGCCGTCTTTTTCCTTGAAGTCGAACTGGGATGTGAAAGTGCTGGGACCCCTGGTCCAACTCATACACCATTGCAGTCGACAATACATCATACTTGTTACAGGATATATGCAGTCCGACGCGTGTGGCACGAAGCATGGACCGGATCAAAAACCCTCCTCCTTCATTGCCCGATAGTGCTCGAGCTCCTCGCGCATCGACTTCACCTGTGCCATTAAGTCCGCCAGCTCCAATTGCTCGGATTTTGCTGAAGCGGCACTTATACTTGCCGAGGGTGTTGTTGTGACGGGGGCACTTGTTACAGCCTGGGTGGAGCCCGAGGCAACCGTAGCCCGCGCGTCGGCGCATTTTGTGTAAGGTTTGTCCTTACAATTGGGGCACTTGAATCGTCAGTACCCTTGCTTCCCACAGCTGAAGCATGTGCCGGGGAAGTTGCCTTTTCCGATGGCCGCATTGATGCTGGCCGAAGCTGCGTGTGACTGGGGTGCACCACCACGTGCCCCGCCGCATTCTCGACCTCGGGCCGAGAAGAAGTTATTTAGTTTGGGCCGACGGGCCCGGCTGATGTCGAGGATCTGCTCGACCTCAGTGGCTCGCTTGTCAGCAGCTCGCCACGTGGTGAAGGTCTCGAGCTCGATCTTTCGGTACACGCGGGAGGGGATGCCGCTCAGGTACTTGTCGCGTAGCTCCAGGTCCCCATACCCAGAGCGGTCCGCTGGACCCTTGAACAGCGCGGAGAACTCCGCAGCGGTGCGTTTTTCACAGACCGACTTGTCCGCGCAGAGCTTCGCCAGCTCTATTTGTGCTGTCGCCTCATCGTCGAGATTTCCGAAGCGGGCCTTGAAGGCGGTGGCAAAGGCCGCTTCGTTCCTGAATGGGGTCGTGGCCCCTTGTACTCCTATCTGCACCGACACGAGCTGGGCGAAGTAGAGAGTGGCCCAGGTGCGGGCGTTGTCACGACTTGGTACGGCGTCTAGCCATTTTTTAATTTTTTCCTTTTCGCAGGCTCAAACCTGCGATCTCTGTACTACATGCCCGATATGGATGCAGCATTATCTACTGTACGATTAGATTAGATAGGACGGCAGTGCACGGCACAGCTCGGGCTCCGCTGACACAGCCGCTCTGACTCACCGGCCCCCGGGGCCGCGTCGGCATGCTGCGCACAGACCAGCTGCGCACGGACCAGCGCGCACAGCCTGCCCTTATCTTCCTCTGTATATAAGCCGGCCTCTGCTGCCCTAGGGACCTCAGTTTCGACCTCTTGTCCCTAGGTCAGTAAGCTCTCTTGTACTTACTTACCTTTCCTTACTAACTAATATATTCTTGTCCCTAGCCTTAGGTTTGAGCCTAGCTCACCATCGCTTCGGTGAGAACCAGTCGAACGCCCCTCGCTTCTAGATATTCCCCTGTTGCTCGACCTCAAGTCGCAACAGGCGTCTCCATCGAGCAGGCTTAGTGCGACTTGTACCTTAAGCTCAATGGTGGTCAACGACATGTTGATCAGCCAGTAGATGCGCAGCTGCAACAGGAACCGGTTGCACTCAATAACGGTTTTGCCATCGTATCAGAGTGGGAGGAGGAGCTTCAAAGTCTCCTTGTCGGGGGCAGCTGCAGGGGACAACATTATCAGCATTGGGGGGGACGGAGCATGTTGCGGGGGCGGAGGCGGCTGTGGTGGCCTTCCACTGGTCAAACTTCAAGAGGAGTGAGTGCTCGAGCGGCCTCTTGGCGGAGTCGGCGGTGAAGGTGCCGGAGAAAGTTTGGTGGCGGGGTTACGTATGTCAGGGACTGCTGACGCGGGGGTGAGCGCTGTCGGCGAGGCGGGCCGAGCAGGATCCGCGGACTCGGACTCCGAGACTCCTTCTTCATCCTCACCCTCCTCAGGCTCAGGCTCTGGCGCAGGGTCTGGAGGGAGATCTCCTCACGCTTGATTTGGATCGGCGACGACAGTTTGAGGGAGTCGGGAGCTGGGGGAGACAGGGCGAGAATGCCGCGAGGCAGAGCAAGAGGCAAGGGTGCTGCAGGGACCGAGGGGGTGTTGAGCCCATCTGATTGCCTTATACCGAGGGTAATCCTCCTTGATCGATCGGGGTGTCCGATGTGGGCACGGCTGCTGCTCGCAACGGTAGAGGACAGTCTCAGGGCCGTCTGGGATGTAGACGTCGATGAGATCCTGAGAGTCGAAGGCGTGGATCTGGCCTTGACAGGCAGCCACGATGAATGGGGGGGAGGACGGGGAGGTGCACGTACTATAATGGCCGTGCTATACTAGCTTACGCTACGGCGCCCGAGAAGACACTAGGGTTCGCAGTTCATGTGGGGCCCAATACTGCTTTTGACTATTATGCAGCAGGAACCTAGTCCACGCGTCCGTGAGGACAAGTACCGCCCACTGAAGTGCAGGTATTGAAGAGTTTGTTCCCTGAGTGTTGGCGATGTATGTATGCTATCTACGTATCGTAATGTACCGTAGGGGTGCGCACCACCCGACCTGTGGGAAAGGAGAGTGAGTGTTTGGGTTCCAATGAACGCCGGCCGCTATGGGAGTTTCGACCTAATGTCGTGACTTGAGGTCAAGCGACAGGGGAATATCTGAAAGCGGGGGGCGTTCGACTGGTTCTCACCGAAGCGATGGTGAGCTAGGCTCAAACCTAAGGCTAGGGACAAGAATATATTAGTTAGTAAGGAAAGGTAAGTAAGTACAAGAGAGCTTACTGACCTAGGGACAAGAGGTCGAAACTGAGGTCCCTAGGGCAGCAGAGGCCGGCTTATATACATGGTGGGATAAGGGCAGGCTGTGCGCATTGGTCCGTGCGCAGCTGGTCCATGCGCAGCATGCCGATGCGGCCCTGGGGGCCGGTGAGTCAGAGCGGCTGTGTCAGCGGAGCCCGAGCTGTGCCGTGCGCTGCCGCCCCATCTAATCTAATCGTACAGTAGATAACGATGTGTCCATATCAGGCAGGTAGTACAGAGGTTGCGGGTTCGAGTCCGCGAAAAGGAAAAATTAAAAAACGGCTAGACGCTGTATCAAGTCGTGACATGTTCACTTGTGTGAAGTAGATGATTAGAGCTTCATCATGAAGAAATTTGACACCCTGAACTTTGAGGTTTAACATTGACTGATAGTGATCCTCAGAGAAGGTGAACCACGGATACATACAATGAACCTTGATCTCGTATCAAACTTTGAACCGAAACCAACACAAATTCTTTCCTATTGCGACCTCATGCCGTGCTCACTGCACGTGCACTTTCCTGCAGCCTGTGTTGAAACACGTAGACCTGCATGTCAGGAACGAGCTCGAAAGCTCGGGCACACGAGTAGCCGGGGCCGGAGGCCCTTATTGTAGTATATAACGACCTGGCACAATGTATGTACTGCACACGATTGTCCCTTACAGGCATTGCTATGCCCATGGACAAACACGCCCACACCATTCGCACTGTTGTTCCAACAGCCTGTTTCCTCGAGCATTAGCAACAGCTGCTGTCTCAATTCTCACTGAGGACGAACACTTTCGTCCAACGTGCGCTTCCTACAGTAGATCCTTAAGCAACCTAAAATTTCAAGCAAGGATGCCTGGTACTGCAACAAAAATATTGTTATACATACCCTCCACGATTTTGATTCAAAGTCGTTGGTGATTTCTGGGTCCTAATTGCTCTAGGCGAATATCATGGGGTTTCACGGTCGTTGGAGCGATGTAGCTAGCTGTCATGGTCGTCGCATACCGGTCGTCGGTCGCACTCTGGCCCGGTCATGCTCGCGATGACCAAGTACGACCAAGTACCTGCGTGGAAGCTGAGTAACAACAAGGCGGAAGACTCGTATATAGAAATGCAGCGCGGATACAAACCGACTGCTTACTGTACGTACCGTAGCACAGCCCCGTTGCTCATGTATATAAGCTGCGAGTATTCACTCGGGAATCCTCGCAGAGTCAACACCAGTAATTCTACCTCATCGTATTCTCTCTCGTGCGTCTCGTCTTCGACTCGATCACTCGACGACCGGCGCTCTGCCATTTAATATCGTATACTACATCTCTTCTACCGAGGACCTCGGCTCTCGGCGCTGCATCCCTCGCGCCGTACCTCGCACCCTCTCGTAGTCCTTACACTAGCGCTCCGAATAAATCGGGTCTGTACACGTGCTTCGGACCGTCGTGTGGCACACACGCCTATCATGGAGCGCTTCCCTTTACTGCGCAGTCCCAAGCTGAGGGTACTGGCGGCCTGTATTGGCAAGGAGACACGCACTCTTGCACAAAGACGCCTCATAACTTTCAGGCGATTTGACACTCACACTAAATTGGCACATCCTGTAACTGCACTTGGCCATTTATCTCTAGAACTTCGTCTGGCTCGCCCGTCCTTATTTGATTGATGTCCTGCTAAATCTCGACCGCCGAAGATCCACCCCTCAGGATGTACCTTGTTGACCCATCTAGCCTGACCCCAGACATCTGGAGTGTCATGCGCTCGTTCACGGAGCTACTGAGCAGAGCTCTTCTCTGGGTGAATGCCCTGACGTTGGTGTATCCTCAACACCTAGCGCTACAGCAGAACACTGAAATATCTGCACTGCCTACCCAATATCTTCTCGGCCTTGGTATATTCCTTCTATATACCAATTCTCTACACCCCACTGATCTGTTCATCGACAGGAATCGGAGATATCACTGGGTAAATCGCATATCACATTTACACTCAGCCTCTAATCCAGTCCAACAGTCCAGTCGTCGAGACAAATATGATGGTAAGACTGTCTCGAATAGCGCCTTGACAACTAACGTTCATAACGCCCTTTCTCAGGGATACGCAGACCGTGAACAAACAGATACTGGGTTACACATGCGGCAGCGCAGCCGTGCATGGATTGTCGCTGATGCGTCCATCCCGTCAGACCGCATTGTCTTTATTAATGCAGGTATGTCCCATCACCGAGAAGCCCAAAGGCTACGAACTCACATCTGCTGACATGCCAGATATCGGCATGGGCGACTCGGGTATCCGACGCTCAATCGTTTCCGCGCTGTCTGCTCAGTACCCAGGGCTATATACGAACGAGAATATCGCACTCGTCGCGACGCATTCGCATGCGGGCGTCGGAGGATACCTCGAGAACCTTCTCCCACACATCACGTCCCTTGGGTATGTGAAGCAAACGGCAGACGCGATCGTCGAGGGCACAGTGCTTGCCGTGCGCCGTGCGCATGCCAGTCTTGCGCCGGGGCGGCTGACACTTGGTAATACGACCGTGCTCGGCGTGAACATAAATCGGTCGCCGAGCGCGTATATGGCCAACCCGCCTGAGGAGAGGGCGAAGTACGAGTATGATGTGGACAAGGACATGACCCTGTTGCGCTTTGATGATGCAGACGGGAATGCAAGAGGCTTCCTGAGCTTTTTCCCGGTACATGGCACTAGCCTATACCAGGTGCGGGGGAATAGGTCGCTCGTTATGTTTTTTAATGGTCCCATTAGAATAATACTCTCGTGAGCGGCGACAACAAGGGCATGGCCGCGTATTTATACGAATGTGGGTGTGCTGTTTGATACGGGTCATCCTAGCACTAACGTGATGCATAGCTATGGTCGAACCCTCATCAATGCCTGGAAGTGCTGCCTTTGTTGCAGGCTTCACGCAATGTATGGCTTCGTGGTCGCGTATAATTGAGCTTCAACTGATCAAAAGGCTTAGCCAATGTTGGCGATACGAGTCCGAACGTGTGGGTCTTCATCCCAAACCATAAGTCGACAAGTACTGAGTCAGGATGTGCTCACAGCCTCGGACCGGTATGCGAAAGTCCTGGAAAGCCTTGGGACGGGGAGCCGTGTGAGTACGAGCATTCGACATGTGGTAATGCCACACAGGATTGCCGCGGAAGGTTTGTCTTCACCGTACTTCCGCAGCCTACTGATGATTTATGCACATACTGTAGAGGGCCGGGGTTCCGCATGTCCGACTTTGAGTCGAACCGCATCATCGCACAACGCCAAGTAGACGGCGCGAAAACACTCATGGAATGGACGCTAGAGCTCGTCAGCGGTCCAGTCCGCTCGGTGCACAAGTACCTGAATATGTGAGTTACTGAAAGCAGGTCAACGATCATGAAGCCTGATTGATGCCACAGGCACTTCAAATCTTTCGAACTGCAGAACGGCACCACGGTGAAGACCTGCCCCTCTGCTCTGGGTCAGTGCATGTGAGCGACTGTTATGATCATACTGACAGTCCTTGCTAGGATATTCGTTTGCGGGAGGCACCACGTATGCCCATTTATCTCGAAGTAGGAAGTTATGCGCTGATAATACCGTGCAGTGACGGACCTGGCCGGTTCGACTTCATTCAGGGCGACAATAGCTCCTCTCAGTAGGTTCATACTCATTTCCACACTCCCATCTGACCCTTGATCACGCAGAAATCCTTTCTGGGAGATCGTGAAGGGTAGGTTTCACAATCTCAGACTTTATGATCATCGCAATGAACCGTTCCTATAAGGCGCTGTGACTCCGCGTCCGCCACCTGAACAAATCGAGTGTCATTATCCGAAGCCTATTCTCCTGGATACAGTGCGTCGCTAGTAACTCTTCATCTTCCGTGAGCGTTAACGAGCGGCTTAGGGTTACGCACGCCAACCATATCAATGGTCTCCCGACACCGTTGATATACAAATGCTACGAGTAGGCAATTTTGTCATGGTGATCATCCCAGGCGAAATGACGACAATGGCCGGTCGACGCATGAGGTCTGTATCCTACCCGCTTAATTAGCCAGAGTGATATTGAACATAAGACACGATTACTTTGCAGGGAGGCAATCCGTGCTGAGGTTATCTCGTCCGGAATCGTGGGAAATGAAGCCTATGTAGCAATCGCAGGACCGGCCAACACGTACGCTCATTACGTCACAACAAGGGAGGAATATGCTGTGCAGCGCTATGAGGGTGCATCCACCATTTTTGGACCTTGTAGGTAATTCCCCGAGCCCTTGTTATACTGCTCCTTAACGTTTACCGGCTAGTCACGTTGGAGGCATACATGCACGAATATGGCAACCTTGTTCCGTATCTCGCAGCAGACGCATCGGGCATCCCGCCGTCGGATCCTGCCCCAGAGGATTTGACGGGCAAAGTCATTTCACTACAGGTGAGTCAACAAAAGCAATAATTTGCAGACAAAGTGACGACGCTGACCGGTCCGACTCAGCTTCCTGTTATACAAGATATGCCGCCTCTGGGCAAGGAGTTTGGAGACGTACTCGTTGACGTCAACACCTCACCGTACCACCCTGGCGGCACTGTATCCGCGCGCTTTGTCGGGTATGTTCTTGAGATTACTTATGCATAGACGACGACTGAAAGCTGGGATGCAGTGCCAATCCTAGGGTCAGTATATGTTGGAGACGACTTTCAGTGACTTCGACTAACGACCTTCGTGACATTTAGAACAACCTACGTTTAGAGGGGACGTACCTCACTATTGATCGGCTAGTAGAAGATGAATGGGTTCCCGTGAAGTCCGACTCGCATCCTTCGACAACATTCCAATGGGTCAGAACGAATACAGTGAGCCATCCAATATGTATGTTGTTGGCGATCCGGCTCATTGCTCCCAAACAGCTCTTTGCCGTTAGCGAAGTGAACATCACATGGTACGCGATCTCATAGAAGCGTCCCTTGCATCCTCTTACACCATGACTATAGGATCATTGAGCCTGAGACCCCAGGTCGGTACCACGAACCCGTTGTCTTGGACTTGATCACTTACGCAGATATTTTAGACGGCGTGTATCGAATGTCTTACTATGGAGACGCGAAGCATATGGTTACTGGTTTGATTACACCGTTTGTCGGATATTCATCCGACTTTACGATTGCATGAGTTCTTCCTCATCTTCACTGCTCACTTTATACTCTTCGTCACGCTATACGGACTGTCTCATGTATCACGACTTTCATGTATCATGTTGTTGGTTAACTAGTACGGGGAGGGTCGTTCATGCAATGTAGGTTTGGAACACAGAACGGCATACCGTAGGTGACACATATGATCTCTTCGACCGGGTGGCCACACTGGTGTACTTGCGTGCAGTACTCGCTGAGACTCACGCCGCCCTGAGGCTGCTTGACGCCACCCATTTGTGCCTTGGTCATCTGCATCGTAGCGTCGCTGAAATACCGATATGCGTGCAAAGGGTAGTGTCGTGGGCCAAACTCGCGCAGGCATTCGCCCAGCGCAGGGGCGGGGTCTGACAGAGGCCCATGGCAATTGCTGACAAGGATGGCGCAACAACTTCTTCACGCTCTGAGGTGAGGAAGATTCCACAGTGCAAGTACAGACCGAGAGACGATAGCAGTGACCTCAGATTCCAACACCCCGGAGCTTGACTTTGTGTATCCCGACTTTCTCCACCTCGTTGAGGTACCCACTCTTCCGAACATTATTTTACTCAGAGTCTGAATCAGGCCTGACCTTTCCGAATTGCGCCAGCAATCGCGATTCGCTATCGTCAAGCGCCGCGCCAGGCGCAGTTTTGCTAACAATACTAGCAAGGGAAGAGCAATACTTGAACTGCTTCAGCGCGTCACAGGCTTCTTTCGTTTGTTGTCACTCACGATGTCACAAAGCACAGGTTCCGCGAAATAACGTTCCGCAGGATGTGATGTTCTCAACTATCTCACTGAATCTCCGATGTGTGCGCTATAGTGTCATGATAACATATCGGACATCGTTCATTACATAGTGAACATGAACAGCTAAATGGTGCAACCATGAAAATACGCGAACACAACGAGAAGCACTGCAAGCCAAGCATACCGGGAATGATAGTCCACTCTCGCTCCTCGTACATAGTTCAGACAATACACATGCCCAAGATAAAGGAAGCTAAGACCTAAGCCCTCACGAGCATCTGGGTCTTCTCGTTGCGGACCTCCGTCGTTCCGTGCAGCTCCTGGGCGATATAGGTGAACGAACGCATCTCATGCATAAACGCGACGGCTTACCTCCTCGCCACCAATGCGAATGTAGTTGCGGCGTCTCATGTTGCGGACGGTCTTGGACACGAGCCACAGGCCGAGCATGAGGATGAATGCGACGATCACGCCACAGCCGCCGTTGACCAGAGCGTTGGTCTTGGCAGAAACTTCCGGAAGCTCGGGCCACACGGAGTTAGCGCCGCAAGCCTTCGCCCACTCGCGGTTGCTCTTGATCACCGAACCCTGTGAAGAGACGCAATGAATGGCTGTGTCGGTCAAGGGCAATCGATGATCTAACAAACCTCAAGGCGGTAAATGAATTCCGTCAGCGGGATGTCTTCTTGGTGACCGAAGACGTGGATCGTCTCGAAATCGTCCGTAGTACCGTTCTTGAACTTGAAGCGCAAGAAGTCACGCACATCAGGGGCACGGCCACGGCGCAATTCGATCGAGAGCGCAGATGCGAAGTCGGCTAAACAAGCGCAGCCATAGCCTGTTAGTCCAGTACGACACGAGAGCAAGATACTTACGAATAGCAGCGAGGTCGGGGCGCTCGTTCACGACCTCAGTCATGTGAAGAAGGGAGATGAACGGCTGGTAGGTCGTCTCGATCAGCATGAACTGCAGCGGGTCACCGTTGAATGCGATGCGCTCAAGGGAGCCGACGATCGAGGCCAACGCAGTACGGCCGGCAACTGAAATGCAGTCAATTCGAGCACATTAGCGAAGACACCAGAGACACGCAACTGTTTCCGATGCCGTTCAGCTGAGGGTCGGAGAAGACAAGGTTCTCTCGGTAGTCTGCGAGGCCACGTGCCTGCTCGACATATGTGGGAGGAAGGCGGTGGGCGTAGGTCTTGTTGTGGATCAGCTCTGCGCTGATGTAGTCCCACACCTAACGACCCGGTTAATAATGAAGGTGTACGTCGAACATGGCAATACACTTACGTTGTACTATAGGTCGGGACAATCACATAAGCGAGTGAGCGGGGAGTTGTGACGCATTAGATGAAACGTACTGCATTCTCCATAGTGGCAGGACGACCGAAGACGTAGTCTCGGATGTCTCTGAAGAAGGCGTTCGCAGATTTGCTCGCCTCCCTGAATTCAGAGGATTCGTGCACTTTTGCGACGTGCTTTTCAAATGCCTGTGACCGTGATTAGTGTCTCCTGCCACCTTCTCTGGGAAATAAGCATACTGGGCAGTCAGTCCAGCTCTCCAGGGAGCGATCGTTGGCTGGCTCGACGGTCTCGACTGCAACGCAATGTTAGACTAGCTGGCAGATGTGGGGCTAAGAGAGGTGACTCACGGGGAACATACTGGTAGCCTCCGAGAGGAGCGACTACAGTAGTTTCGTTGGCGAGCGTGATGCGGTTGGCCGGGTTCGGCGGGAAGAGTCCTTGAAGCAACGCAGTTGCCGAGTCAAAGACAGCCGGTCCCTCGGCACCGACCTTGACGCGAACATGCACTTGGTCAAGGTCCACAAGGTTAGTGCGGATCCCCTGAATATGCGACGAGCTGGCGGGGTTGAAGTACGTGTCGCGCAGGTATCGGCCAAGCTGGTGCGACTGGACCTGTACAAACGCATGCTTTGAGCAAAGGAAGATGAGAGAATTGTCGATCCTGCACTAACCTCGCCGAGAGGAGTGCTCAAAGTAGGGCCAGGCTGGTACGTGATGGGATCCTGGTAGGCCTCAGTGCGGTCGCCATTGCGGGCGAGGACTACAACGCCGAGAACTTCACGGTGAGACATTTTCGTGGGTTAGAGAGGGGGGCTTCGTGAACGAGGTCGTAGACGTTGAGAGCACTGGAGGTGTTGGCTAACTATGGCTTGAGACAAGGGTCATATATACTGCAACGGACAGGCATCCCCGCGTGGCGTGCTTTGCTGTGACGTGTCGAATAGACACGCTAAACATGCCCATTCATCATTCCGCGGCGCAAACAAACAAACGGCGGAAACTGAGGACGGTGTTACAGAAGGCCTTCAAGTTACCCGGAGGCTCGCATCTCGCGCAAGGGTTGAGCCGCCCGTAGAAGTGGGCAAAGTCTGCCAAAAGGGGCGCCCAAGACGGATCAAACCAATACGGGTATTGCAAGATGCATCCCTTGGCGAAGAGCTAGGGAAAATTGTGAAACTTTAGGCATTAAACATTTTCATAAACGGGAGATGCTAAATGTGCACGACGCGCAGAACATTCGACCTTTCATTGCAGCAACGATCTTCCGGGTCGGGCGCCAGGGGACGCGCCTTGGCAACGAGGACGCACCATGACACGTGACCGCGTCGCGCTGGCAGAACGTGTCTGGCACCCGCAATGTGCCAACGATGCGCACTGAGGATTCTATTCAGTATGGTCACGAGCGCAACCTTGCTTATGCAGTGCAGCGGTATTCCAGGTGTTGCGGAAGCAGCTTGGGCGGATTCCCATTCTGCTAAATTGCCCGTAAAACATGTGAGATCCGTGCAAGATCCACGCGGCTGCGGCCTGGATGCTCGATGATACAGGTCCAGTATAGAGTGAAGGGGCAGGCACGAGGAGCGCCGCTGTGACGGCTACATGCGGTGGCGAAGAGACGCGTGCGTCGTGCTGCGTCGTGCTGTTGGCCACTCGCACGAGGACACGTGCGACTGATCTGGTCCTCGTCCCTCACCCAGGCAAAATCGTCAACTAAAAGCGGACATTGCACGGAAGATGGCTCCGCGGCGGGAATGAGGGAAGCAGATCAACGCTGATGGTGAATGGGTGTGACCGCCAAGTGGAGCCGCAAGCGAGAAATGACATCGTCCATGGATGATACACATCGCGCGTTCAGCAAGGTGCATGGTGTCTTGAGAAGCTACTCTCCGTGCACCCTACACGCCACTGGCATCGGCGGAATATGTGGGAATCCTGATGAGATCGCGCGTTCCTGGCAAGGATTCAAGAGTAATGAATGAGTGCGATTCATGCAGATATCGCCTACGACGGAATGCCCCACATCTTCGGTGGATGTCCGATGTCACAAATCACAGAATCGTGATTAGCTTGTTTTGAATGCCCTGACACGCCGGAGTGTACACATACGAGATTATAACATGCACTACGGGCACGCCAATAAGCCGAGGCTGTCTCGTGGACAGACACCATGCTGCACGCACGTCCAGTCGCACTTCGCACGCCATCAGGAGAAAAACACTGCAATTTTGAGTTACTTCCTTCCCTTCTTCGCCTTCCCTCCACCACTTCCCTGGGCATTTGCTATGCCCGTGGGCAACTCCATCGCGCCCTGAGTCGCACCTCCTCGCGCACGGCGCTTACCGTGCATCGTGCTACTCCGCTCGCTCTTCTTAAGCCAACGTTCTGGGTCCGGCTGAGGCGTCACGCCAGGAGTGACGCCGGGTGGGATACGGCGTGCGCGGGGCTTCTTCTGATGTATAGGCTTCTCCAGCACGTGTGCAGGTGCCACTGTGGTAGAGAAAATGGAAGCGGGGGCAGCAGCAGGTGGCGGCGCGGACTGGAGCGTGTCAGCGAGGGTGGGCGGAAGCGAGGAGAGCGCGGATAGAAAGCCAGAGGTAAGGAAGTCGAGATGCGCTTGCGAGGCGGAGAGATTAGTGAGGATATCTGCGTGCTCATCCGAGTGCTAGAAAATGGCAGGTGAGCACGCTGGGGAATGCGGACTGAATGTCTCGTATCCGATGATGAGAGACGTTCGCACCGCACCGACGCAGGCGCTGCGCTGTGGTCTCTCACTATCTGGATACAGGACGGTGATTGCGGAATCAAATGCGTACAGGCTCAGCGGTATCAAGCAATGTGTTGTACAGATCGAATGCTGTTTGATAACCCCCCTCACGGTAGGCCTAGTAGTGCTTTCATAAGCACGTGCAATAGACACGAGACCGCAAGGGATACATACTAATTGTGCCTCCAGATGCATAACCCCTCTGTTCTCGTTGCCATCTCTGTTCTTGATCTCCTCCAGGACACCCGTCGCATCGGCTTCGCGGTGAACCCGGTATAGCGAGTAGGCTTTCTCAAATTCGTAGTTCGAGCTACTGACATCTCCTTGAAGTGTGAGGCTGTCTATGAGCGAGAGCGCGGGCATGTACTGTTCCGTTTGCAGCAGCAGGAACATCTTAGTTTGTAGCGCGTCAGGGTCCCGCGGCGCGATCCGCAGGACTGCAGACATTACTTAGCAGAAGAATGAAGAAACAGCCTGCATTACTTACTCTTGTCGCATGTCTTGATCGCATTAGCGAAGTGTGCGCCGTCGATCTGTGCGCACAGCGAGGTAAACAGTCGCTTCAGTCTCTCGGTGTCCGTCGGCGGTGGTTTCTTCTGCGTCTTCTGAGATGCGTCCTTCAGTTTCTTCACTTTTATATCCGTACTTCCTTTCGCTCTCGTGGATTTCGTAGATTGCTGCGAAGAGGGAGCCATGTCTGTAACAGAGCCTGACTCGAGCGGTGAAAGCAGATGTATATTCAGACAAGCGCCCATGAGCGGCACATATGGTCGTGGGAATATGTCAACAGACGCCGCACTTGCGGGCGCTTGCAGCACAGACCACCGACTACCGTGCTCGCCGCCCACCATCTCCTTCAAGACGACGACTAAGGACTTACGTCGAGGTACAAACACTCATTATCGGGTAGACAAAAATATGGCAGCAGAGTCGTATGTCATCCAATCGGTCATATATTCACTGCGGAACTGAGCCGCCATGTTCCAGCGTACAATCGCAGGCCAGGCCAGACACCGACGCCGACACACCAATGCTGGATACGTCTCAGCAGCAATCACAACAAGGTAATGCTTCAGGCGACGCTAATGCTACCACCAACGTAGAGGACTCCCAGAAACCAACGCGCAAACGTCTGCGAATCGACATGGACGCAACCGCGGACACGTCCGTCCGCAAGCGCGGCAAGTCGATGTTCGGACTCGTCCTAGGTACACTGAACAAGGCAAAGGATGAGGATCGGGCGCGTAACAATAGCGAGGCGGTATGTGACTCGAGTTGAACCGTGTTTTTGACCTATCTCATCAGTGCACTGTTTCTCAGGCCAAAAAGCGGCAGCTCATTGAGCAGCGGCTGCAAGAGAAGCTACGTAAGGAGACAGATAATGTCCGCCGCGCAGAGGAAGCTAAGAAAGACAAGACAATTGCAAACCGCAAGGAGGAGGACCTCCAACTGAGGGATTCAATCGTGCGTGCATCGCTAGTCCTAGTGTGTCCCCAATTTGATTGTGCTTCCTCCAGCACAAACTACGCCGCACACGCCACCCCATCCTCGCCCACTTCCTCCTTACGTCCGACGTCATCCCCGACGTACCGCCTGCTTCCCGCTCACCATCGCCTTCCCACGACCCAGACGCCCCTCCATCCTCAGATTTGCATTCTGCAAATGGCAAGGATACCATCCTCTTAGGCCCTCAGCGGTCACACCCGCCACCTTTATATTATCTCCCTGCGGTTCTCACTCCCGCACAAGAAGCGTTCATCAAGAGACGGAAGGAGAAGGTATGTTTGATCTCTTACTGTTGACGGTGCAACGTTTACTGACTTTTTCCAGGTCACAATCGCCGCAGAGGCAGAATGGACCTCGTTCGTGTCCGAACGCGCAGCTGGTATCACCGAGATCGCGGGCCTACGTGAGCGCGTCGCGGAGGAGGATGCGCGTACACGGTCTGCTCGCAAAGAGGGCGAGGGCGCGAAGGCGACGTCAGCACAGAACGGCACGGCAGGCGGAGAACAGAGCGAGGATGTGAAGATGGAGGCGTCGGAGGACGCGAAGCCGGAGGCACAGGAAGATGTGAAGACGGAGGCAAAAGAGACTGCGCCAGTGGAGGCGCAAATGGACGTGGATGAAACTGGTGCAAGTACGGAGAAGCCGCAGTCGAAGGGCGATGAGGTTGCCGTGAGTGCAGGGACGGAGAAGAAAGAAGGGGAGGGCACCGCGGCACATGTGCCGATGCAGGCAGACGACGACGACGCGGTTGAATACTAGTAGAGCCAGCGGGTTTCTGTTGCGGACGCGTGGGGTTGCTTTCTGTACGGTCAGATTGCTTTTGTAATGATTACTGACGTGCGTAGTCCGACTTTCTTACTTTTGTAGTTAGCGTATCACACTGCTTTGAGTTCAGTTGGCCAGGGCGTTGGTGTTAGTGTGCGTGTGTTCCTACCACTTCGCGATCTGTCTTCGCTGCGTACGAGACTGTCTATTGTTAACACGGCTGAATGACCTTTTCGAAAATAGGAGCTGCTTGATTGTCATGAAGTGCAATGCTCGTTGCAAAGGGAATGAAAGAAACATTACAACAGGTTTAACGATGCACTTCTGTCCGAGCATGTCTTTTAATAGAGTGTTCCAGCATGCTGCTGTAAGGACCGCTATATGCCCAACTCAACGTAATCAATTGCCTGCTCTGGAAGTCCAAGGCCCTCCTGCAGAGGTAGCCTTGCGACCCTGGGAACTTCCTCTATACCGTCATGCTCGGATTCATCCGCCAACCGCATCTCGTCGCTCTGGTCGACTTCTTGATCCACATGCAGGCGCAGGTAGGTCTCATGTGTACTATCCCACGATTCATTTCGCGCCCACTCGATGCGTGCTGTCTGCGTCAGGAGTAAATGGATCATTGAGCGGCGCACCGAGATTGCCGACAACGCGCGAGACGAAGCTGGGGGTGGAGCGGCTGGAGCGGTTCATGGAGACAACGCTGCTCTCGGACAGGTGGACCTGCCGGAGGTTGAGGAAGAAGCGGCACAGAAGCAGGGACATGAACCTTGGATAGTGTCAGATCGGTCAGGACAACCGGGCGAGAGAGCCACCAGACGTACATGTCGATGGAGCCGGTGATATCGTGGTTGTTCTGGATTGGATGAGATGAACATGCGTATGGCACCTCCCCGCTTGTCTCACTCACGTTAATCAAGAACAAAGTCATGACGAGTGAATTCAGCGCAAGAAGAATTCTGTAGCGATGGATGTAAGGCGACATTGTACTTCTTTCGAGGTGCACTAACGTGAATTGAATTGTGCCTGCATCAAGGCGTTCTATTCAGCCAGTGCATAAACACCGCTACGCGAAAAGGTACACACCGTCTCTAAAGAGCAATGTCGAAATGGAGACTTTGACCTTGGCCCTCTCCGCGAGCCTCTTAATGCCATACGTTGCCTTCCACGTTGCGAGCAGCACGAGGGCATTTGCTGCCAAAGTGGCAGATCGCGTGATGATGAAGACTGGTTTCTTGCCAGCTCAGTAACATCAGGCTCCTATCGACAATGAGCACTTACACCTGAAGGCGGCGCAGATTTTCATGAGTGACGATATCATAATGGAGATAGTCCAGGGGTCTTACGTGTCAATGTGTATAGCTGCGCTCCAATACGTAGTGCAGAAACCAAAGACAATGGTCGGTTTCTGCTCATAAAGGCCCCACTAACAAACATCATCAGTAGCTGGGCTCGTTGCCCATTCCCATCACTCACGATGTTGGTAGCTACGGGGACGAGACCTATCGTCATGACTAGCAGCGCGACCTCCCACCGGCCACCCTGAATGGCGTATACATGAAATGCTGAGAGTGCTGAGGGACGTCGTCATGCGTACATACATCCGAGGTGACAGAACTCACTTGTCTGCGCAATGGTCATGACGAGACACAAAGCCGCCTGAACCATTTGAAAGTCATACTGCCTGTGAGAATGCACGATGACACAGCGCAGTGGCAAAGGTTATTGCAGAGCGCACCCCTTCTAAGCCGGGAATCAGACTCGTGCATCGTGTATTCCTAAGTAAAATCGCGCACCTGGCAAGCACTATTACTCAAAGCTACGATCACAACTATCGCGTTTAAAACCGCCGAGTAGCGAAGCAACAGGTACAGGATGCTTGCTCCGGTCAACTTGCGACCCCAGACAACGTGCACCTCTTGGCCCAGTGAGATCAGGCAATCAAAAAGGAGCAGGCCTTGATTGGGCACTTCGACGTTAACCACTTCGCCAAAGCAGGATACGAGACACAGACGCACCAGACACAGCTATCCAATAATAATCCATGACAGCACTGAGCAGCAAAACGAGCTCAGGCCCTCATGTGCTGCACGTTTCAAACCACTTACGCAGATGAGAGCTCCCCATTTACCGCGGCTGCATCGTCGTCGGACATGTTCCCTACCTTGAACGTCTGTGGGTGTAGAAGAGACAACTACAATATGTGCGTCTGAGCAGCACTCGAATGCCATTATCACGGTTGAGAGTGCGCCCACGGCAGATCGCAATGATGATGAGATGGAATGACATGCACAAGCGGGAGAGCAGATACACGCGCATTGCATAGCCTGGGTGGGGGCACCGATCAAGCCATTGGTTTATCACGATGGTTGGGCGCGGGCGTGGATAGGTGGATGGGAAGGGAGGTCAAACACGATCAACCCGGGCATCTAACCATATCTGCGCTGGACAGGAAGCAGCTTGCCAGAATCAGAAAACAGCAAGGCACTGACCGGAATGAAACAGAAACGCTACCGTCGATCTCGGCGGCGCTCGCAACGTATCCGCCGCCCACACTTCATCGATCGTGAGTGTGTTTCTGTAGATGGGCCAGATGGCCGAGGCCGACGGTCAATCTCGTTGGGAGTGTCGGTGCCATCAAAGGGAATGGACATTCATATTCCATACATTACGAACCCGTATATTTGCACACTGACATCTATTGGCGCATTCGTCTCATCCCTTGCATTTGGTGACTTCTGAGACGGAACGCTGTGACCATTGCGAGCGCCATGGAAAGTCCCACAGCGCAACTGCTTTTGAGGATGAAAATGAGGACTTCGTCAGGTGCTGAAGCTGAAGACCGAGGTCTAGAGGGGAGCAACTGAGGTTTTTTCCCCGCTCACGAATATGCGGTGACCTGCACTCGGACAGAACATATAGTAAAGTCAATTTTTTCGCGATACGATCTTATGTGAAACACCAGACTACTTACAAGTTGACTGGTACATGCAGAGACATTGTATATCAGAATTATGCTTGTCGCGAGGTGAACTAGGGACGTTCCAATTGATTGCTTAATGCCATAATAGCAGGAGGAGCATTATTTCCTTTCCTGGATTTGCACACTACGTCAGTGGCGCGTTAACGCTAAAAGTTAAGTTGAGATATGGTGCTGTGGATATTGCAGTAAGCAGTGAAAAAATCAAGGTGCAAGTGCACCACTGTCTGAAAACGAATGGTGGAGGGAAGGCGTATCGCGTCGGCTATCATCGGTATGGGGTATCGTTGTATTGTCCTAGGATGAAAAGGCGAGTATCATTATGTACACATGGCGGATAAACACGTCGATAGCGGAGCCAGGAGGGTGCAAAGCGAATGAATAGCGTATCAAGAAAGAAAGGTGAGATTGCGAGTATCCGTACCGTACCAAAAGCCTATGACACCACAATTATTGTCCTCGCCAACATCGCGTCCTTTCGTGAAACGTTCCGTGACATATCAACATCTAATGAGGCCGCGTTCCGGCCCAGACTCCCGGGTTTCACCAATGTGGCATGAAAGCCAGGGTTGCAGAGACAAGCCCGGTGATGAGGGACAAGGCAACGCTAGCCTCCACGCCTAGCTGCGCTGCCGAGCTCGTTGTGCTCGCACCAGCAGCGCCGGCACTGGAAGCAGAGCTCGACTTGGAGACTGACGTGTGCGGTGAAGTCGACGAGGGGATAGAAGAGGAGAGCGAGGTGGAAGAAGATGTGATGGACGACGATGAGGAAGGGAAGGACGTGGTCGCGAAGCTGAGAGATGTCGATGGGGATGCGACCGCGCAGAACTGGTTCGCGAGCGACTCAGCGGAAGAGAGGCTCGCGGGGCAGCTCTTTGCCATGCAGGACTCCAGTGAATTTGCGAATGCGGTTGAGCTGTGGAGTGAGACACGGCTGGTTAGCGGTAGGTTAAAGAGATATGGGAGGAAGCACACGGACTTTGCAACCGAACAAAAACAGGCGACATCGACAACGCTGTCGCAACCGGCTTGTGCAACAGCCTCATCAAGACAGTCGTCGACTGATATGAAGCACAGCAGCGCGCACAGTCAATCAAGCGTCAGTATAGAGTACAAGGGCCACAAGTAATAAACGCACTACAAGACGGGTAGTTGCTCAAACTGGGATACGACGCCGTGATCGTGGACGAGCCCGCACTGCCGGACCCGCTCACCGTCTGCGTGATGACCACGCTTGAGCTTATACTGATGCTCCCCGACGCCGAAGATGATGCTGCGGACGCGAAAGACACTGTTGACGGGACCTGGGACGACGTTTGCGCGGATACATGGGATACGATGAGCAGGAGCAGCGAGAAGGGAAGGATGGGCAGCATGTTGAGACAACGGCTACGCGTGGACGGGGAGAAGATGGTGGTGGTTGAACGAAAGACGGCGAACGATGCACAGCGTGTAAAGAATGGACACTTCGAAATGGCGACCGCGCTTCCACCTGACAATGCAGAAACCGGTTTGGTTCACTTTCCGCTCGTGATTCGAACCGGCAGTGGTTCGATGCGTCAGTGGCCGTCTAACTTGTCATTATCTTTCATTCAGGATCCGACAAAGACTATGAGACTCGAAGACTTGCATCATGTAAGCACTATGGATTTTGGTGAGTCCTGTTGGCATAGCCTTCGACAAGAATCACTGTTACTAGGATGCTACTACCAGAAGAAATACAAGCCAAGATGCAACCGGTACTTTTGCGCTCATTTCCAACTCGACGTTAAAGCCACAGATCCATGAGCTCTTTTCTGGCTGTTTCGAGCCGCTCCCACCTTTTCTGCAGCTCCTGGCGGCGTTTCACGACATCTCTCGGCTCCTGCAAGAATTCCTGACAGCGGCGCTGGCCCTCGGCTCCGGTTATCCCAAGGCCCTTCAGGAGGACGTTCTCAAGCGAGCCGTCCCTCGACAGTCCAAGGACAAGCTCATGGTCGATTGCCATAGGGACATAATCCACGAAGCGCTTGTAGGCAACTTCGGAAACGATTAGCACCCGGCGCATATATCTGAAGCCAAGTTACCGGCCGTGCTCACCTTGGAAGTATGCGCGCACGGTCGCCATGATCTTTAAAGCAGGCTCGTAGGGATCGGACGGCAACAGCTTCGGCAAATCTGTCGCAACTATCCCCGACATGCCAATCTCGTTTAGTCCAGAAAGTACTTTCGAGATGCTCTCTTGATACTGATACTCTGTGGGTGATGTCGCCCTTCTCGGATTAGTCGTACACGGTTTGTATCTGCGTAGCTTGTCAACAAACGACCCGTTCTCGTCGGACTCGCGATGCGCGCGGTAGAAGGCCAGGAATTTGTCACGGTAGTCTGTATAATAGTGGCCGTTCATGGTGGCAGGCCTACTCTCCAGTTCGAGAAGCCAGGATATACGGCTTGCTGTCGCTTCGCAACAAGCCTTGATATGTTCTACCATGATCTGGCTGCAATTTGCCGTTAGCTCAAATGCAAGCCTCCTCTTGAGAATCTCGCTTACTGAACAGTATGCTGTAGGCCGCCTTGCGCAAAGATAGAGAAATGTTTTGCGACAAGCTGCTTGACGTAGTTGTTCAATACCTTCTGTAGGGAGTCAAACAAGATGCGCATCGGTATGTGCCACTTGGCCGTGATTGACGTGATGTAGTCTTGATAGACTACAAAAGGATAGTGATCCGGGAGCTCGCGTGTAACCGCCCTGGCACTAGCGGTCAGTGGCCACGTCGATCATAGACCAGTAGATACCAACTTTCTTGCGCGGTCCATGACTTGATTGATGTAGATGGCATGTGAGCTGTCCAAGTTGACGGCCGACTCCTCTTCATGCGAGAGAAAGCTGGGCATCGACCACCCATCGCCCGATGGCGTGTCTCCGTCGAATCCATCCTTCGGGCCCTTGTATGGCCTGAAGTCCGGGGCCGTGTCTCTGACGGCTGCGCGGAACTTCTCCTTGAGTGGGTTCATCACTTGCAGCAGCCCGTTCTCGCCGGGCGTGCCCTCGAGATGTTTGTCCAAGTCGCGGCAGAACTCAGAGATAAGATGCAGAATCTCAGCGAAGGTGTCGGTGGACGGCGGCTTGGGGAGCTGCCGGAGACTGTCTTCGGTCTTCTGGAGAAGAATCTGCAGCTCCTCCTGTAGCTCGGGCAGCCTACGCACGAAGGATCAGCATGCGCTGTCTTATATGGAACACGAACGCCGGAACGAACCTCTTCGCGATCAGGTCGGTGAGTATATTGCTCAAGCATCTGGTGAGGTTCGCAGTGCCGAGGCGGCCCTGGAACTCGTACTCGAGCTCTGCCCACGACTCCGTCGACTCGAAGAACTGGCGTTCGGTCTGGCGCGCCTCGACCCAAGTGATTCCCGCGGCGAGCGCGAGCGAATCAGGCTGCTTCACGGTGAACCAGCCGTTGTCCAGCGCTTCGTACTCGTTCTTGATGAACCGCGTCCAACGGCTCTCCTCGCCGCGCGGGATGCGATCGGGCTTCGTCAGGACACCTGTGTCCCTTTCGAGTCAGCGTCGGACATTGTTTGAGAAGTGAGATACGCACCGACGGTTCGCTTCCCGTCGGGGTCGTGCTGCTTCGTCAGGTGGTGCGCCCCCTGGTTCTCAAAATCAGCTGTATGGGCATGGCGTAGGTCAGTACAACATGTTCCGAGTACAAATCATTTATTCACTTACTCTCGCATGCGACGGTGAGCAATATAATGCAGCTCGGCTTCGCGATGTATGTGGTCACGAGATTCTTCACGAGGTCAATGTCCCCGGCGCTGCCGCCCGTCCCGACGCTGGCAATCAGGCCTACCACAAAGCATCAGCATCACGCTCAACGAACGATGCAGGTCTACAGGATGGGACAGGAGCAGAGGGTCGCCCTCACCAGGCAAGTCGACGAACGACAGATCGGCGACGTCACTCCCGCTGATCTCGAGACACACGCAGTTGATGGAAAACGTGAGCTCGCGATCCTCGGGGTCGACGTCGTCTCCCTCCAAGAACTGCCGCGCGTCGACGCTTGGGTTGAGGATGGCGCGCTGAGCGCGGCGAATCCGTTCCTCTACATCGGCCTTTATGAGAATAGGCTCTCCGAACCTCTCATTGCGTGCTTGGCCCAGGGGCTGGCCGATCTTGTCTGTCGTGAAGCGCAGGGATACGATGCACCCCCATGGCTCGCTTGATGATGACAGCCGGCACTCTGTAGGGCACCTGTGGACGTGCAACAATGAGAGTTCCAGCTGTTGTGTGTAAGGTGCGCAAACTAATTTACCTTGTGCAGGTCCCGCTCGCCCTTGGGAGGGTTATGCCAGATATTGACTCTATCAGGGATGATTTTCCCGCGCTCTGAGACCCGATGACAGCAATCATTGGGAGGTCAATGTCACGTTGTACGCTGTGAGGTTCTTTGCTCAGATGCAAGGAGGCTACGATTGAAACAGCTACGTACCCTGTGCTATGCAGGCGGTTCACAAGATCTAGCATTTTACGCCTACCCGCCGAATGGACGGGGTCCGACAATCCGACACCTCCATTGACCTCGCTCAAAGCTACGACGGAGGATGAAGCTGGAAGCATTGCGCTGATGACGTCGACTATGGAAAAGAGCTGGTCAAGCTAAAGGTGGTTGCGATACATTTGCGTTCCAATGCGGTCGTGCTTTTATAGGTTCAGGTGTCTGTCGGCTCGTGTATACACTTCGCAGCGGGAGTTACAAAGATACCCCTGGTTGCCGTTCACTACTCCATGCTGCTCCACCTGATACAGGTTGACGCATGTCCATAACGGCCAACGTGTGAGCACATGTACGTTGTTCAGCAAAATAGCTGTCAGTGAGAAGGCTGCGCCAAATGCAAATTTTCAGATACCCTCGGCTTCGAGGGTTCAAAGTGTGGCGTATTCGCGAGCCGAACAAAAAGGGAAATTGTGCTACCAAGCTCATCTCCGCCAGTGGTGAGATAGCGTCGATCTACCGCCGAACCTGTCACAGCGTGTCCTCCGAGTCAGTCCACGAGGGCGGATAACGACAATACCCAGAGATATGCTGAAATCGAAGGTTGCCTCGTGTAGATGTGCAGACTCCAAGAAACCTGATTCATCGTGTGGAATGTAAATTTGCCGTGCAGTATTGCTCGCGGACACAAATGTGCCAGTGTTTTATGCAGACCATAGTGGTATGCGAAGCCTTAACAAATTGACTCTGTGCGTTCGATTGATCGCGTTCCTACGCGCGTTTCCTGTTCGTGAGACTCGTGTGACACGGAGATGCAACACGGCGAAAGAAGGTGAGTATAATCCTGTGACCTCGGAATATGGAGACACTCTCAATTTCTGTCACTTATAGAGGATACGTCCAAGCATACTTGTATGGCAATCATTCGCTAGCGGCCACCGCGGTACTCATGATCCGGAGTCCGGACACTTTCCAATTGGCGTGTCCGGATTCCGAACATTGCACGAACATGGGATGATGACGCCTTCTGATTGGCCAGCATGCAGGGTCCGGCCGGGGAAGTGAAGGTGTCTCAGATATAAATTGAAAGATTAACTATGCTGGTCAATGTTCGGAGTATATCCGGGCTCCGAACAACGGTAGGCTTCGGTCGACCGATGCAGAAATTGAGATCACTACATCAACTCGTATCACTCATATTGTTCTCCGGTTTCCTCAAGGCAACTCTCCATTGTCCTCATTCGTTGGCTCTGACAATCGCTACTGGCATGGGAGCCGGAGAAAACATGAAGAAGAGGCTAGTTGGGTTGCCATGATAATTGCCGTTGGTCTCGTACTCAGACCTATCGTATCCGCGCATTCTACGTTCCGCAGTGATGAGATGCTGATGCGGTGGGTGGATATGGGTACGAGGCCACTTTTAGTGATTTATATTACTGCTCGCTCTATCGGCGCTCTCGAAGTCTGAGGCGCCACTGGCCCGGGGGCTGCCAGTGGGCGTCACGCGTTAAGGCGGACGTGTCTCAGTGACCAATCACCGCAATCACTTCCTCTAACTTGTGCAGTGGGCCTTTTGCTTTGGATACCACAGCGCTTTCTTTTTCTAGTGGGCGCATCACACTGCAAGTCATCAGTCCTCAGGTTACCGTGATGACAAGCGCTGCCTCGTATACGACAGCCTCACCTCCTTTCAACAAACCCAACGCAGATGTCATACTTCAGTCCTCAAATAACGTCAGGTTCCACGTTCATACCGTTGTTCTCAGCCTTGCATCCGAATTCTTCGAGAGCATGTTCACGCTTCCACAACCAACTCAGAAGGACGTTGACACTGAAAGAGGGATTCCTGTGATCCCGGTGACAGAGGATGCCGACACGTTGGACCACCTACTGCGATTCTGCTACCCTGTCGATAACCCGATCATCCCCGATGTGGAGTCAGCAGCAGCAGTCGCGAAAGCAGCGATGAAGTACCAGATGGAAAGTGCCATAACGCTTATGACCCATCTGCTTCAGGACTTCGTCAAACGCCATCCTCTTCATGTGTATGTGGTGGCTTGCAGCATTGCATCGGACCAATTGGCTCTCGAGGCAGCACTCGAATGGTCTAGGACAAGTAACATCGATAGCTACATATCGGAGATGGACCATCTCTCTGCCGCCCAATATTTCCAACTCCTTAAGTCCCGACACTCAGGTGCTCTCGCGTCCCCCGGCATCAGCTTTGAAGAAGAATCAATCTCAGACTCTCGTAGTTCGTGGGATACTCGCCGTACCACCGCAGTTGCCCCATTCAATGAGTCTGCTATTGGTACTGATCTGATCCTCCGCTCCGAGGACGGGGTACACTTCTACGTCAGCAGGGCATTGTTGCTTCTCGCATGTACACGGAACCCGTCTATCCTCGACTCCTCTAGAACATTCATGGGCGGGAAGCCCGTCGTGCAGTTACCGGAGCACAGCTCTATCCTGCTGAAGCTACTGCAATTGACGTACCCACTATCTCTTCCCGCTCTTGGGAACTTGGAGGAGACCACCGCCATCATCGATGCAGCTGAGAAGTATGGACTGACGAGAGCATCTGAAATTGCGAAGGACCACTGGCGCGATTACATCGAGTCGTCCCCATTCCAGTGTTACTTCATTGCCACTGCGCGCGGGTGGATCAAATCAGCTGAAATGGCGATGAAACACGCGGCCGTGGTTTGCCAGTCTGATCGCTACGAGGACTACATGGAAGGCAGCTCAGCGGAGGCTTACCATCAGTTCCTCCAATATCGCCAGCGCTGCCGCCAAGCCATCTGCGATGTCATGATCCAATACGACTCCGCGAGTGCACGCGTGGGAAGTAGCACCGCATTATATTGGAGCACCACTGTCGCCACGAAGAAGGGTAGACTCACCCCTGTAGACCATTGGACCATTGATGGCATGCACCTTCTGATACACCCGAAGGTCAATGCAAATCATCGATGGCGATGGCACGAGAAGCTACATAGTATATTGGCCAAGCAACCGCAATACGACAGCTCAATGCCGGGGAAACTTGTCACGCAAGTAAGGAATATTGAGGATAAAATCCGGAGCGCCTTCGATAAGGTTAGCTAAGTATACCATATATAATGTGCAAGGATTGCGTCGCTCATACTATTTCTTCCGAAGATCAATCGTGAATTTGTCCTTATTCCTAGCAATAGGAACAGTGCGCACTAGGCCCGTCGGTATAACGGGGATATGTTGAATAAGCCATCCTGCATCGTTGGTCGCACGCGCGACAGGTCTCTGCTAATCAGTACGCTCCTATTTGCACCATCATACTGCACCGACGCCCGAGCTCGTAGCATGTCCACTGGCCCTTCGTGATCAACGATCAAAACGCTGTACATGATGGAGGACTCCTCGTATACGTCGACTATCATATTTACGCTAGGTATTCTAGCTTTAGCTCTCGAGCCTTAGCGGCAGCATCACGTATATCCCGAGCAGAATTATGATTCACAGATTATTGACTTGTTGCTGTTACTTTTATATAGGTAGTCTCATTGATCCGCATAAACAACCAAATTTCATTCGCACCAGAACCAGGGAGTGAGCATTTCAGGACGTCTGGTTCGAAGGCAATTTGTCGTACCAAAAGTATGCATGAGATCGCTGGTACTCACATCAAACGACTCGCGTAGGAAGTTATTCCTCGCGTGGTGGGTAAGGCGTTTCGCATCTCTGCAACTGAGTATGGTTCTCAGGCCTCTTATCGCTCTTGTCCCGCGCGTTCTGCAGTTCGGGTTCTACAGCCGTAGCCAGGAAAACGGGGTCTGCATAGAATGGCTTGCCGGCAGAAACCGCACGTGCGCCAAATTCTACTACAAGACAGGGGCAATGACTGATGACGGTCTGATAAGTACGGCATAGAAGTCCAATTCTAGATGTCGACCGACGAAATTCTACTGAGAGTGAATATCCACGTTCAAGAGGAGGAACAAGTATCTGGCGAGATAATGGGGTGGCAGGAATGCCCACGTAAACCAACGAGAGGCCTATTCGGACGGATGTTACGTTGTTCTAGATTTATGACAGATGTAAACGTAAGCGTCTCGCCTGCTAATTTGTTGTGTGCAGATGAAGCAGGCCTTCAACCACCTACGTAACAACCACATTCAGCAAGCCTGGGTGCAGAGTGGCGTGGAGTATCACTGACCTACTAGACAATGTCCACCATTCCTTGGTCTTCTGAGGAAGTTTCAGAAAGATTATGCCCTGGGGTGCTCCTGTCACGAGTGTACCGCTTGGGCAGCACTTCGTCCACCATTGTGGATAGGCGAGCCCGACCGACGTTGGTATCTGAAGGATTGTTAGGTATGTCATAGAGATCGCCTTCTGAGTCGAATTCTTCCGCGTCACTGAGTTCATCTAGCTCGCGATCCAGGTTGACTTCGAGAGCCTGATGGTCGTCTTCAAGCATCTCGCCCAAATGACCAATGATTCTCGATGCGAACCTCGAGAACGAGGTTTTATGAGAGGATAAAGTGCTGCCATTGACGTTGGGGGTGCCGGAAAAATGGCGTAGTTTGAGGAAAAAGCGGCACAAAACCACAGTACTGATGCTGTTAACTGTCAGTTTGGAAGCGTGTCAGCCAAGGGGGAATCAATGCGCCTACTACTCCACAGGCCCGGAGAAATCCAATGAATTCTGAACAGACGCCGCTAAGTCAGGATAGAAAGTCGTGTCAAATGCACCCACATCCGTCAGTAATGTGCTTGTAATGTTGGTTGCATTGAGTCCGACCACTAGCCTATTACCATGATGTTATACTATAATCTACTGTCAGGAGGATAGACTCACGCAAAGTGCACAGTGCCTACACGTACAAGTGTATGAATGCAATCGCACTCTATATCGAGGTGGACCACGCACCATCCCGGAATAGCATGGATGTGAGAGATCCTCTGCTGTTCAGTGCAGTCAATCCTCGGTTGTTGCGTGTTGCCTGCCATGTGGACATGACGACGAGGAGATTCGAGATGAGGATACATGCCCGGCTGACGAGAAGCACTGCAGAAGCAACGAATACATTTCATTTCAGTTCAAGGAATGTGCATATCGCAATGGCCTTACATCTTGAAGATCCTGATCAGACTTCGCTAGATGTAGATAGGTACTAATCTGACGTACCTGTTGCTCTTGGAGGCGGAGAATGAGTATCCAATGACCCCAACTTCAGCAGTACAATACACAGATTCTTTAGAGCTTCCATACTGTGAACCACGCATGAATGAGTGACATAATATCCACAGTGAGAAAAATATTCACAATGTTGAGAGTAACAGGTACAAGCCCCAATATCATCACAACTGAGGCTTTCATCCACTGCTGGCCGTCGATGGCATAGACTCGTATCGAGGTGAACGCTGTCAGCCACATGTGATAAGACTGTAACATCAGAGAATGACGACGAATGTACCTGCCTGGGCGAGATACGTCCCGCAGAGAGCACCTGTCTGTAGTATACCTGAGATGAAGAAACTAGAATCAGTGTAGTTGAGCATTCCCGTCAAACATAATCAATGTCTAAAGTCACCCCTGAGGATGTCATGAGCTAGGATGATTAAGAACGGTGTGAATTTTTGAAGACTTACTTCACATGATGGTATAGTGTACATAATGACGGTTGCGATGACATTTGCTAAGCTCACATAGCGGAGAGTTACGTATAAAGCAGTCGCTCCCGTAAATTTGCAAGCCCAGATAGCCCGACACTCCAGATTGAATGTGATGATGGAATCATACACAAAAAGGCCTATCCGTGTATCAGTGAGGGCCGCATTTACGAGCATCGTCATGTACGCACTTATAGCCATGATCCCAATATATGATTCTATCAAGCTGCGGTATCAGAGCAAAGTATGTATCGACACAAAATACAGCACCAAGTGAGTAGGTTTGCTCACATATACGCGAACTGGCTTTCATCAACGCTTGACTCAGACATTGTCAACGGAAGGAGATGTACTGAAAAGGTGCCCACGACATACACCGTATATATGCTGGTTGAGGGTGGCATCCGTTCATCAATCTAGATATAACCTCCCGGTCGAGCGGTTAAATCGTGAGATAAGTTCAATATTATGAATTCTTCACGCATGTACTTCCTATCCATACAGATCCTGGGTGCCATGCATTCATTACCACCGTGAGTTGATGACAATACCAGAAAAAGACACAATTGACCTCACCAGAGCCTTAACAGAGCACCATTCTGAGATGTCATCTCTCGACGAATTTACCACACAGTATGGTGTGTGGGATTCGAGTTAGGCGACCATCTTGTGGATGTATTCCTATCGAACAAACCACAGTGGCCGATAAGACTATGTTCAGATAGTATGAGTTGTGTACACCCGCGACAGGCCCATCCTGACAACAAGATGCTACCTGTAGTAGGGTGAGCCGGAACCTGCACAACCTGAACAGCATGCGAACTCAGGAGGAAGTTAAAGATATCAGGTATCACTGAAGCGACATCGAAGGTGCCTGGCTATTACCACATGATCCACATCATACAATCGGACTTTGCAAGTGACACCATTTCGTCACCATGCACTAGAGAGCGGAATATAGCAATGGAATGTGGTACACCCCTGTGGCGGTGGCGGTGGCGGTGAATTTGCCACAGATAGAAAGTGAGACTTTTGTTCTCCATTCATGTTTGGGTGACGAACGCCACAAAACACTACTGTTGCACAGACTAGAGCCTGCGTAATGTTCGTCAGCTGAACTTACGGCGTATCAAATCTACTCACGAGCAATAGGAGACGATCTCGCAATTTACAGCATTCGGGTACCGTCCATCCGAGTTGGCTATGCTCTGACCGAGATCCGGTATAAAGCCATGGGCACGCTGCGTGTAGGGCTTCTTTGTTTTATACAAATGCCCAAGTTGAAGAGGATTGCTACCTTCATGCCGGTCATGCGACCCAGCGAGCGCAATCAGATATGACTGTGGTAATCCAAGCGAATGGTGATGTGTACCATTACTCGAGCACTACCTGAGATAACTTACCATTTTCGACATGAGGCATGCAGAATGCTCAAAGCCTGAGACAGATTGCTTTGTCTGTGGGTATATTAAACAACTATAAGCGAGAATTTACGGATCTTGTTGGGCGACCGCATTCAGGTCGCAGACGCTCTGCCGCCCCCTACCTCGTCTTGTGTCTCGGTGATTTACATATAGTCTATGGAAGTGGCGAGCCGAGAGGAAGAACTACTTCTGGGCAATCGACGCGGTTCTTGCCGCGCGAGGAAGCGCCACACAAAGATTTAAGACACCGCACAACCCGCACTCCATTGTGCGGTTCTATACGAGAGGGCGGAGACCACTACGAGGAGTCACCTGCGGCTCAGCTACACTCTATATTGACCTTAGTTGTATGGAGTATAAACTCGCGAAATTAGAAGTCAAAAAACAAAGAAAGAAAGAACAAACAAGCGAACAAAGATAACAAACAGCCAAACAAACATAGCACCGGCATTTGCCGGTAGTGGCATCTGAGGCGCGCCCTCGAGTTTGCATACTACTAGACGAACACGATCCGTGAGCGCCATAACCTGTAGCCTTCGCAGGATATACACTCTAAAATGGCCACTACCTCACAGGTCCTTTCATGTCTCATGCGTGCTGATTTTCCGGATGTACGAAATCTCTTCTGTACAATAAGTCTTGTCGTGTCAACTCAGCTTGCCAGCGCTCCTGAGTTACAAAATTGCAAACATATGCACGACTGCTTTATTCGTTCATATCATGACGCATCTGGAAATAGAACAGTATTTTGCATACAAGTTTTCTTCAATGCCAATGGTAGCCCGAGACGACAGACTACATGCGCAGCTTCATCAACTCCCTCTTCGCCTTCGTCAACCGGTCGCGCTTGTTTCGCATATCCTCTCGGTACTTGGCGATCATGCGGTCCTCCTGCAAGTAGCGCGAGCACTTCTCGTACCCATCAGAACTGCCGACGCCGAGCTTTGTCCTGAGGTTCGACTCAAGGACCTGGTAGCGATTGAGGCCGAGGATGAGCTTCTCATCGATAGCAATGGTAACATTGTCCACGAAGCGCTTGTATGCCACTGAGAAGGACGGTGTGAGCACAAGTATGACAGACAGAATCTAAACATCCGTCAAAACCTTGGAAGTAAGCGCGCACGCTAGCCATGATAGCAATGGCAGCTTCGCGAGGGTCGGTCGGGAGGACCTTCGCCAGATCCGTGGGCCGGAGACCATTTATGCCAAGCTTGTTGAAACAGGAGAGTACCACTCCGATAGTATCCTGCTGCTCCGCACCTTCCCCCGCGGCGGGATCGTACGCCTTCAGACTGTCAAGAAGTGCGAGATTGTTGTACTCGGGCCTCTGGCTTTTGTACCATGCGAGGAACTTGTCGCGGTAGTCGCGGTAGTAGTGGTCGTTGAGTGTACGCGGCCGCTTCTCTACGTCGATCAGCCAGTGAAGATGCTCCTTCGACAAATCTGACAGTGCAGCAATGTGGTCTGTGACAATCATCCTGCCAAAGGACAACTTCAGCATCGTGTAACGTTATGCAAAACGAGCAGAAGACATACATCGCCTGTGCTTGCAGGTTGGGATACTGCGCGAATTCTAAGTGGATAAACGTTTTGATCTTCGAGCTCAGAATCGCCTCTATCTCGTCGAACAATTTGAAGGTCGGCGTGTCCCAGTCTTGAATCAACTCCCTCACGAATTCCTGCGTGATGATAAATGGATAATGGTCTGGAAGCTCGCGGGTGATTGCCCTGCGAGTACGTTGAGCATATGAAGCGCTGACTGTAGCGAGGAGACTCACTTCTGAGAGCGCTCTGCCACCTCATCGATGTATATTGGCCGGCGATCATCCGATTGTGGCGGAATTTCCTCATGCTTCAGGAAATCCGGATGCTTTGAAGACCCTTCTTCGTCATTTTCCATCTCGCTGTCTGAACCATCCTCGCTGTCTGAACCATCCTCGCTGTCTGAACCATCCTCGCTGTCTGAACCGCTCTTGCTGTCCGGGTCGCTTTCTACTTCGCCTTTACGAGACCTGTCTCTTGCTTGAAAGTTCGGAGCTGTACCGCGAATGGCCGTTTTGAAAGCATCTTGGTAGGGCCTGATCGTCTGCAGCAGTCCGTCCGGCTCGGGCGTCCCCTCCAGGTACCGCGTCAGCTGCATCGAGAATCTACTGATGAGGTTGTAGACCTCGCCCACAGGATCTTGGGACGGCTCTGTCGGCAGCTCACGTAGGTGCTCCTCCGTCGTTTGCAACGACTTTTGTATCACAAGCTCTATCTCAGGAAGCCTGGCGGGTAAGCGAGCATTAGGCGAGCAGAAGGACAGCGGCGTAATATCATAGCACGTACCTCTGCGCCATGAAGGCCGACAGAACCATACTACAACGATCAGCGAGAGCCTTGCTGCCGAGGTTTCCGCGAGCTGACACCGAGAGGTCGCACCAGGGCGCGGTTCGCAGGAAGAAGCGCTCCTCCTCCTCGCGGGCTTGCTCGTGCGTCATCCCTTCTTTTATCTCCCGCGTGTTCGGAGACTTGACGCTGAACCAGCCGTTCTCAAGCCGCCAGGTCGCATTTTGGTTGCGCAGGATCGCGACCCAAGTGTCCTCGTCGCCAGCTGATATGCGGTCTGGCTTCGTGAGAACACCTGTGACGCGGTAATCACTGAGCGTCGAGCTCGTGAGACGAGGGAAGCACCTACCTATAGTCCGCTCGCCTTTTGGATCCACAAGGCGAGCAATCTCGTAGCTACCCTGGTTGTGCAGCTCGGCTGGGCGTTGAGACGAGTGTTAACGATATGGGACCTTGAGATTGACGACAATCACTCACTTTCACATGAAATCGTGAGCAGAATGATGCAGCTCGGCCTCGAGACGTATTCAGTTACCAGGTCGCGGATGAGTTGTATTTCACCTGGTACGCCTTCGATAGAGGTAGCAATGATACCTGTTCCACAGGTGAGTAACATATGAGGCTACTTCAACGAGAACGAATGAACCTGGCAGGTCGACAAATGATAGGTCGGGTACGTCAGATCCGCTGATCTCCAAGTACACGCAGTTCTTGGAGAAAGTAACCTCTGACGTATCCGGGTCCTCATCGTCGCCCTCAAGAAAAGTTTTCAATGACGTGCTACGATTAAGGATGGCACGTTGCGCGCGTCGGATACGTTCGGTGACGTCCTCCTTTGACTCAATGTCATCACCGAACCGCTCGATTACGGTGGGGACATCTTCGTCTCGCGGTCCCTTCGTCCACATGAGGCTCACACGGCAGTTCCATGGAGAAGCTGTGTACTTGAGCCTACAGTACGTCGGGCATCTGCACGTAGAATGTGATATTGAGTCCTGAAGAACCTACTGCTAGTACACGTACCGCGTACAAGTGCCACCCGCGCGAGGAAGTGTGATCCCGGACATAGCCTCAATCAATGAAGATTTCCCTGCGCTCTGAACGCCCACGACAGCGATCATGGGAATTTCAATATCCACCGTGACTCTGAGATGACATTCGTGAACACAACGGACTGAGTACAAATAAAAAGAAATCTTGACCCAGTCTCGAAAAGACTGCTTGCAATAGCGATGTACTTCCGCTGCTCGAGGGCATAATTAGAAGCCGACAGAGCATCAACTTGGTGGACGTCGGAGGGGGAGAGCATGGCTGATTCGAGGGGATGAAGCTGGAGATGGGAAGACCAGCAGATGGGGGTCCAGTACAGGGAGGGGGCTGATATATTCAGGAAAGAGACCGACACTAAGGTAAGCAAACGAATGTCATATATCTCGTAAATTGTCACCTGGAGAAGAAGTGTATGTCCTTGTGTGCGCCATGGGCGCTGATGGACCATGCGGTACCCACCAGCCTTACCTTTTTCGAGAACTCTGTATCAGTGAAAGAAAACGACATATAAACGCTGTAGCCCACTGTGCATAGACTCGGGACTTTTCAAGAAGCAACAGTCTTTCCTTGGTATTCTAAGATCAAATCACATGTGGAGCCATCATTTATACAATGATACAAATACGGAGTTACAACGTGGCAGCGACGAAGTGGGCGATGAGTCGCATGAATCCCGTGAACAACGAGGCTATCTGTACTTGCTGTGGAGCGGGGGCATCACGTTACGAGCCCAAAAGGCGACGCAGAGTCACTAGCTCTAGAACAGAACGGAACCAAAATCAACTTGCACTACAATTCGGCGTTTAGCCGGATGGACGGGGATCAAGCAATAAAACACCAGATTGAGTTGCATTCTAGAAGAACCGTGGCCTCGTCAACAGTGCTTCTCGCTGTAATCAGGACAAATCAAGGACCCACTGCTACCGGTGATTGCATATAAAGGCCAGGGGGCTGCCGCACTCCACAGCTGCCCCAAAGTTGTGGGTAGCCTTCCGAAGTCACATGTCTCCGGTCACAGTTGGCTGACTGACCATAATGCGTCGTTAGTCAGCAGTACCTTTTTCGAGATGGTGTATCGAAGGGAAACGACAGCTCTGGGAGTGGACTTTCGTGGTCTTAAAGCGTCGCAGATAGTGTTTGACTGCTGCGAAGACATGCTACAAACACGGTGTCTGATACACGATTGGAAAGCTGGTGAAAGGGCCAAGCTACGCACCTATAGCATTCTCTTGGTCCAAGGAGATCGTAGCATCATATGTCGCTGAATCGTAAGAATCCGAACGGAGCGCTTTGCTGTACAACTTGTCGCCTGTCCAGAATGCGATGACTCGAAAAGTGCTGGCATTGGTATTTGCCAGTATCAAAGCCAATATCCATGTACTTCGGGGAGAATATACACATCGCAGACCCATAATGGCCTACAGCTGCATATCAGTGGTCGTTAAAGCCGAGTCGAATGTTATATGGCCACCGGGGACAGTGAGTGAGTAATCTTGTAGTCTGGTTCACTACAATACACCTGTCCCGCGCGATATCTACATCAGCAATGCCATCGAATATCATTATTTTTATTCTATGTCTGAATTCAATCCCTCTGTCGCTCCTTTTCGCTTCAGCTCTCCTGCCGGATACCAGTCATGCCGCGGGGACTTCGAGTTGTGTACTTCCAATTGCCGCGATACAGTGGGGGAGGTGTCACCGCCGGGACATGATATTGGCATGGCCGTAGCAGATCGCGCGGTGTCAGATAATCATGCATTACAGTCAGTATGGATGCGACATATCGAGCTTTCATGAAAGGCGGTGGACAAGCTTGCAACCAACGCTATGGTAAGTTCAGATGGTCAGCCGGCATGGCCCGGCCATCAGTCGGCAATCGCTTGAAATGCTGTCTTACGGTCCGGGTTGCGCGTATTGAAGCAGACCTTTAGAGAGCCCATCCTCTGACCATCAAAAAGGGCGCTCTATTGTAGGCTGCCTAGGGGAGACAAGTAATCTTGTAAATAGCACCAATGCGCTCGGCGCTTATGAATGTCGGATGGTTAGGGTTACGCGATACGGAACTTTCGTTCAACGAGTCTGGAGAACAAGCAACGCCAACAAAGTATATACAAGAGACGAGGAAATTGGCCATATGGTGTAAACGAATTTGCCTTCGCTATGGAAAAATGCCTCAGGCTTTCCTCCACCCCTCTGCCCAGCCTCCACCAGATGGTGCTGTTCTGGACTTACTAAGCTGCTTTGGCGTTCGCTGCTCTTGTGTCGTCTTCGCAACAGAAGAGTATCCACGCGCCACAGCACTGTAGGACGTCTTGACCATGGCGGAGTTAGTATTGCTGCGGGGGCGGGTGGTTGGTAGAGCTGGGAATTCACTGGTAACGCTGGAAGTACGGTCGTTCTTGACGGGAGCGGTAGGTATTCTGGAGCGTGCTGAAGATGAGGTCGTGGGAGAAGATGCCAGTACGCTGTTCCGTACAGGAGTCCGTGCTGATAGAGACAGAGCTTGGGTGCGTTGATACGCTGAGTTCGACGAGCTTGCAGTCTCCGCTTCTGAAGGTGCGCGCGGCACTTTCGGCGTGGAGGGTGTCATAGTCACTCCAGGCATGTTTGCCGTACGCTCTGCTATACGCTGTGGCAACGTCCATACCGCTTCGCCTCTTTCGTCTTTCCAGTGCTGCGCCATGCAGCCGAGAAGTGTGTTGCGACCGGAAGAGTCGAGGAAGGGGCGGTTCGTGACAATCACCATTCCCGCCTGCAGTCGAGTGAGCATGACATTCATGCGCTGAAGCGACTGAAGGAATCCGGGGCGTGTCGTGCGCACAGTCGACACTATGACATAGGGCATCTCGTGACCTGACTCATTATAAGCCGCGCGCTCCTCAACAGCAATATTGGTCGCGGACGTACCTTGAAAACTGTCCACGTTGTAGACCATATCCCATGGAAGATCTGCCGCCTTTAGAGACTTTTGGATGGCACCCCTCTGTGCGTCGTAGGGTGTGATAACGCAGAAGTCTTTGGTCTTGTAGTAGTACCGAACAAGATTAATGACGGCGTGCACTTCCTCCATATTCTAATGCAGTCATGTGAATTGAGTTTGGGAAACGTCTGTGAACTTGTAGACGTACCATCCAACTCGATCCGACCTTCGTCTCTTCTCCTTTGGAGACGTTCACGAACTTCACACATGACATGTCCGTGATTCGATGATCGGAGCGCAGTTTCGAGTTGTAGACATGTTTAGAGATGAAGTCGCCCACAGGTATGGGCATACGGTCTTGTAGTTACCTCGTAAGTATGCATTATAAGGCGGCGGTTCGGAAAATGCGTCTTACATTGTGTCTCAAGGAAAAATGCCGCGGGTTTGATATGTTTGAAGTCAAAGATGGTTTGAATTCTAGGTGCCGCTTCCTTGCCGTACGGCGGAACTAATTAAAAGTGAACACCAATAGTGAATGCCGGACAAGTGGCACTCACGCTGCTTCGGATCCCCAAAGAAGCATATTTTCTGTAATTCTTTAAACTTGTGGAAGAGATGCTGCCAACGTCGGATGCAGCCGAATAAGTATTCGAATATTCAGCTTATCCCCACACACACCATGAATTCAAAGGTGTCTATCTGCGAAGCCTCATCCACAACCAACCTTTCCACGGGGACTAAGTCGAATACACCACACGTGTCCAACGCGGGGTTCGACAACATACTCAACGTGCACAAGATGACACTTGAGTCTAGGAGCAGACGTCCGACCATGGCCCCGTGTTGGAACAGGTCATCGGAGCGAATCAGGTACCGTTCAAGAGGCTCGTAGATGTGTTCATGCCTGCGTATCATGATTTAAATTATGAAGCGATCACGCAGGAGAGAAATTCGGATCACAGACCACTCGACATAGAATTCCTTGGAGACGAGGACCTTGAAGTCGATGTCGCATTTCGCAAAGCTCAGTGCAATGTTCTTGACGCCGACATTGGACTGTGCAACGACCCATACAGGATGTCTCAGACGCTGACCATCCCAAAATTTGGTGGCAGCGGAGATGGTCCTCGTCTTCCCTGTACCAGGCGGCCCTGTGATAGATGTGTATGAAGAAAAAGCAAAATGCATTAATAGCGTAGATCTACCATGCGCAACAATGATCGGCATCTCCTCCGAGACCATGGCATTTGCAACTCGCTGCTGCGACATATTGAGGTCCAAAAACGCCCCGTTATACTGGCTTTCGACCTTGTTGACCGACAAGGTACTTGTACGATGAAACCATAAGAGCTTGATGAACTCGGAATGAGTGAGGAAGACCTCCCCGCGTAGTAGGCGAAGAAGAAACTCGTCCCGTGCGCGCTCCGCATTGGTAAGTTCTTCTTTGCCAACTACACGGACGTTCTGCACCCCGCCACGGAACTTTCCGCTTGATAATTTGATTGTGGTGGTCTTTCCCTCAACTTGTATCGCCTGTCCATACACCATTTTACCGTCTGCGGTGTCGAAAACGACTGTGGTCTAGACGGGCGTGAAAGATTGGTGCCTGAACTACCACGATGCACTCACCTGTTCACTGCGCCGCACTCTCTTCTGGTATCTCGCGTTCTTAACTAAGACGTTTCCATCGCCCATCTCCACATTTTCAAACTCGTTCTCGAACTGGTCCGGTTTCTGCGCTTCGAGAAGGTCGACATTGAGCACAAGCTGACTGAGACAATCGATTTCTTGGTCCGAGAGGTATTGACTCGTGTCAAGTTTAGCGGCTTCCTCGATTTTGCCGCTGCATTGTGCTGCCGCACTGCGAAACGTGAGATTGTCTTTAGTTGGTTGAGGAGGCCGAACGACTATGGACTCACAATGCGGATAGCCATGCACGTAAACATAGGTTGTCCTCCCCCTGGCCGAACCATATGGTGTTGAAGTCATGTCGGTTTACCTCTGGGTTTATGCGATTGCGTATGAAGGTCTGTGGTGACCAACTATCCCGTGTCGAGGGAGAGGCTAAGGTGCCCAAGTCGACCCCTATGCTATGGCACCCCAAAACACGATACAACTGCAAAGCGACCCTTGCCATGTCAAATGAGACAAGAGGACAATCTTTGCAATAAAACAGCTCCTGAAGACGACGGGCGCGTGGCGAGTTCGCTTGGAGATCAAGCAGGTAAATGCGGTCTTTGTTAGCCAGCGCTAATGTATCTATCGTAGCATCGACTGATAGCTGCAAGGAAATTCCGAGTACTGACGCGCCATGGAGTTGAACGGCCTGCACGAGCTTCTCAATTTCGTGCGACAAGTATCTTCGGATTGGAATACGAGTTGGTGCAGATGACGGCGGGATGATGTCCTGGAAAACATATTGAGACCCTAGAGTAACGGTGGGCGACATCATGAGCAGGAGGGCGATATGGAAGCTGGATCATGTCCGAGCTTATATCTAACTCAGGATTGGTGAACCACGCAGGCGACATGAGGTTGATGAACGAAAACGTGTTCACAGAAGTTGAAAAACAGCCCCTTTGCGCAGACTTGATGACCACGTGTTGTCCTCACAAAGGATGTAGATAAGCCTGCGCCTCGTCTGAGTATTGACCGATATTTCGCCACATCATGCATTAGCGTGTGCAGTACCAGAGCGTGAAGAAGGACGATGGCGGACATGAAAGCACTTCTGGGGCCGTCTGCTCTGGACCGGCCATAGTCAAGAGAGTGTCCTCATGATCTGGAGGATGCATGGGAAAACCGGATATTGCAGTCTCGGATCTCAGCTTCGAAGCGCAGGCAGTGTTCGCGCATGAGTTGCTGCCATCCGCAAACGCCCTGCAGGCTGCCCGGAAGATAATCAGCTCCGCACTTGATCGGTTGCGTTATCGCGGATGCTATAAGAGCAGAAAATGACAACAAGCGCTCACATGCATCTGCACGGGTGACAAGGAACGATACCATTCGCACAACCAAGAATTATCGTGACTACCACCTTATGGCCAAAACAGTCTATACGGGAGGAACCCATGTTGAATACAGCTTCAAACATACGCCCAGCAAAAACGACAGACGGGCAGATAAGAGCTTCCGTATGAGGCCCCGCCATCAGACTATTACGACGTAGTGGCATTGTCAAAGCTCGTCATGTCGCACATTCTTGTTGTGGCTGTCCGTGGCCGAACGCAAAATGGCGCCAGAGATACCGCGGAACCATGCGCTCTGGGCTCTCGGCGATGCCCACTCTGGTTTGCTCCCTGCTGACGCCGCAACGTCATAGCACCTGTATCTACCTCCAAAGACTAGCACGCACCTCCGAAGAACGTCTCGAGATGCAGTCCCTGAATGTGCCCTTCAGGCTCTGTGCGCAGTACGAGCCCACAAACGTGTATCACCGACTTCCCGTCCACGAAGACCTCCACTTCACCTATTAGACCCACGGGATATAATAATGGCGACAGTTGAATGCATATATGCGACCAATATCAGCCTGGCTTGTATAAGGATTCAAGGCCACTGACCATCTTCCTTGCCGACTGTATTCATTCTCACGCGCTGCGCAATCGCCGTCCACCGCCCAGCCTCGAACATCCACGCCCCGCGCCCTGTTGATATACCAAAGTCCCGGTTGTGTAGAGAATCCGGCGGAGTAGCTAACAGTCTCTCAGAGTTGGAGGCAGATGGCGGCACATATGCATAAAGCTCCCCGAGTCCAGAGGCCCTTTGTCAGCGCATATATTATGGATACCGACCAAAGTATCACGAACAATGACATGAGCGATATTATAGCGATTATTCATACTCGCCTACCTCCACATGAGACGCAGATTGAAGCATTGACAACGATCTTGTTTACGGCCACCAGTACATCCGAACGCTTTGTCGCCTACACCGCCATCTGTGCACGCCGCACTCAAGTCGTCACGGTCCGCACCATTCATGGAATTGTGTCAGGAAATAAACGAAACGACGTACATATTCCAGGAAGCTTCCCTCCTAATGCCCATTCGAACCCGTCCTCGAACATGACCTCATAACTCATCACCACGTCCAGCACTCCCGGACCTTCTGTGTTTATATCTTTGATAATGGTGGCAAATTCTGGAGGCCCGTGAAGATAAAACCCAAAGCCGCCAATTGGAGCATTCTTGTTGCTCGGATTGACGCTCCCTCGTGGAAAGAACGCCTCCCATGCTAATGCTATCGAGCTGTCTGTAAGCTGATCTTGCAATTTGGAGAGCGGAGGTGCCACGAGAGCGCGAGGCATGCGCTTTGAAATCGCGTGCAATCCAAGAGCCTCGTAGTTCAACGGGTAGTAGGTGAAAACATCAGAGAGGCTTGCCAGACTCGTCGAGGTGGTGAAGCCGTACATGACATGGACCAGAGCGTGTAGCGGGAAAAGCGGGTGTGTACTGTCTCCAGTGGTGCTGGGTTCCATGGTGGTACTCATTGAGCAGCTAGAGGACGTATAACAGACATGTGGATCGGAATTATCAGGTATGGCGGCGGTAATGTTCAAAGTCAGTGTTGGCGAACGCTCTCGGCAATCCCCGGCTCATGTTCCAGTTCGGTAGCAACTTGCTAGCATCGTTATCTTGATCCATGGGCAACTGTCCACTAAAACTTGTAATTACGATTCTGATACACTGTATGCACTCATAGTCGCGTCAGAGAGATTTTCGCTGGAAGAGCGCCAACTCTTCTCCAATACTCCAGCCATTTCATCACGTCCTCAGACCCCAGCTGCCGGACACGCGGATTCGCCAGCGTCTGCGAAGCCGCAATGGCTTGCTTGACTTCGAAATCAGGCCACCCCATTGCTGACGGACTGGCCTCTGACCCGTCAGGTACGTAGACACGGAAGAACGGGAGTAGCCGCAGTGCACGACATTCCCGCAGCCTCCTGCGGCGGACTGTCTTATCCTCTGGTAGCGACCTTGCTGCGTTCTCCAGTCGTGCCAGCCATTCTCTGTATGGCACAAGCTTTACAGACAACTCCGCGGCAATATGCCTTGCAATAGCATTCCAACACACGGGACGCGGATGGATGAGATGCACGATATGGGTAGGGCTCGATGCGTGGAGCATGTCAAGGAGTGCGCCTGCGGCGATGTCGAAAGGAAGGAAAGGACACGGCTGGTGTTGTGTCCCGGGATTAGTGCCCCCAAATCGCTCGGGAGGATGCAGGACATACCCGTGGATCGTCGACAAAGCACCCAAGGTATGGGGCGCTCTGCACCATGACAGGGAACCATTCGTTTGCCGCCCAATCCCCAGCAGGTCCACCGGTGAGCTGGCCAACACGCACGATCAATGGATCCAGCGTGGTCCTTTGTGCTGTGGCAAGGAGTAGCTGCTCAGCGACCCATTTTGACTGAGTGTAGCCGCTAAAAGTGGCGTATGACGGATCAGCAGGTGCCTCACGGACCGGTATATCTCGTGGTGCTTCTGAACACGAGCCAGTGAGTCGCTCTCGAATATCCGTTGATATTGCCTTGACGCACCATAGACTGATGCATACGAGCGGATAAACAGCAGATGTCGTGTATCTTCCCAGGGAGAATCGAGAGAAAACTGGATGAGGCGAAGAAGTCCCAATAGGACAGGCCCGAACGCGGCCAGCCCGCTCATCATATCCAGACGCCAGGCTGGGTGAATACAACACAGGTCAGTGCTCAGCGATCACCGTTGACGAATAGTGGCTCTGGCATGCGGCGCTGCGACGGGATAGCTGAGCTCAAGCTCGCCAGCATCGCCTTCATATTGGAATTAGTATCGTCGCGAGATGATGTCATGGTAAGTATTGAATGTCAGCGGCCCAATGGGTTGGCAGTATGCATTGAGATTCTGCTCACCGGTCGTTTTATAGATGACATACCGGAATTACCACTTACCGACACATCCTAATGCGTTCTACCAAGACACATCACGGCGGGAACCTACACCTGAACAAAAGCACATATAAGCCGCGTTCAAGACGTAGCGACCCGTGCATCTGGAAATGCAGTTGACTTGAAGGATGATAAGACCCAGCCCGCTCCGTGGTCAATCATGATGTGCAATCATTGTTTAAATGTCCGCATCGCGTTAGTGGGAATCTCGCTCCTGTAGAGACCTTCCGTCACATTGAGCTTAACACTGTCTCATGGCCAGCAATGCCGGTGTCCGTGGTGTCCCGTCCTCGGCTTACGGCTCTTCGCTCGAGGATATCCGGATTGTGATCCTCATTGTGTCCTAAGGATGCGAGATAATAGTAAGTGTACGGCGCCAACTTCAGTTGATCCTAGTATACCGTCCGAACAGGTATAATTATGATAGCCCGCTTAGGCAGCGATCCAGACGAACAGAAGCACGTGGTGTTGTCCCCGTCGTTTGAGAAGGTTACACGCAGTGAATGCCAAGACGATACTTGGTCTTGAGCTATATGGGGAGAATGGGATGCGTAGTGCATCCAACGCTACTTGCCTGGACCGCCGCGTCTTCAATCGGAGAATCATCTCGCTAGATAGTTAGGGAAGTAGTGAATCGCTGTCAAGATTAGAGGGGGAGGCATTCTGTTCCGGGGCTCCTACGGGGGGAAGGCTGGCTGTTGAGTGACCGACGAAGCTGCCCTTTGTCTGCGTCGAGTACTAGTGGTCTACCGCTGCAGTGCACGGACGAGGCGGCTCAAGGAAGAAAAAGAAGGCAGCTTCAGATTCTTCCACATATTACTTTGGCAGTCGGTCTCGATCAAGCGGCCAAGTTCATATGCGGAGTGCGTGGGTATTTAAATAGGGATAGGCTGCCACTACCGCGGAGTAAATCAGAAGAGACATGGGTATGCTTGGAGGGCGATGGTCATGCGCGTCGTGGCGTCTCGTGGCGAGCGGTCGTCACATCGCTCTAGGTTATCCCGAGACGGGTCGTAGTCTGCGAGTGTTGTTGCAACGTGTAACTGAACATAGAAAGCAGAGACATACTCGAATTTAGCCAACGCTCCACGACAACCTAACAACAGTCCAACAGTTGTAGTGGCCCAAGGTGTCGCAAGGCATGTGCCAGGTGTGTGTGAGCAAGATACTCGTCAGCGATTGCGCGTGCAAGGCAGGCCAGACGCGCGAGAATCCATAGGCCCGCATCCAGTGCAGAGCAAGAGTATCCACATGAAGTTTCGAAGACCCGAGGATGTGACATCTGTTGGAACGACGGTGCGAACGGCGACGGGCAGGCTCCTTCCCGCCGCTGTGGGAGTTATAGGGGACTTCATCCGAATAGTGTACTCAATGTTTTATCTTGTGTATCCGAGAATAGAAGTCTTGCCACAGATCATGTGCCATCTCATCACGTGCATATCATGTGATATCCCATTTGAACCTTAATCCCCTATAACTCCCTACAGCGGCTGGCACAAAACATCTACAAACAGCGGAGGACCGGCGCCGCACATCCCATATGAGGCAGGATTGATTCCCGGATATGATAAATGTCATCAAATCATTTTGATTGCATCAATTGAGATCATTGCAATCCCCCCTAAGTAAGCATAACAGCAATGCGCAGAAAGCCCATTGCTCGCAACACTTTCCATCTTGGAAGCCATATCTTCAATGTGACAGTCGAAAACCTGGGTCGCAAATGCATTGAGAGCGCTGAAGTGCCAGCCAGGCCGAGGATGAGTTCTTCAACGAAGGGGTGTTCACTGTTGCATGACGCCTTCATCAGTCAGATTGAGCTCAACAGGGATGTGATCCTTTGTGTAAAAGCCATATGTATAAAATTCATTAGCGGTGTGAAAGCTATAGTTATTGGTCACAAAACTGCACCAAGGACGACGAGACACGACGCGCCTTAGGACGCGAGAAACGCTACTGTACACGGGACCGAGATAATTATGTAATGATGGCCATTATCCTGCCTTCCTAATCGAGGTGACATGCGCCGCTCCTCCGCTGTTTGTAGATGTTTTGTGCCAGCCGCTGTAGGGAGTTATGGGGGTTTAAGGTTGGGATTCGGAGTTTGATTCAGCCTCGGATGTAGCCGGATTGTGGCGCAAGTGTGGCAGATGGGCTTGCAGGACTTAGCTTGCGTCAAATTTGTCGGATTGAGCCCCTATAACTCCCACAGCGGCGGGAAGGAGCCTGGGCGACGGGGCGCATTTGTCCACGGGCGTAGCGATGCCCGTAAGGGACAAACGCGTGCGGTACGTACATCGCGTGGGGTCGTTATATACTACGATAGGGGGCCTCCGGCCCCCGGCTACTCGCGTGCCCGAGCTTGCGAGCTCGTTCCTGACCACGCGGGTCAGCGCGTTTCAACAACATATGCTGCTTAAAGGATATCGATGAAGCAGAGTGCCCCAGACTGATGCGGAGCAAAAACCAGAGAACAACGCAGTAATTAGCTGTGCGCGCCGCACCGCACATCGTGGAGGCTTGCATGACTAGTTGCTCACAGGGCATATTCAAAGTATGTAGTCGGACACATACTCACATCAACACAGACGATGTGTTGGACACATGCGTCACCAACACACGGTAGTACTACGTATCCTTCATCCGCTAGGGTTAGGTCTTATATGATCTCAGTGCAAGAATTGTCATTTGTGGTTGGGTTCGCCCCTCTGAACGCATTGATAACAGTTCATCTGGTGGAAAAGATATGCGAGATGTCGAAAATGCGTCAGGTTTGCGAGATCGTCCAAGTAAACTAAATGGTGCAGGAGTATGGAACCATGAACGTGGATAGCTCGAGGCCGAAGAAGTTATATGCCTGCAGAGTCTGCTACGAACGCTCCGATATAAATACGTGTGGCAAGTCTGCACAGGCGACTACTCACGGTCATCAGCATGACCGTCCCAGGGGTTGATGAGTTCACCATTCCGCGGGTCGACGATCGTACCCTCAAGGTCCCTGAACGATGGTCCTTCTGTGGCCGCCGAGAATTCGACAGGGACAACCTGGACGATCACAGTGCAGTAGCGAGCACGCATGAAAGTTCTGAACATCACCATGGTGACAAAGACATGCACCGCGAACATGCCCATCACACAAAAGAGAACCGCGTTGGTATTCATCCACGCCGAATCGGACGGGCCTGTACGAGATGAACCATCTCCAAGAGGTGACCCGCTGGAGGTAACTGTGGGCCAGAGGGAAGCTACTATGAAGAAGACGAAAGAAATCATCGCCCTGTCACGTCGTTTTGCCCTCAGTGCGCAGGCAGCCTGGTGGTAAGCGATAATCTCACCATGCTAGATATGCGACAAGCGTAGCGAATAATGTCGAGGGCTTCATCCATTCTCGCCCACTAGATGAGCCCTTTGTGATTTATCATTCTATTCAGTGGATCAAACATGACGCGGCAGATCCTGTCACCTGTAGCAACAATTCTGGGCAAGGCCTCGACAGGGACGAAGTATACAGCAGGTATACGACAAATAGGAACATCGCAGCAACTGCTGAGATGATGGCAATCCAGCCAGTGACATGCAGCACGATATTGTCGGCGTTGTTGCCAACTTGCAATATGGTGATAATTGTTCTAGTATGAATGCATCGATGAGATTGCAATCCATGCAAATCAACGTAACTCACGCCAACAACAGACCACCCACGGTCAGCATGCCTGTCCATTGCACCACCAGCTGATGGACGAAGGGATCGACCAACGGTCCGGTGGACGTATCATAGGGATGATGCCCCAGGTTCATAGTAAGATATAAGGAAAGTGTTAGTATCTGCTCTTCATAGATAGGTGGTATGGAAAGGAGGATGACTTTGAGATAGAAGAAGAGGAGGGCTGCCTGCCAGAAGAGCATGTCTTGTCGGGTTCATGCTTCGTTCGTGGATCTCCCCAGTTGTCAAAGAAACGGCTGATTAGCAAATCTAGGAATCAATACGGCATATGAGCGGCTAATATTGCTAAGGTTCAACACAGCTTCATGTTTCGGCTGCGGTCTTGAAGGAAAGAAACGCCCTCGGTAATTTGACACAGAAGTTTACATTGCAATTAGACCTGGGGGCACAGCAGCAATACAAGAAACTCTCACTGCCCGCGGCAGCCGGAATAGCGAAGAGAAGTCCTGAGGCAGGGTTGGACATGCGAGTGATTGGGTGATCCTGAGGGGTTTGCCTTGCTGAGGACAGTCCGGGTTTGCATAATGGTCGTACAGCAACTGTCAAATCATAAGAGAGTTTCATATGTGTGGAATGTACCTGTCGACAATTTGCACTGCATACCTACCCTAAGCATTGTGCATCTCTGATTGTTGCTTTACTTGTGCTTCTTTCCTGTGCGACGGATACTGTGTGTGTCCAGCCACATGTTCTATAATCTCCATTCTGTTAAGATGCTCACAGCCGTCAGCTATCAGCACCGCATCTCGACAGGTCGCTTACTCTGCAGCATTTATGGGCGTAAGTGGATTCCTCAAAGCACGCGTACCCGTGTCTGATCTTTCTCATCCCGCGCTGAGGTGCTAAAGACCCTGAACAGAACACACAAGAGGCATGGTCAGCGATATGATGAAACAATTGAGGGTATGAGCGAGCTAATGCTGAGCTACAAACAGGCGTGTTCACGCGCTGCGCCTTGCGGATTATCTGACATAGAGAATGCGATCCATTCCAGCATCTGTATGAAGGTCAGACGTTCCACGATTCCGGAAAACGAGGCCGAAGCATTGGGATAGGAACACTGCCACCAGAGATAGGAAAGGCATATTGGGCACGGCCATATCGCGGGTTACGTCAAGAGGGTTGACATTGTCAGCGAAGAATATGGGCTATCAGACGAAAGCTACAACGTCTTGCGATGGCGCAGCCACAAAGGTGCACAGGGCGTGCGTGGCCGCACAATCGCGAACTGCAGGCGGCGACGCGAGCGACCCACGAGTATGCATGCCGTATGCAGGCTGCAGCTTTGAGGACTGCCTCGAACCCAGTATCTATCATCCATTGTTTCATCTCTCAGAGCTACACCAATTGACGGTTCCCAATTGCAAAATAGCGCGATACCAAAACAAGAAAGTTCGAGGCGACCCAGGAACGCATTTGACGTTGCAATAGGAGCCACTGTATAATAGAACACGCTGCCGACTCAGACTGCTTCTAGTTCCAGAAAACATCGATACAATTAACTGGTCTCGTCCGGTGCACATGATATGTGACTTGAAGTCAGCGCTTCTCAGCGACGAAGGCGCAGGAAAGAAACATGCTATAGGCCCTATGCGTCGCGCAAGGCGATATAGCTCACAGCGAGTTTGATGCGATCGATCCAGTACCAGCGCAGGCGGAGACCAACGGCTTGTCACGGCTTCCGTGCGTGTACAATGCATTTTATAGAGCATAGGAGCGCTAGTGTCAGTGTTGACGCGCCCAGAGAGGTTTTGCCTGTATCACAAGTATTCAACCTCAGGTAACCTAAGTCAACGTGAGACTGATACAGAAAATGGATCGCAAGAGCACACACTGCGAAGATACGGGCACCAGCGGGAAGAAACAGACAGAACGAGGTCCCGAAGAGTTTGTGCGGCGGCTATGCAGCCGAACGTGGGAAGCGAGATCATAAACAGCGGCGTACGCCGCAGTTAATGACCAGTGGAAGGAATCGTGCTCGACGAAGACAACGTCAGGCGTGAAGAACGCAAGCGTCCCGTGCGACGACGACACCCCTTTTCCATCTTCTTTCTTTTCTTCTGGTCTCTCGTTTTATTCCGGGTCAATAAACAGGCACATGCTACGTACCTTCTTCCTCTTTTTTCGACTCAATGGTCAACGATGGCATAGACGGTGAGGCGAAGTGGTCCGCGTGGGTGACTCGAGAGTGCCAGCGACTCATCATACTCCTGAGGGCGGCACGGGCGCATCCAAATGATGCATCGGGTAAGCCGCTCGCAAGCATTTGAAGGACTGCAGAACATAGGACTAGATGTGAAGTCCCCAGTCTAGTTCGCTCGCGCCGACGGTCCGAATCAACACAATTTGCGAGTCCCCAAGACGCGATTGATCTCTTACATAAGCATTTGACCTCCGAAATAGATCTTGAATGTAACGTCACCTATAAGTTAGGACGCGTCCAAAAGCGACACCCAACCGACTCATCCCCAAATCCACACTCCACATAACTCCACATATAAAAACGGCCATGATATGTTAGGTCTGCCCACGGGAGACAATTGTGACGAGGAAGCGGCTTCTCTTTTTGGAGTTGCTGTATGTGATCGGACATATGCTACGCTTGTTTCCTTCACACACGTCATTTTGCATTCTTGGTGGCTCTGGCATCATACCTTCGACCTGTTTCTGTAAGCCTTTTAAATGGCCTCGACATCGAACGATGTACGTTCCCTTTTTCCCCTCGACCCTCATCTACTCCTCGCAGACTTGTGCGCATGAGCGACTCAGATGTGTCGCTTGTACGAGGTGAGCAGTCAGTAAATTCGTCTTGCATATCAGCGCGGTTAGACGGCGCGCAAACAGTGAGGTCGTGAGATCATAGCGGCCATACACCCTCTATTTATATATCATAATCTGGCTAGGCCGCCGATCACGTTGGATGACCATGCCGGATTCATGTCATTCCCGATCATAAGTTAGGGTTAGGGGCGCATGACCTCAGAGCAAGATGATCTATTTATAGCTCAGGGCACCATCGCATGCCGTGCCCACTCATCTCTGGACGATCTTCGACGCGCCAGAGCTACCCTTCCTCTCTTCCCGTGTCTCCAAGGTCAACATGTCGCACTTGCCCGAGTCCGAAGCGCAGCAGCGCCCCATCCAAGACATCAATGCCACCAACCTTCCCGCCCACTCCCAGGATCCTGGTGACGTCGCTCAAACCCTCGACAACTTGGTGACACACTCGCAAACCCATGCTGATGTCCGTCATGGCATACACGCGCCCATGCATAGGCTTCTAGAACTCCCGCTCGTGCACAAGCTCATACCAGGCATCGAGAAGCTGGCTAGCGAGTATCACGTCGGGAATTTCGTGATCGATCGTACGAACGGCGAGAGGTTCTTCGAGAGTATGCCAATCTACACCAGGTGCATATTCCCATTCTGTCTCTCGAGAATCAGAAAGTAATGTGAATGAATGAATGAAGGCTTGGGATGCATCTCCTGTTCTATGGCGGCGAGCAGCGTAAGGTCCTGCACAGCAAGTCTGTCGAGGCAGTCCTGAGGGACCTCTCAGTGCGCGTGAGTACTTCTCCATACGGCCCGTATCAATCTTTACATGCTCTGGATGCAGCAAGGGAAGATCTACGATGCGCATGACTCCGTCAAGTCAATCCCGTCCTTCATCCAGACATATGCCATTCGCACGGACGAGCTCCTACTGCCCGACATCGCACAATACAAGACGTTCAACGAGTTCTTCTTCCGCCGCCTCAAGCCCGACGCGCGGCCTGTGCAGAATGTGGAAGATCCCGCAGGCATCTGCAGTGCGGCGGACTGCCGGCTCGTGGTGTACCAGAACGTCGACCTCGCGAAGCTGTTCTGGTGCGTTTTTGCTGTGACATGGGCGATGTTGATCTGACGACCCGTGGCATTGGACAGGATCAAGGGGAACAACTTCACGGTTGCTAGCCTCCTCGGCGTCGCACCCGGCTCAGACACCGCGCGTGCCTTCGACGGCGGGAGTGTCGCCGTCTTCCGGTATGAACACATGTCTTTCCCGCGAAGTCCATATGGCCGACACACATAAACACACCCAGGCTGGCCCCCGCGGACTACCACCGTTTCCATAGCCCGATAGACGGCACGGTCGGCGAGGTCAGGGACCTCCCTGGGGAGTACTACACCGGTATGCCTCTGCTTAAGGCTCGTTCCGCGCTCGGCCCACTGATGGTGCGCAGTGAACCCTCAGGCAGTCAACGAACAAGGCTTTGACGTCTTCACGGCAAACAAGCGCGCGGTCCTGTCGATGACGCACGCGGCGTCCGGCAAGCCCGTCGCGTTCGTCGCCATTGGCGCGATGCTGGTGTGTCCTCCCCTTCCTCTGCTCTATTCCGGCCTCTCTTTGTACCTTCTCTTTGCGGTACGCTAACCTCCGTGGCATAGGTCGGCTCGATTGTGTGGACAGCGGGTGGACAGTCGGGCGCACAGGTGCGGCGCGGCGACGAGCTAGGGTACTTTGCATACGGCGGGAGCACGGTCGTCGTGCTCTTTCCGCCGGGCCTGGTCGCGTTCGACGATGACCTGCGGAAGAATTCGGAGGTGCCTGTGGAGACGCTAGTCAAGGTGCGTCCTGTGCATCGACTGGTACACTGATCCCAGCTAACACAGATATGTTGTCGTGGCTAGGTCGGCATGTCTATTGGGCGGGCAGATATTTAGGCTTCGGTGCTGAATATACCAAGTGACTGACGTGGCGAGGTCCGAACCGCGAGCAAAGGCGGAGCGGGAGAAGAATGTGCAGTGAATACCACTCTCAGTATTGCTACTAGATACATCTTGAAAATTATCGTGCTTGTTCTCCAGATGCTGCCGACGCGCGCCTCCATGTGGATTATAAAATGCCATGAGAGGATGGTCACTTCCCTGTAGCCACTGGCTATTGAGACGGAGACCGAACTATTGGAGAACGCCACAATGCAGCTTCAAGCTCCGATGCAACCACCCAGCTTTGTCCACAACTTGTCGTCGCATTTCTTCCCGAGAATCGGACGTCCACTTTATGTTCAAGCTTGAGCGGCTTTAGCGGTGTATCGATACAGGAGCTTGTTACGCCGACTCGGACTTTTGTAAGATCCTCTGCGTTACAAAGTTCAAGTACACACAGCGCGTTCAAAGGACGTCGTTGGCATCGGCTCCTCCCGCACTTAGATTCCAGTGTGCTCGTCTTCAAGTCTCAGTCGTCGGCTCAGGTATCTTGCTCAGCACACAAGCCGGTCTCTTTCCTCTCCGCTTTCATCGTATTTATCGTGTTCTCCATCGCCATGCATCTCAACGCGCATGCCCGAGTTGCTTTGCACTGTCGTTTTTCCGGCGTTTAGCTTCGCCAGCCTCGCGGCGTTGTGCTAAACAACGTTTCACATGTCTGCGAGGCCTCATTGCGGTCCTTTCGGAAAGTATGTATTCAGATCGCCGAAGTCTTAGTTGCATCCGATGGAGGTGCATGTCGCGACCTCGTGCGTGCGGCTCGTTCGCGGAGCGTTGTGCAGGACATTTAGGACGGAGAGATACATACGTGTTGCAGGCGGTGCGCATGTTTGAGAACAGTGCGTTGGATGTGCTTAGCCTCCTAGTTTTGGACTCTCAAGGATGTCTTTGTTCGATATGTTGATTTTGATGCACGTTGCACGTGCGTGGAGTAGGCATTGTGCCACCCACTCACGGCGGTGCTAGTGGCCATCCTTCCTAAACATTCTGTCCCTGTTCAGCCACTCTTTCCACTTCGACCACCTTGACCTGCGAACTGTTTTTGATAGTCCTTGGACCCTGCTAGACGTCGAAATGGTGCGCATTCATTCCATTCATGCTGGTGCCACTTGACAATAAGCCGCTATAGAACTCGATTTCATCATTATCAAGGACGCTAGGTGTTGCTAGACATGCGACGAGCCGCCTCCTCGGCGACCCCGTCCTGCAAGTTCCGCTTGCATACCTTTTCGAACACGTCTTACCTCGCACTCGGGATGATCTCGACGTGCGTGATATCGTCGCGAAGCTGGAGTACCCACGCACTCCCGTCACACCATGCCCCAGCGACATCAACATGTCTTTGAGCGAATCAATAACCACGGAAGGACCGGCTATGCGCCGCCTTGTGAAGGTTGCGCAGAGCATTTCTGCCATACGAGGGAATGATGCACGCAGCCTTAACCCAAACGTGATGTTTGAATGTAACCCTCATACGTCGCTTGAGAACGTCTCCTGCGGCTCTTTCGTCATGCAGGATACGCCCAAGCCCGAGCACTCCTGCAGCGATCTCTCGTTGCCATTCGCGTGCACGCACGATTGTTCAGACACAGCATACAAACAGGTGGGCTTGTGTCATGTTTCACCTCCGCAGATGTAGGATCTAACCGCAGTGGGCAGGTGGTGCCGGCGTTGCTTCAGAGGATGCACGACCGCATGTGCAAGGACCCACGCAGGCGGTTCATTATCGGTATGACAGTCGAAGACGCAAAACTCAGGATATGGTTTTGTAATCGCTCAGAGCTACTTGTCAGTGAAGCGGTGTCCATTATGGAGGTGCGGCTCTTCAGTTTGTATGCGTGGATCATACCCTCACTCATTCGGTGATAGGACGACGAAGTCGTTGTCCGTTTCCTGCTCACGGTGATGTACGCCAATGAGGAAGAGCTCGGTCTAGACCCTACGATGCGCGTCGTGCTCGACCCCAGCGGCAACATATGGCGCGATGACGACCGTGCCCCGCGATATGACATCACAATGCGGATGGGCGAGGACCCGGTGGTGTATCGTACGACGGGACCGCACTACAATTCCGGTATGGGCGGGCTCATCGGGCGCGGGGTGCGGATCTGGCAAGTGAGAAAGCTCGAGGGCGGGAAGGAATGTGGTGCAGCGCTCGTGCTGAGGGACGAATGGGCGGCAGCCAACTGCCCCCGAGAGGGTGCGGTCCTGGCGCGCCTGATGGGTCGGCGCGCGGGGGGCGGTTCAGTCCGGTACGCATGTCCGGATGCTGTGAGGCTGGTGTGTCATGGCGACGTGCTTGTGGATCGAAGTGTGGATGCCACCCTGGATCTCGACGCTCTGGATAGCGCGTCTGCGATCAAGCCTGCGTTCCGTTACCGCGCTGTGGGCAATGCAAGCGGGACCAGCGGGGGGCGAGGTTCGACTGCGGAGGTATTGCTTGAGGAGCCTCGCGCGAGTAAGAGAAGCTGGCTTGAGCAGCACCATCGCCGGGTGCACTACCGTATCGTGTGCGACGTGTCGTACAAGGTCCTCGCGAAGGAGACTTCGCTGCACAATGTGGTCTCCGCGCTCATAGACGCACTAGTAGGTGCGTCTTCGTTCTTGCTACCCCAGTATCGTTCCGGCGGCTGACCGTGGCCTATGTTTCCGATCTAGGTCTGGGCTACCTGCACGAGAGTGGTGCGGTGCATAAGGACGTTAATCCGAGTAACGTCATTATTCACTGCGAGACCGAAGGCAATGTGCGCGCAAGCCTAGTCGACCTGGACGACGCGCGTCAAAGCGTGCCATGCGGGCCTGTGTTCGTGGTCTGTGTGCCTCGCGAGGACGGGCGCGGAGTGGACGAGATGCGGTTTCCGCTAGGCGATGCACCGAGAGTTGCGGAGCTGGTATATGCAAAGAAAGCGAGGGTATCTGTGGAGCTGCCTGGAAGATAAGTATGCAGTCACAGTCAGTCTTTCGCTCTCAGGCTTGGAAGCTAGATGTTTGTCACCTGTAGCGAGATACGGCGTCGTAGGCTATATCTCGCTCGAGTGTGTCATAGAGATTATGCCAGCGGGAAGTATGTACATAATGCCAGCCTCATCATCTGAACAACTCGGATGGTCATGCAGTATGATCCAAACTCGTTCTATCTGATATTGGACATTAAATATACGGTAAGCCTTCCGGAACCAATGCGGATGCTACATGTGTATGAAACGACGAATAGCAGGTGCCGTTTTCCCTGCTCAGCTGTCTTATCCTCCTTATGACCGCCGCTCTCGGATCCCATCCTACCGTCAGGATGACCTTGTGTGGTGATACTCAGGAAAGGCTGAGAGGATTGTGCGAAGCATACGGCCGCTAGATGTCCTGTTGGTTCCACACAAGAAGATCAATTCTTGCACACAATTTAATGTACATTCGTATTTGTTGTAGTCATAGGGGTTTACTATTGTTAGCTTGCTAGCTGAACGTACATGATCAACCCAGCATAATCTCTTCATGATCCACTTTATTTATAGCTTTCTAGGCTAATTGGTAGGTTATCAATTTGCAAAATATGGGCACGGCCATTGATCCTAGAATAGTGTTATAACCAGATTTAAATCTAGACTCAACTGTGCTTACAATGCCAGCAAGGAGTTGATATAAACTGAAATTACAATGTGTGCTATATTAGCATTGGCATGAATCAAGATACAATGACTTACTTTGGCTGCTTATAAAGTGAAACAGTGCCCATATGTACTCATGTGGAAGGGCTGTATACTATTGATCCAGCTTTGGAATTGAACTTTGCTAAACATTTAAAAGAAGCAAGACATACTGTGATAAAATACAACATTTGCAAGGTGCTGTTAAACAGTCAGTACACACACATTTGGGTATAATGCTACAACTCACGCAGTCAAAATTCCATGACTGACAAAATACATAGTCAATCCATGTATAACACTGCCAGTTCTATATGAGTCAGCTATTAAAGTGTGCTCATATATATGAATATAGTATTTGATTCAAACTTGCCTTTTGAATCCTGTGTGTTTATGGTATAAGGCCCAGCACAATAAAGCAGTGATGTAGATGTCTGTGATACAGGCAGAGATGACTTGTATGGTGCCAGGCACCTTATAAAGAGATGTCATTATTTTATATCAGGCATATATATCTTGTTGCCAACCTTGGTAGTGTGAAATGCTTTCACAGATAGATCCTTCACACTGTATATTGTGGTATGACTATAACTGAAAATATGTGATAAAAATACTCACCCCATGACAACAGTAACTATAGTTCATCAATGTAAGTGAGCATGCTGATAATGTAGATGTTTCAATATACAAACCCCAACCACAAGCTACACCCATCATGTCATGTTAGTATCTAGTGAATAGAATTGCAGCCACTAACCAAAAGATGTAGTTGTCATAACAATCTGTTAAGGTTTAATTAGCAAACTGGAACTGTTTATATTTATGATATTAGTAATACCATGGCAAGACTAAGTGGTAACCGATATTCTTGATGTGGAAGCACTGAATAACAATGTTAGTTATATAAGCTAATAAAATTGTATTCAACATACACAGCCATGTTGTTTTGATGTAGTAACTGCATGTGCAAATGAATGAAAAGGTGGGTCTGTAGTAACAATGACATATAGAGGAGAGCAATACTCACCACTGTACCACAAAAACTGTAGTAGCCTATATCACTTGTCACTTTGAAATCACAGTACAAAAGTATTTAACAACCCACAGCCATTGCAAACTGAACCTGGGAAAGTGTGCAAAATTGTCAAAGAGTATCCCAAATCTGTGTGCCAACTATTGTTGTTCTTACACATAGGACCCTAATATAAATTTAGTTGTATTGAATGTATGCAATAACAAAACAATTTTTAATCAACTCACATGGGAATATACTGCAAGGCACTGGGCATTGAATGATTGTGAATGATATAATGCCAGATAATCTGCAAGAAAAGGATAAACATATATCTCTTTCAACTAGATAATTACAATGTACCATTAGGTTAGTGATAGCCACAGCAGTAGCAATTGTCCTGTAAAGAATTAATGATTTCTTACATGCCTAAATGGAGATATAACATTGAAAGTTACCACATCAAACCAACCTGTGATTAGGTATATACAATCAATGTGTCAAACATTAAAGAAATATTACATGAAACATACAACAAACTTCAACTGCTTTCTGTCTTGTGTATAATGATAGAAGTAATAGATAACCTGACTAAAAGTACAGCCATAAAGCCTACACAGATATGTTAGAAGATAATAATAGTTGATAAACAGTGACATACACAACAGAGAGTATAATCCCAATGAAGAAACACCCAATTTGTCCATTAAGATCCAGTTCAACTACTGTCATTCTAGCTTCAGGTGTGGAATGAGGATACATCACAAAGTTTCTATAAGATGATCTGTGTCTACTTATATACTGTTTCATCGAGCCAGCTGCCAAACAAACAACAATATTGTTTGTACCACTTTCCGAATCAGCAGCAGTATCTTGGCTGATCTAATCTAAAATAACTATCCAACAGATATCGAAACAACATCTCCATCTGACGTGATATCAGAGATAGAAGCAGCTAGTGATAGATATCAATATGTCACCTATTCCGACCTACCTCTCCGGCCAATAGCACCAACCCGGCCCAGTGGTAAGTCTCACCACACATCTACAAGGTTCTCCTCGAACAGGAGTTCGAATCTGATATGGACTGTCATTCCAGGAAGAAATGAAATATTTCGACTATCATCAATAAGGCAAACTTGTCCTCAAGCCGGTCTTCTCTGAACCGACAAGACTCACTCAGCAAACCCAGATGGATGATGCTCATTGCATCAATCATTATGGCTGTCGTCGTTTGCTGATAGCGTTGCGCACACTTGCTTTTTGTTGTCCGCTCGGCAGTCTCCGTGTGCAGCCTATTACAACGTCAGTCGCTGAGACTCCTCTTCGCTCATGTCAGCATGTCAGATTCTTCAGATGTGTTATCGATGCCACTCGGATGTCGGCTCTCTACGATAAGGCTCCGCTTGAGTGCTGTATCTATTGTCGGCTTCTAGATCCGCCGAGAGGCCATGATACACGGCGGGTGCTTCTCTTTGCTTCGTGACGGGGTATACCCCTCAACTACACACAATACAATATCGATAAACCTACCCAAGAATGTTTGTTCGCAAGCGGGGCTCATGCGGGATTCGGAATCAACGGTCGGGATCATGTCGCAAAGTGTTATCACAGCAACAATTCACCACAGTAGGTCGTTGTTTTCAGGTCCAGCCTATCCTCGTCCGCAGTCCGCTTACACACACATTGAGTTCAACAGGTCCAACAATACAAGATAAGCTGTCAACCATCAACTACGATTTGAAACACTACACAGCAATGACCACTATGTCCGTGGGTATCGCAATTACATTGGCCCCGAGATCAATGTTTAACTCCAGTCAGATTCCAGTCTTTACGAAATGAAATTGAAGCTCACATAGATATCGCATCGCATCGCAAGCAGCGTATTGAATTGCGAAGCGTTCAGCGTTCAACGTCCAGCGCCAGCTCTCGGACTTCATCCGTGACACAAACATGTGCCGCAAACCTGTCCATCAATGAAATCTTGCCCTTTGGTTTGAATTATCGCTTTAAGATGCGCCAGTGGGGCGGTCGCGTCTTCTATTTTACATACTCCCCAAACTCATCGCATTGTTCTTCGACAGGGGCTGACCGACCTTCGGGCTGCTTCTTATCTACATTATGTATGCTTGTCTCAACAGCGGGAAGTCTGGTAACTCCCTCTCTCTCCTAGCCCGCATAGAAGATGGTTTGTTGTTAATCTTTCCGACCTGCTGAGGCGACGGCGTGAGTGCCAGACGGGTATTTCCTGGATCCCGACATGACAAACTATCCTCATTTGATTAGATACACTCCAGGTGACCTCTGGAAGCCACACCTGACCAAGCCAGGTGAGCTTTGCACAAGACTCTCAGACATATAGTTCCGACAATATCTCAGCAGACCTGTGGAGACACACTGACGGCTCGCGACACTGAACAAGGTCAAGGGAAACATCATCACGACTGCTAGCCCCCTCGGCGTCGCTCCCGGCTCGGACACCGCACATGCCTTCGACGGCGGGAGCGTCGTCGTCTCCGAGTATGAACATACGTCGTTCCCGCGAAATCCACATGGCCAATACACATCCAGAATGGCCCCCGCGGACTACCACCGTTATAGCCCGATAGACAGCACGGTTGGCGAGGTCAGGGACTTCCCCGGGGAGTACTACGCAGGTATGCCTGTGCTTACGGCTCATTCCGCGTTCGGGCCACTGATAGCGCGCAGTGAACCCTCAGGCGGTCAACGAACAAAGCTTCGACGTCTTTACGACAAACAAGTGCGCGGTCCTGTCGATGACGCACGCAGCGTCTGGCCACTCCGTCGCGTTCGTCGCTATCGCCGCGATGCTGATATGTCCTCCCCTTTCAGGGCAGGCTTGTGAAGGTTGCGCAGAGCATCTCCGCCGTACTAGGAAATGATGCGCACGGCTTTAACCCAAACGTGATGCTTGAATGCGCGCCTCATACGTCTCTTGGGGACATCTCCTGCGGCTGTTTTGTCATACGGGACGTGCCCAAGGCCGAGCACACCTGCAGCGATCTCTCGTTGCCGTTAGCGCGCACGTATGATCGCTCAAACACAGCATATAATGAGGTGAGCTTGTGTCATGTCCCGCTCCGCAGATGTAGGATCTATCCGCAGTGGGCAGGTGGTGCCGGCGTTGCTTCAGAGGATGCACGACCGCATGTGCCGGGACCCGCGCAGGCGGTACATCATCAGTATGACATTTGAAGACACGAAACTCAAGATATGGTTCTGTACCCGCTCAGAGCTACTTTTCAGCGACGCGATGTCCATTATGGATGTACGACTCTTCAGTTTGTATGCGTGGATCGTACCCTCACTCACTCGGCGATAGGACGACGAGATCGTTGTCCGTTTCCTGCTCACAGTGATGTGTCGTGTTCGACCCAGCGAGATAAGTATGCAATCACATTCAGTCTTGCGCTCTCAGGCTTGGAAGCTAGATACTCGTTAGCTATATCTCGCTTGAGTGTATCATAGAGATATGCAGATTTACCATTTACGGATGACACGAATTAAGGTTATAGCGCTGGCTGTTCGGCGCTCTTGAAGCATCAGACTCGTGCTGCCAGTGCTATATGTGTATGAAATGATGGACAGCAGGCGCCGTTTTCCCTATTCAGCTTTCTTATGCTCCTCCTCATGACCACCGCTATCAGATCCCAATATCTCCGACAGGATATTCTTCAAGCCCCAAGCTACCCTCGGGATGTCCCTGTGCGGCGATACTCCTCAGGAGATGCAGACAGGATCGTGCAAAGCATACGGCTGGATGCCCCGTCGGTCCTGGGAATTTCCGTGCAGTCCTCGGGCGATGCCTTCGCGTTTGCCACCAAAGAGCGCGTATATCTCCTAGACTTCACCAATAGCTTGACACCCAACTATGAGTGTCTTCAAGATCTGGTTTCCTGTGAAACCTGTCCTCTTGCTGCTTTCAATATGGCAAGGCTCGCCTTGCAGATATACAACGTCTTGGGCTTTCATTGTATAGGGGTAGATTTAGGTACTCTGGTCTCCCCACCTACCCAGAACGCATGGTCGCCATCGACGTTTATATGTAATCGCCTTGACCCCAACGTCAAACAGCATGCTGTTAATGCCGTCTGGTTTGGGACCGAAGAGCGCGACCTGTGCCTTCGTGCGTGGTTATCCGCGTGGTCAGCGACGATCATGTAATCTCTTCGCCATGGACATGCTTACCCAACGTCGTATATTAACATCTAGCATGGCGCAGGCATGCACAGGTGAAGTTGCATGGGGAAACAAAGTGAATACAAGCCAGCACCTCTCGAAGGAGGAGCTCGATTGTCTTGGTCGACTCGCGCGCAACATCGACATGCTCGAAGCGCAGAGGACCAACCAGCTCGCCAACGAGTTTGAGCACGTAGAGAGGGACGAAGGAAAAGTCATCGTAAGGAACTCCAGATTCAACAACAGAGTGCGCCCCAGCCGACAGGTCAGTCGATCATTGGCATGCCGCCGCAGTAATTCGTTCAATATTCTCACGTGTATATAGACTACAGTTGAGTTCAACACAGCTAAGGGCAATATCGCATATGGTCAGGCCATACGGTCAGAGGGAAAGACGACTACCGTCAAGCTTGTTCGCGGAGACTTCTGCGGCGAGGTGCAAAGTATTCGCGTAGTTGGCAGAGAAGAATTCACCAATGCAGAGCGTGCACGGGACGAGTTTCTTCTTCGCCTGCTACACGGAAAAATCTCCCTCGCTCAGTCCCAGTTCATCAAACGACTGTGGTTCCATCAGACGGATGTGCCGGCTGTCGACGAGCTTGTAGGTCAGCACACCAGCGCGTTTCCGGAACTCAATCCGTCGCAGCAACGGGTTGCCAGCGCCATGGTTTCTGACGAAACGCAAATCGTTGTCGCTCATGGTATTCATGGTATTTACATAGTTGGATTTCACTTCATGAGAATCACATGCAGGGCCGCCTGGTACAGGGAAGACGAGGACCATCTCCGCTGCCACCAAATTCTGGGATGCTCAGCGCGTGAGTCATCCTGTATGGGTCGTTGCACAGTCCAATGTCGGCGTCAAGAACATTGCACTGAGCTTTGCGAAATGCGACATCGACTTCAAGGTCCTCGTCTCCAAGGAATTCTATGTCGAGTGGTCTGTGATCCGAATTTCTCTCCTGCGTGATCGCTTCATAATTTAAATCATGATACGCAGGCATGAACACATCTACGAGCCTCTTGAACGGTACCTGATTCGCTCCGATGACCTGTTCCAACACGGGGCCATGGTCGGACGTCTGCTCCTAGACTCAAGTGTCATCTTGTGCACGTTGAGTATGTTGTCGAACCCCGCGTTGGACACGTGTGGTGTATTCGACTTAGTCCCCGTGGAAAGGTTGGTTGTGGATGAGGCTTCGCAGATAGACACCTTTGAATTCATGGTGTGTGTGGGGATAAGCTGAATATTCGAATACTTATTCGGCTGCATCCGACGTTGGCAGCATCTCTTCCACAAGTTTAAAGAATTACAGAAAATATGCTTCTTTGGGGATCCGAAGCAGCGTGAGTGCCACTTGTCCGGCATTCACTATTGGTGTTCACTTTTAATTAGTTCCGCCATACGGCAAGGAAGCGGCACCTAGAATTCAAACCATCTTTGACTTCAAACATATCAAACCCGCGGCATTTTTCCTTGAGACACAATGTAAGACGCATTTTCCGAACCGCCGCCTTATAATGCATACTTACGAGGTAACTACAAGACCGTATGCCCATACCTGTGGGCGACTTCATCTCTAAACATGTCTACAACTCGAAACTACGCTCTGATCATCGAATCACGGTCATGTCATGTGTGAAGTTCGTGAACGTCTCCAAAGGAGAAGAGACGAAGGTCGGATCGAGTTGGATGGTACGTCTACAAGTTCACAGACGTTTCCCAAACTCAATTCACATGACTGCATTAGAATATGGAGGAAGTGCACGCCGTCATGAATCTTGTTCGGTACTACTACAAGACTAAAGACTTCTGCGTTATCACACCCTACGACGCACAGAGGGGTGCCATCCAAAAGTCTCTAAAGGCGGCAGATCTTCCATGGGATATGGTCTACAACGTGGACAGTTTTCAAGGTACGTCCGCGACCAATATTGCTGTTGAGAAGCGCGCGGCTTATAATGAGTCAGGTCACGAGATGCCCTATGTCATAGTGTCGACTGTGCGCACGACACGCCCCGGATTCCTTCAGTCGCTTCAGCGCATGAATGTCATGCTCACTCGACTGCAGGCGGGAATGGTGATTGTCACGAACCGCCCATTCCTCGACTCTTCCGGTCGCAACACACTTCTCGGCTGCATGGCGCAGCACTGGAAAGACGAAAGAGGCGAAACGGTATGGACGTTTCCGCGGCGTATCGCAGAGCGTACGGCAAACATGCCTGGAGTGACTATGACACCCTCCACGCCGAAAGTGCCGCGCGCACCTTCAGAAGCGGAGACTGAGAGCTCATCGAACCGAGTGTGTGAGCGCATACAGGCCCTGTCTCTATCACCACAAGTTGCTGGAAAGTATATCGCACCAAAACCTTCTATCGCAGCTTCACCACCAGCACATTCCTCTCCACGGACTCCTTCCACTACAAATGCCAATTCTTTCGTCAACACCACAGCGTTTTCGAACTTTCCGACTACTCGTCCCCGCGGTCATTCCAACGCTACTATAGCCAGTACATCGTGGCGAGCCCGCACACTTCTACCATAACGACACCTGACCTGACGGAAGGTGCGGAGGAGAACCTAAGACAAATGTAGGAGATTACCTCATTCATGAAAATCAACACTTCGTTGAGACTGTGACTTCTTCAGGTACTAAGTACTCGTCATAGAACCGTTACCAAGAAGCTCAGGTTGTTAAAGTTCGTCTGAGACACGAAGCGAGAACGATCGACAAATATATATCGCGTTTGTCTGAGCTCTTCCAAACGCGTAAGGAACATACAGAGCGGCTTGCGCAAAGCCTGCGTGGTACATACTACAAACGATGCGAAATTCGATGGCATGCGCAGCCACCATTCTAAGCTCTAACACAGACTGGAACAGTGTAACGACTGATTCACCCTGACCCAGATATGTGTTGTATCTAGCCTCTGATTGCTAGAGAAGTTCACAGGAGTGCACACATGCGACATAGAGTAAGTACTAGCAGGCGCGAGTGGCCACAAAAGTCCTCCGGGTAAACAGCACCAAACCTATCAGATTCCCGTCACTATTAGATTAGATAGCCTCGCTACAGACGGGACTTTTTCTTCTTCTCATTGCTCGCTCGCTCGCTCGTGTTCATTGGAAATCAGGTTGCGCTTCAGAACTAAAGGTCACTTGTACGCAAACCATTCATGACTGCGACGTTTGTGCTGGCAGTGTACTAGCTCTTGAAGCCGCCCTGCGGTACGCCCTTTTTCAGCACTGCGAATCTACATCAGCTGCTCGCATTGCGGAGCGTCATCTGCATACAGGGCTCTCCATGGCGTATCAAAATATGACCGATCGTCAGTTGTCCTACTCCCTGGCGTACTACGCTTATTTGCGTCTGCTTATGCTGCCAGCCGACATTGTAGGTCGCATTGTGCTGTACGCGAGCCCGAGAGAGATTGTCCGGGCTATTCCTCAGCGCAAGTGGTCCAGGTTTGCGGCATGTCCGATGGTCAAATTGCGTCCCCTCAACTGGTGCGCCTACGAAGGTAGCCCTCAGCTGCTTCGGCGCGTCTTATATTGTTAGTCCGGTGGTCCTTCCTGTGGTAATTTGCGTGCCTCAGCTTCCATGGTCGCTCGTGGTTGTGTGCGAGACTACGTTGGATGTGGACCTGCGGCGTCATGCGCGTCTGACCTGCCTGTAAAGCTGACTGGTCAGACAACCGCGCATACATTATGCGCGTCCTGAAACTCCATCATACGACCATCCTATTGTTGCCATGGTCTTGCTTGTCATGAACTCGTTGGCTGGAGCCGTGAATGTGGAGCCGTCTCCGCGTCGTTGTGTTCACTCATCGATGCCAACAATACTTGTAGACTCTCTACGAACCATCACAGAGTGACGAGATGTCCGCGTCCTACGACGCATTCTATATGTTTTTGCTCCTTGGCGTGCAGGCTGTGGCGGACCTCTTCCATATCGCACCCAAGTCGTATCTAGAACTTGGCCGTTTGGGACAATGCGTGTCTCCGCGATACGGAGTATAGAGGTCGCCCGTGTCCCGTAACAGGAAAGCTCGTCTCGCTGCTGATGGGTGTTGCAGAGTCGGAGTGTGTGCTTGTCGCCGTGACATGCCGAGACGATTTTAGCAACTTCATGCCTATTACCCTCCACTGCCCAAAAATGAGTCGTCCTCGTGGATTCGTGCCGGTACAACACTCATTGTATTGCACTGAACATATTCACACTTGTAGAGAAGATCTCAACGCATTAATTGACACAAGAATCACGCAGTGGTTCATGAACCCGAAGCTTGCGAACGCGGCCATGAGCAACTCCTTCCCAACCACAGTATTGTCACGCCTGCGCAAGAGCGAAGTACGCACTCGGACCAATCAAATTGGCACCGTGAACGGACCATAATTGTCTCGCAATCGAAAAGACGCAATTAGAATCAATACCGTTAACGGGCTATTCGCAAGCGAAGAGACGTAAGCCGAGGACGGCAGACCGCGGAAATCGACATTGCTGGCCATGAAACAGTGCTACGATCAATGTGATTCTACGGTAGCGAGCTGTCCACACATGCGACGGAAACATTATAATAATGATGGCACATCATGATTGGCTACGGACCGAGCCCAATCTAGGGCATATCATCGTCCAAGTCAACTGCAGTTCCATTACGCCTGAAACGTGGCTCATGCGTGCTTCTGCTTAGGTGTGGGTTCCCGTCGTGACGTACGCTGCAAAGATGCAAATGTAGGATGTGTCAATGAGTGGTGATTGCAGTATACCAGCTATAAAAATGGCCGGTGAGCAGATTCTCAAACTTCATATTCCCACAGCTCCATGGCATCTCACGACGATACTATCTCTAAGATGAAGGCGATGCTGGCGAGCTTGAGCTCAACTGTGCCGTCGCAATGCCGCATGCCACCAGAAGGATTACCTGCTCGCGGTGAACATGACGCAATAGAGCATACGAATATCATGCACTTGGTGCTCAGGTCAAGGAAAAGACGGTAAAAACGAAAAAGCAACGATGTGCTTCCTAGCACGCTAGAAGTACTGAGTCAAAGTCACACAGAGCGAGTTGTGGCCTCCGATTACTTGTGCATAGTCGAAGAGAAGCGTGACTTCGCTCGTAGCGCTGGACCATACCTATAGCATTGGCGCGTTCGTCGACAATCGTCGTGCGCGAAGGGAAAATGAGGGCGCACCGCGTGAGCAGAAACGGAAGCGGGACCATAGATAGCGAAAAGCACCCAATGACTGTAGACGCCCAGCGTGGAGTTAGACGCTCATACATCGGGGTGCGAAGAGCTACAGGCGAAACCATCAGAGGCGAAAACACGGACGCCCGAGGTTCAGGGCACACCGGGAATCCTGCAGAGGCAGCGCTGCGGACGACAGTGTTGGCAGCGAGTGCGGAGGCGGCGGCAAAGAGGTATACATCTGCGCAGAGAGCATTAGCGGACGGGCGCTGCCAGAGGCGTTGGGAGCTGTCTGTAGCACACCGATGATGTAGTTGCATAATGCCAGCTGAACGCATGTCTCGTGAGTAAGTACATATATCAGCAAGATGGAGTACGTACAAAGATCCAGATGGTGGCGGTGCCCAGCAACACGCTTGCAAACAGCGGCGCCCAGAAGGGAATGCTTGGGTAGGATGTCCATCTGACTGCTCTTTAGGAGGACAGGGAATGTGGAGGGTGTGCTTGCGCACCCAAACCAGAAGAACCCGATAGCAAAGAGCGGTGCCCCCCACTTGGCCGACTCGAGGCGTAGCTCAGGTGGGACGGGGCTTGGTGCACACGCGCCCACGGCGCGCTCATAGCGCGGGTGGAAGATGAAGTAGTACAGCAGGACGGGCGTAGCGTGAACATGTGTATAACTCATTGGGGGAACTGAGAGCGCACCGTAAAAAAGCCCGTGAGGCTGCCACCAGCTATGGGGATGTAGACCATGCCGGAGACACCTAGGGCAAGGCAGTGCAAGAGAACATGAGATATGCTGTGAGAGAAGCAAAGAATCCGCCCCGCACCTGCATCGAGGTGGTGCTCCTGAGTAAAAACGACGGGGTACGCCTCGAATATGAGATACATGCATCCATAGACGAACTGCTGCCCATTTTAGCGAGCGCCGAGAGAACGAGCGCGTGTGTAGAGCACCACCACACTAATGTAGACAGTCGTGGCAATCAACATGGGCTCTTGAACAAGCATGATACACGGCTTTAGGATTGTCCCGTCGACCCAGTCGCGGAACGTCTTGCGCTGCCCAAGCTCCTTACGCAGAAATTGTGCTTTGTTTGCCAGGATAATCGGACTATGTGGATTAATCAGGATACAGTGACGAATATGACCACACTTGCAACACAATGGGGATAACCTCACGCGTATGTCTCCGGGAGGAAGAGTAGAATCGCCGGAATGCACGCACCAGACTAGCAGAATGAAGAGATCAGCGTCAATCAGAGTGCAATGAGAATCCATACTCCAGCATACGTACGAAGATTGTGAGGACCCAGAAGAGCCACCGCCAGGATGTCCCTGACTGCGAGATCCAGCCGCCAACGACAGGACCACTGTGTGGACTGCTTAGGATTGTAAAGTAAAACGTCTGGCACTCGAGAACGCACAAGGACGGTCCGATAAACGGCGCGACGGTAAATACGGCGAGTGCCTTCCCGCGCGTTTTTGCATCCCATCTGTGAGGCTGTGTGAGCTTTGAGCATCCTTTTTCATGAGGGGACACCCACATGTCCGAAATGAGCGCGCTACTTGCATTAGTTAATGACGCCGCAAGTAGCGCTTGAGCGTGAAGGCAGTACGCACCCGCTATTCGTAAGAGGGGCAGCAGCGAAGATACTGGTGAGCAGACGGAAGATATTGAGCGACGCTGCGTTATGTGACAGAGCACAGCCGACCTGAAATGCCTAGAAGAGCATGCCATTCATACAGTTTGACGGATTGAGGTGGAATATTGACGCATACACACCGTATAGATGGGAAATGCGACGAGAAATATTGGTCTCCTGCCATACTGTGGAATGTGACGTATGAGACAGCAGTAAACATCGCAGGAAACGAGGCGTGAACCTGTTCGGACAAGGGCCCCCACAGAAGTGGCCCGACACAGTAGCCAAAGATGAAGAGAGAAATTGTCAATGCGGCGACCTCTTGCGAGCAGTGGAAATATGCAAGGATATTCGAGACGATTCCGACGGGTGCTGATGAGGCAAATCCTCTGGAAATAATGAGGGTGTCATATCTGCCCGTATTCGGCTCTAGCTCACGCGTTGAAGGCAAGAAGGCCGGCGATGTAGGTCATGAACCAACGTTTAGACCTCCTCCAATTCTATATGACATACGTGAGGCGAGGTTATGCCAGGAGTGAAGCTTTACTTGCCTTGGGATTTAGGCCGTCGTCAGGATCAAATTCAACAATGATAAGTTCCGCCGACTCCGCACCCATGGATGCGGTGCCGCTCTCGACTTTGTCGAGATTGGCTTGCGACATATGAACAAGAGGTTGGTGGCGGACTGACAATGGCTTATGCGAAAGGTAGCGTAACGCCTGCAGAGGTGCGGATTGTCGACACTGATATTGGAAAGGCGTCCACGTAAGAGGAAGGAGAGGATGACGGGTAAGGGGGCTCTTTGCGGGCCACCCCGGTGTCATCCGAGAAGCGTAAGGGTATTCCTGGCATGAATCTTGCATTGTTGTAGAAATTCGGTGACGCCACGACGACAGACGGTGCGTGACCGTCTCCCCGATCACATTCCGATCACAATGTCGCGCGCCATTGGTCACTGGACCCCTGATGGAAACTTCATGCTCCGCTTCTGATCCCAGTACCCATCTTCCCACGCCGAGGCCGGCGGTAGTGCGTCGTCGAAAGAATGCAATATTTGACACTTTCGAGCGCCATCTCATGTCAAAGCTCATTTGAATAGGGCTGCGGCTCCGAAGTGCTGAGAAGCATGCCTCGGGTCATCAATGCATCGTCTCCGAGGCATCCGGTCACAAACTTTGGGGTCCTTAGGCCTTTCCAGAATGTCATCAATCTAACCTTCGCTCACGGAACTCAAGCATTCTCAGTCAATTCAGAGTTCACTGTTTGTGCAATGCCAGTGTCGTGCGAGATTCATACAGTACAGTCACGTACTCACAAGATCCGACCGACGACAGCAGTGTCAGCGGAACGTAACCTGCAATAGTCCCCTGGGCTCAGATAACCCCCTTCAGTATACCCGCAGCTGCAACACACCTCGTGGAATAAACAGCTTTTCTTCACACTTGAACTACTGTGACTGACATTTGTGACATCCACAGGCTTAGGCTCAAAAAGCCCTCTCCGAATAAGGTGGATTTGTCGTCTCGTAGCCCGGTCCGCGTCCAAGCATTCAGCAAGCAAGCACACAGTAAAGCGAGAGAGCAAGGCAACATGTTAGCTGACAGCACGCAGGTCGCTGGGAAGAACTTCGACTATATCATTGTCGGTGAGTATGGTTTCTTCGAGGTCTGTCACGTCGCTTACGCGCCTGCAGGTGGAGGGGTGAGTAGGAAACCTGGAAAGCTTGCCGCACGGTATGTGGTGCTGACTCTGCTTGCTCAGACTGCTGGGCTTGCATTGGCGGCCCGTTTGTCGGAGGATACGACACTCTCTGTGTTGGTCTTGGAAGCTGGAGAGGCCAACCTCAATGAGAAGGCACACCGTAAGTGATCATCAAGTCACTCTGAGGCTCGATGGATAGAAATCATAACATGACAGTGGTACCGCGGCAACGAAGCATGCAGTTCAACAATCCTAAGTTTGACTGGGCGTTTAACACAATGAGTCTTAATATCGACGGCTGAGGTTGAGATTTAACATCTAGCCAGGTCAAGCAATCTGGGTCGAACAATCGCCCCTATTATTGGCCTCGGTATGTCTCCCTTTGAGCGCTGCTCGGATTCTTAGCAGACTTAATAGTGCTATGCAGAGGCAAAGGCCTCGGGGGTAGCTCAGCAATGAACTTCTTGGTCTGGAACAAGCCCGCCCGAGAGTATCTGGAATGTAGGAATATATACAGCGCCCGCATGCCCAGCTGACATCCCATTTTGTGTCAATATACCAGCATTCGGCCATCTCGGCAACGAAGGATGGAACTGGGAGCGATTCGCAGAGTACTCCAAGAAGGCGGAGAGGTTCAATATGCAAAATACTTCCTGGGTCTCAAGGAGCGCTGAGAACAATATAACAGGTTTTCAACGCCTGACCACGATCAGGACCTCCTCACGTACGACCTCGAGGACAGTCGGGTTAGTTCACATGTGCTTAATACTTACGGTCAATTTGGCATCTTACGTTGCAATGTGTTTGGTGATATACAGGCGCAGTCCACACGTCCTTCCCGACGGTGATCTCAAATCTCGAGCAGCCGTTCATTGCGGTCAGTGCGATCACGTTTCCCCTGTATCTGAAATACTAACGTGAGTTTATGTCGACTATCTAGGCCATGAAGAAATTTGGTGTCGAGCACATCCCTGATTCCGTAAGTGCTATCTTCTGCGGATTTACCACGCTTGCTTACCAAGGCGCACATGTATTCACCAGTCCTCTGGATTCGTGCGTGTTTGTGTCCTTCAATCTTTGGTTTCGCGGTTCCGACTGGCCGCAGGTACATGGCACATCTATGTTTGCCTCCACTCTAGACCCAAAGACACATCTTCGTGCATACGCGACAACCGTAAGCAGATATCTATCCAACGTTACTTCATGGCACAATTGATTATTCAACTGGCAAAGGTATATTACGAGCCGAACGCTTCGCGGATCAACCTCACTGTGCTCGTTTCGGCCCACGTTATCAAGGTGAACACCAAGGCAAACGGTGACGGCACGGTTACCGCCATCGGTGCGAGCTTTTTGTGCGGAGGAAGCGTCCATGAAGTGTTCTGCGACAAGGAAGTCTGCCTCGCTGCCGGGTGAATGCATTTCGTAGTGTGGCCCTCGACGGCTGTTACTGACTGTTTCCTGCCAGTGCTATTATGACGCCTCAGGTGTGCACTCATAAAGCGCACACTGTCCCCAAAAGGCTCATGAGCGTGCCAGATCCTTGAACTGTCAGGTATAGGGGACCCTAATGTACAGGAGAAAGCAGGTGTTCAGACTAAAGTCGAGCTCCCAGGCGTGGGAGCTAATGTACAAGAGCATCTATGGTCTGGTATAATATACGGTGCGCGCAGAAACAAGACTTCACTATAGGTGGCGCGACATGTTTCTTATACCCTCCAAAGAGGTGAAGCAACATAAGGTAGACGGTCGTGAGGTCAACACCCTTGATCCGTTATTGTTCCCCGAGGAGGCCGTCAAGCACGCTGCGCTACAGTGAGTCTTTCTTCAACGATGATCAATTGCACGATCGGCTCATACAGCCTGCATTAGCCCACAAGGAAAGGGTGCTCTGAACCTCGCGACTGTCTGCCTGGTGTTCCTTCCCCTCGCCGCGATTTCCAGGGATGCTGAAAGACTACAACGCACCGTGTCCGAAACTATACTGTCCAACATCCGAGATGGAAAATACCCGAGCGGCCTCCAGAAACAGTATGAGATCCAGCTCAGGCACCTCGAGCAAAATGTACCGAGCTTGGAGGTCATGTGCTCGCCTGGCCCGATTGTGCCGCCGAGTGCGTAGTCCTGCTTCTGGGCCTATATGACGTATGCTGCCAACTGACGTGTTACACAAAGGCAGGCTGGATGTCAACAAGAAGCATGTCACGATTGGGTTCGCGCTTAATAGCCCGTTTTCCAGAGGGACAATTGTGAGCAAGCCTATGCTTTATGACCAATCGTGAAACACTCAACTCCCCGAAGCACATCACGAGCAAGGATCCGCTTGCGCACCCTGAGATAGACCCTCACGTCTTTGAGGAGCAGTATGGTCTGTGCCCTTTTTACTTCTCCGTTCCTTTTCTCCTATCTCCATCTGAGTACTGACTGTCAGTGTAGATCTGCAGACGTTGGTGGAACTTGTCAAATTCTGCCGAACTCTGGCCATGACCGAGCCATTGAAAGATATTCTAGGCGGTGAGTGCGGTAACGGCTTACCGAAATATTGACTTACGCATGTGTATCCATATTGTAGATGAGATATGGCCCGCTGCTAACACAGAGACGGACGAGCAGATCGAAGGTGAGCACCGACTACGCCCTGTATGACATGCTGTGGATGCGACACACACATATAGATCAGCTCCGCAACGTGGTGAGCACGTCCTACCGTGCGTGTCATCATTCCTCAGCTCCTCACGCGCACTGTTGATCATTCGACTCATTCCTCCGTAGACACTGTCGGCTCGTGCTCGATGCTTCCCTTGGAAGATGGCGGTGTGGTCGACTCGCGTCTGAAGGTTCGTGATGGCTCAAGCGGACTTACGTAGATCATCCCTGGTGGCTCACGAGGGACGGGCCGCAGGTGTACCACACGACCAACGTCCGCGTTGTTGACCTCTCCATCGTCCCGCTGCATATTGGCAGCCACACACAGGGTGCGCTTCCCCGCGTGAATTAATTGAGGTGACGCGCTGATAATTGTGTCCCCTGTGTCTAGCAATGGCGTATGCGATCGGCGAGCAAGGTAATCTGACATTACACGTTTGTTCACGCGCGAGCTGACAAGCTGACATTTTCAGCTGCTGACATTCTGAAGGGCGTTATTTGAGCATGGGAGAACTATGCTGTGCTGTATCAACAATCCCGTCTGTCGTCAGTCAAATCCCGTAGATACCTGAATACTGTATGAATATCTCATGACGCAGGACCTGTAAAGCTATTGAATCAGAGCGGGCTCTATACAATGGAGACGTAAATGAGGATGCTTGACCTGCGTGAGCGCGAGTTGGCATCCATGACAATCTGGAAAAAACTAGAGATATCGCGCAGCTATAACCGAATATGAATCAATCGAGAATGTCAGACGCTAATGCTATTGCGCCGGTTTCCCATTCTGAACGATTTCCCTATACCCGTATTTCAGGCACAGAGTTTGGCGAAGCTGATTATTCAAGTATGTACGGTTCTCTGATTCTTGCCGCAAATGACTGATATTGAAGGAAAGTCTGGTGTGGCGCGCGAAATGATTGAGAGGAATAGCGACTTCATAAATCATGCGACCAGGGCTGGTCACAAGGATCTGCTCAACAGATTATGCACGTATTGTAGGTTTCTGTCCTTGCATCCGACTAACATCATTTTAGTGGTTGCCTACGCACACAATGATATTTTGGAGGGCGAGCTCTACGACCAGGTATGTGTTGACGATTGGCTCAGCTGTGCCCGCTGACCTGCACATTTAGATTTCAACCTTCGTGTACGTTTAAGTTCCTCTGTCCAGTATCTACAGCATGCCTAACTGCGGCTTCAGTCTTACTGGACAAGGAGCTATAACCACGACCTTGGGCTTTACAATATGGCAGCTTGACATCTGCAAACTCGACGATGCCTACGCGGGTCTCGCATAGCCCGTGTAGGTCCCATAGGCATATTGCCAGCCCCCCATCTACAGGATTCCTGTGTAGCGCGGCGGTCCTACAGGAGGAGTCTGTAGCCCGGGAGTCGTGTAGACGTGTAGGCACGCGTAGACAGTGATGGATCCCGATTGCCGTCATCACATTACGCAGCCTAATCTAGCTCGCTGCTTGGTAATATAATATAATTGTCAGACATGTTAAACCGAACTGGAAATATGAATCAATTTGTATGCATCTATGTTTACTGTGATACAGTACATATTTTTTATTCAGGATCCTCGGGTTTAAACTCCATACAGCGTAGGTACATGTAGAGTGTAACCAAGCCGGCAGCGGCTGTTGATAATGGACTCCACACGCATGGCCGAACCTGAACAGCGAAATGCGGGTCGCACAGTGTCCTTGCCCTACGAGTTTCGGGACGACTAAGTGCTCCTCGCCGACGGCGCTGGGGGTGGTCCTCGCGTGGCGGACGCCGCATTGGTGGTCCAACAATGAGGCAAACAAAAAGAATAGGGAGCCGGCTATCGACGCCTCCATCTGATCCTGTGCTTCACGCTGGGCAACCGGTGGCTTGAGACAGGGCAGGAATGGCGGGGTACCAGGAGCCAGGTCGCACCACTCAGTGAAATTGGCGAAGTCTTCGCGATACAGTACGGCAGGACTACAACTGCAGAGCCTAGCAGCACTCATTCGTGGTGCTCGCTTGCAGCAAATTGGTTGTCGGACAGGTTGTCGTCCTGTGCAGCTGGCGACAGCTCGTTCCTGAGTGAGGCCCGTAGTCTGTAGCCTAGGTCAGATGACGGTGTGAAAAGGAGACTTGGACACTCACCCAACGATCTGCAGTAGCTCCTGCTGCATGTGTGTAGAGCTTGTGAAGGTTGCACCAAGTATTTGGCACATTGGTGCAGCGAGTGGACTCGTGCTTCAAGTAGCAGTCCATATGCCGCACTTGGCAGCTCAACATACTCTACATCATAATATGAAATCTTTAAATTCAAAGACCACGTGTTGCACTGCGCAAAGATGGATAAGCAGCCAAACCGGGCGGGGGATTGTTCTGCCAATCTACCCATCACATTGATGGCTACAGAGGCTCGCTCATCCTACAGATGTCTCGCATAGGATGGATCTCCTATGCGAGACAGCTATAGATGGCGGATCCTACCCGAGGCTACCGTAGAACCGCCGTTCTACCAGTGGGAATGCAGCTTTGCAGATGGGCCCCCGGCTACTTGCGCGCCTGAGCTTTCGAGCTCGTTCCTGACCACGCGGGTCGGCGCGTTTCAACAGGCTGACCAACACTATACACGCGATTCTCAAAACAGTCAATTACACTGCTAAATCGAGGCGACTCCAAATTGTAAGGCAGCACAAACATGTCTATGCAGGAGAGGGACGAGCTGATGGGCTACATCTATACACAGTCAGAACCTCCCAACTCCGTAGCAGCCGCATGGGTATAGCGATAATAGCATGGCAACGCGTGGGCGGCTGACAGCCACACCTATACAAGCATATCAGGGAGGCAATAAACATAATATCAGGAGGACATACGTTATACCAATAAAAGGACACTTGATCATGCCAAACACCCCGCTTCGCTAAGAAGCGAACTCCTACAAAAGTCGCCATTGTTATAAAGGCTCCTGAGACAATCTCGTCCACATCCCAGATATTCACGAGGATTGTGGACCATACTAACAAGCCTATTACAATTGTATAACGTGCAATTTCTGGAAAGACGATTGGAATAGTAAGGCGACCAATCATCTGGTCGCCTTGAACGTCTTTGAAGTCTTGTGCGTGAATAGTGGTGGCAAATATTCCTGCGCTGAGCAGCAGGGCTCGAATGGAGGTACCGTCAAATTCCCGATGACCATGAGCTATTGCACGAAGAAGATTAGCTTTAGACTTGAACATCTACGGATGACGTTACACGTACTCCCAACCAAAGTTGCTCCCAATTCAAACGACGCGAAGCCTGCTGCATTGACCATGTTGCGTATAATCCAGTGACGGCCGTGCGCTGCGAGCTCATTGTAGAGGACAGTCAACGCGACGAGAGTGATGCTTGCACATAGGGTCTCCACACTATACACGTATGAGAGACCCCAGCAGGGTAGAATTAGCAGCCATCGAATGAGAGTCGCCGTGGGGAGCGAAATTCGCCTTGATGGAAGTGGGCGATCCCGTTTATTGACCGCATCCTCATCCGGATGAAGGGTCTGGTTTGAAACATCAAATTGCAAAACATGAAGCCATATCCAAAAGACAATGTGCCCGAACTGTGAGATCTGGAGATGAGGAGAGGCCGCGATTGCGAACATAGTCTGAAGTGTCATCTCAGCATGGGGTACAAAATATCCAGGATTAAGACTAGCGTACAACTGGTACCACAGTAGTCTTGATGTCGGATTTGGTGAAAAGGAAAGCTGTGTACAAGTGATACACAAGGTGGAGGGAAGTGCGTCGGAGCATGATCTGACACTGTAGTCGACCAATCAGGAATCAACTTGGGTCTCGTTATATGAAGAAAATGACACGGGCAAGCGATTGTCGCATAAGGAGCGTAGCCCACGAATGAAATGGCATCCTCACCCCCAGAATTTATTCGCACTGCTGACGAGAGCTAACCGCGTTGATAGCATGGGACATAGAGGCCGTGAGCAAAGACAGATATTCAGGAGCTCACCCTCATCAGAATCGACGCCAACATGGAAAATGTCACTACAGGTGTCAGGGACGTACGGGCGTGGGCTCAGACACCCAGCACACATGAGCCAATCGAGAGTGACTAGACGTCTCGATCAGGCATCTGTCACATTCGCGTTATCAGAAATTTAGTAGGCATGAACTCAATCACATTTGAAAGAACTTTGGAGGGAGCTTGCTATATGCACACTAAATCTCGATGTTCTCAACCTGAGCAGCTGTAGTAACTCGAAATGGTATCACCTCTTACCTATCGCATTTCCACATATTGGCAGTCCGGGAATTTATGAACGACATACAGCCTCAAAATCCAGTTGTTGCATTCTACAATCATGCCGTATCAGAATGAGCGCGAAGCCAGGTCGATGTGAGAGATATCAGTATCTGATTATCCATGACGAGTAACCTCTTCCATTCTAGTTCAACATTGGAATCATCACCTGGACCCTAGACGATTTCAAAGATGCCAGATAGAAGCACCCGCTGAGCCTTTGTCATGAACATAGACATGACCGAAACAACGGTCCGGCACACCGCACACGTATTACCAGAATTTCCGCCAGGAGTCCGCACACATCGCATCCAATAGGTCCAATGATTTGACATCAGAATGATATGAGGTCAGCTGAATATCGAGTAGACAGCTCGATGCGAAATTCGAAATTGAGGGTCAACACTGCGATCATGACCTGGCAGAGCCCGGCGAAGTATTATTGAGGCCACACTGTACCTTGTCCATATGCAATTGACTGGTATGTCTGGCCCGGGGTAGATGTCTCGCTACTAAGTACTGGTCTCTGCTCTAGTTGATTGCAAAAGGATAGACGCCTTGGCCAAAGTTCTGCTCGCAATTATGGTTCACACACCATATAATGCCATCCGAGCTTCGAAGCAGTAACTTATTCTATTAGGAGCAGTAGTTATAAGGTAGTGCGCCAATAGTCGGATTAGTGGGGCAGTATTAGATTACGAGGCCAATATGTCTATTTTATACATAATTAGCGTCGGAGGTTTCCCTGATGGTCGGCTCGTGCTCGATGCTTCCCTTGGAAGATGGCGGTGTGGTCGACTCGCGTCTGAAGGTTCGTGATGGCTCAAGCGGACTTACGTAGATCATCCCTGGTGGCTCACGAGGGACGGGCCGCAGGTGTACCACACGACCAACGTCCGCGTTGTTGACCTCTCCATCGTCCCGCTGCATATTGGCAGCCACACACAGGGTGCGCTTCCCCGCGTGAATTAATTGAGGTGACGCGCTGATAATTGTGTCCCCTGTGTCTAGCAATGGCGTATGCGATCGGCGAGCAAGGTAATCTGACATTACACGTTTGTTCACGCACGAGCTGACAAGCTGACATTTTCAGCTGCTGACATTTTGAAGGGCGTTATTTGAGCATGGGAGAACTATGCTGTGCTGTATCAACAATCCCGTCTGTCGTCAGTCAAATCCCGTAGATACCTGAATACTGTATGAATATCTCATGACGCAGGACCTGTAAAGCTATTGAATCAGAGCAGACTCTATATGATGGGGACGTAACTGAGGCCCATGCTTGACTTGCGCGAGCGCGAGTTGGCGTTCTTGACAATCTAGAGAAATCTATAGATCTCGAGCTCTACGACATGACGTGAAGGCCGTGCACTCATATTTAGAGTGCCGCCTCAAAAAGCGACCTTACGGTAAGGCGACGCGTTGGAAACTAGACTATCGGTGAGAGCAGCTGGTGATCGCGTCCACGAGAATCGGTGCGGGGCGCACAGCTAATTGCTATAATGTTCTCTGGCTCCCGCTCCACATCAGTCTAGAACAATCTGCTCCATCGATATTTCCCAGCAGCGCATGTTCCGTTCTCTGGGATTGCATGTTAGAATAAAGCATTAGTACTTGACGCAAACGGAGGGCAGCTTCGTCGGTCTTTCAGGAGCCAGCCTTCCCCCCGCAGGAGCCCCCGAAGAGAATGCATCTCCCTCTAATCTTGGGAGCGATTTACTAGCTCCCTAATACTCTAGCGAGATGATACTCCAATTGAAGACGCGGCGGTCCAGGCAAGTAGCGTTGGATGCACTACGCGTCCCGTTCTGCCCATACAGCTAAAGGACCAGTATCGCCTTGGCAGTCACTGCGTCTTACCTTCTCAACCGACGGGGACAACACCGCGTGCCTCTACTCGTCTAGTTTACTGCCTAAGCGGATTACTATAATTGCGCCTGTTCGGGAACAGACACGATATGATCGGACCGGTTGAAGTTGGCGCCGCACACTTACTACAATCTCGCATACTCAGGACACAATGAGGATCACAATCGGGCTATCCTCGAGCGAAGAGAGGTAAGCCGAGGACGAGACACCGCGGACACCGGCATTGCTGGCCATGAGACAGTGTTAAGCTCAATGTGACGGAAGGTCTCTACAGGAGCGAAATTCCCACTAACGCGATGCGGACATTCAAAAAGTGATGGCACATCATGATTGACCACGAAGCGGGCTTAATCTGGGTCATATCATCGTGCAAGTCAACTGCATTTCCAGATGCACGGGTCACTACGTCTTAAACGCGGCTCACATGTGCTTCTGTTCAGGTGTGGGTTCCCGTCGTGATGTATCTTGCGAAGACGCAAGTGTGGCACGCATTGGGATGTGTCGGTGAGTGGTAATTCCGGTATGTCATCTATAAGACGACCGGTGAGCAGAATCTCAATGCATACTGCCACCCCTTGGGCCGCTGACATTCAACACTTGCCATGGCATCATCTCACGGCGATACTATCTCCAATATGAAGGCGATGCTGGCGAGCTTGAGCTCAGCTGTGCCATCGCAACGCCGCATGCCACCAGCCGGATTACCTGCTCGCGGTGGAAACGTCGTTCTAGTCACCGGGACAACCGGGAGCTTGGGTTGCCATCTTCTCGGAGCGCTCGCTAGGTCCTCTGACGTCCTTCACGTGTATGCTCTCAACCGAGCATCCAACAACGCGTCATTGAGTACGAGGCAGCAGGATGCACTAGTTGAGCGTGCGATAGACCCATGTATACTGGATCTGCCGAAGATCACCTTACTTGAGGGCGACCTTAGCTTGCCCAACTGGGGGATCGCGAAGGACAAATACCGTGAGGTTCGTCGTCTGACTCTCGATATGTTTCTGTTCGGCTGCAGCGTGCTGATTGTGGGTTCAGATGTACGGTTCTGTCACTCACATATTGCACAACGGTAGCCACTGTTCGTCAACGGTGATCGCCGAGTACTGACCACCACTGTATCCACACAGCATGGCGTGTGGATATGATGAGCGGGCTGGACGCGTTCGGGCCTGTCTTACTAGGCCTTCTTCGCCTCGTCCAGTTTGCTCTCGATTCTCCCTGCGCAGACACACGACGCCTGCTGTTCATCAGCTCAACTGGAGCAATCCATGGTGCGTCAAAGCAGTGTCTTGAATATGGAGAGCGGCTCACATGCTCGCGTTCAGAGGCACCACGTGACATGCCAATCGCTGAGGCACCTGTCGACCCGATATACGCCATTGGAAACGGCTATGCTCAGTCGAAATGGGTCGCTGAGCAGCTACTACTTACCACAGCACAGAGGACCACGCTGGATCCACTGATTGTGCGTGTTGGCCAGCTCACTGGTGGACCTGCTGGAGATTGGGCAGCAAACGAATGGTTCCCTGTCATGGTGCAGAGCGCCCCATACCTTGGGTGCTTTGTCGACGATCCACGGGTATGTCCTGCATCCTCCCCAGCGATTTGGGAGTACTGATTTCGGGACACGATACCAGCCGTGTCCCTTCCTTCCTTTCGACATCGCCGCGAACGCGCTCCTTGACATGCTACACGCGTCGAGCCCTACCCACATCGTGCACCTCATTCATCCGCGTCCCGTGTGTTGGAATGTCATTGCAAGGCATATCGCCAAGGAGTTTTCTGTCAAGCTTGTGCCGTATAGGAAATGGTTGGCACTATTGGAAAACGCGGCAAGACTGCTACCAAAGGACACCGCGGCGCGCCGGAGGAAGATGGGGCAATGTCGTGCACTGCGGCTACTCCCATTCTTCCGTATCTACGTACATGATGGGTCAGAGGTCAGCCCGTTGGCGATGGGCTGGCCTAATCTCGAGGTCAAGGAAGCTGTCGCGGCTTCGCAGACACTGGCAGATCCACGCCTACGGAAGTTGGAGTCTGAGGACGTGATGAAGTGGCTTGAGTATTGGAGGAGAGTTGGCGCTCTTCCTGCCGGTAGCTCTGTGGCGCGATTATGAGTGCATACACGATATCAGAATTAATTTACTTTGAAGGCTTTTCTTTTGACCCGGACGGTTGTACTTGGATCAAGATAATGATTCTAGCAACTCGCTTACTGAACTTGAACAATGGCCGGCGATTGCCGTCCGCGCCTGCTGGTTTTGAACATTCGGGATAGCTGTTTAATCAGTGTCACCATGAAAGCTAGCACCGCGAAAGAGTCTGTCCACACCCTCTTTTCCCGCTACATCCTCTGACCCTTGTCGTGTACGGTTTGCTTTTGCCCCTAACCTTAGCGTAGGGCTTAGACTGGACTCAGAATAAACCCTACGAAGACGGCGGAGTCGCTGCTCCCGGCATTCCTTCCCGCACTTTCTTTCCCTCGGGTCTCAGGAACGATGGATATCAGATTTGCATTGTGCTCTCCTCCATATCGCACCCAACCATGGCGAGCCTCGACGTCGCTCGTTCCCGAGCAGCGTTCCCTGCGTTATCATCAGGCTATCTGTACGCTGACAACGCCGGCGGGTCTCAGTGCCTCACGGATGCCGCCACGCGCATCTCAGATTACCTCCTGAATACGAACGTGCAGCTCGGTGCGGACTATTCCGTCTCAGTCGCAAGCACGACGCGCGTCGAAGACGGTGCCGAGGCCGCGCGCGAGCTCTTCAATGCAGAGAGCGTCGACGAGGTCGCCTTCGGGAGCAGCGCAACAATGCTTCTCGCGAACCTCGCGCGCGCGATGGACGGGGACGTTCACCCGGACGAGGAGCTGATCGTCACTGGCGAGCACGAAGGTACGTCGACCTACCGTTCGCCCGCTGTGTTACTCTATGCTAGTTCCCGGCTACTGATGACCACTATCTGGCACCGCGCAGCCAATGGCGGCCCCTGGAAACACCTTGCCGAGCGCAGAGGGGCGACCACGAAGCTTTGGCAGGCAACGCAGCTGTCCGCCACGCCGAACAATCCATATGCGGTCGGGTTGCAGCTGGAAGAGTTGCTCACGCTCATCACGGCAAAGACGCGGCTTGTCGCATTCACCGCATGCTCGAATATCCTCGGATCCATCATCCCTGTGAAGGACGTCGTGATCGCAATCCGTGCTCGCGCGGCGGAGCTCGGTGCGCGCAAGGTCGAGGTGTGTGTGGATTGCGTTGCGTATGCGCCCCACCGCCTGATGGACGTGCGCGGCTGGGACGTCGACTATGCCGTGTTCTCCGTGTACAAGGTGCGAGGTGTCCTGTGTGTCAGCATGGCTTGCAGGCATGCCTGATTGGGACCGTGTGTTTCGGTGCAGGTGTACGGGCCCCACGCGTCCGTGCTGTACACGCGCCGCGCCGCGCTCACGCGTTCGCTCTCGTCGCTCGCACACCACTTCTTGGCACCTGCCGTCGCGGCTAAGCCATATAAATTGCAGCCGGGCGGGCCTGGGTACGAGATCGTGTGGGGGTGCACCGCTGTGCCGCCATATCTGCGCGCCCTCGGGGACGGGAACCTCGAGGAGGCAATTGCACGCATCGCGCGACACGAGCAGACGCTACTCGCGCCGCTGCTGGCGTTCCTACGAAGCAAATCTGCACGCGGGGTGCGTATCGTGGGCGCAGAGCATGAGGGGCTTGACAGGGTGCCGACGGTGAGCTTCGTGGTGGTGGGCGAGCGGGCGATACGGAGCCAGGACGTCGTGGCGCGGTTCGATGCGAAGGGAAACGTGAGTGTTGTCGCGGCTTCCGACTGGAGTACGCGAGTTGACATGGTGACTGTGTACTTGCAGATTGGCATTCGGTACGGGCACTTCTACGCGTACACTCTCGTGAGCTCGCTCAGTCCTTCCCTTGACGTCGAGGACGGCGTGGTGCGCATCTCGCTTGTACACTATAACACGCTGGAGGAAGTAGTGAAGATCATCGAGGTGCTGGAGGAGATTCTCGCGTGACGGTAACACCCCACGGCAGCTTGCACAATTGTAGAAGTGCTAGGCCAACTAGGAAATCAGCACATTTATTCACGGTCTATGTTGTTGATCGAGAGATATTACGCGTAGTCTACCACAGGTTCCCGAACGGGCACCATGTGGTAACGGAGTATGCCTTTGTGCCATAGAAGAGCATTGCGGTAATAAGCAAAATAATGGCAAGAGTAACCGCTTCATTTCCGGATTTTCCTGGATGAATGTACGGCGTTCATTGTTCTACGCCGGATGTTCACGGTGCCAATCAAACAACTTAGACATCAAGCTCGGCCGTAGCTCTATCATACCTGTCATTCGTCAGTAGTAAAAGCTTTACTCACAAACCACATACCGTACTTGTTTCTCCGAGTCGCAGCCTCAGACTGCTGAGTTCTCTGCCAAACATTGCAAGCAAGCTCAGTTCACAACAGTCTGAAAGCTCGTTATCGTTGTACCGTATATATATGCAATTATTACTAGGTACATTCGAAATGACGCTTTAAGTCGCTAAAAAGAAGCGAAATTCAAGTAGCAAAACCAGTGAGCAGGATCTCACCTCCCCTCCTCGAACAACGACAAATAAGCGACTGCTTGTCGCAAGCGCTCGCAGATTACAGCATGTCACGCTTGCATATTCGTCTACCTGATTGGCTGGCCAGCCTCGGGAGCCGAGAACGTGATTAGGTCACGGTTGCATCACGCTTAGTCATATGTAACCGTTTCCGCGACCGCTCGCATGTTGTTCTCGACCACTGGGTCACTAGTTTGCTTGTGTCTTACAGCGCGACGCTAAACTTATGAATTCAACCTCTGTTGCTTAGCCAAGGAGAATGAGGAGGTCCACCGAAATCTGCATCTGGCAGGAAATGCGATTCCACGAAGGCTAACCATCAACGTCTACTAGTTTGTCCACGCATTCGTTGCCAGTAATGCTCTATCGGTAATAGCTCACGAACAGAATATGGCAATGTGGCTAATGAATGGTTTTCACAGTATCGAACACGCGATTCTTACGATCACCACAAGCTGACCTGATACGACTCGTTGCCGGCTGCGCAGGAGAGTTCGACATGAAAAGAAGCGCCTGAACAAAAAACTGAGCAGGACAATCCATGTATCGAGTGAATCATAGCGGTATGATAGGAGGCTAGCGACACGCACTTCAACCTCTCAACTCATACGATATAGCTGTGTAATCGTGCATTCAAACTTGTGCCGTTCTAATCCGAGTGTCGCCCAAACATCTTGATCAGGCCCAGACCGGCCGCTCGCGCTAGAGATCAGCCAGTTTGTATCTCGATCACGTCGCAATCGAGACTAATAACTCCGCCATATCGAGATATGCTGCACATATAGGACGTTGGTTCCGCCCAGCCGCCTTGGCTGCATCCGTCTGAACCCTAACGCTCGTTCAAGCGGCTCGAGATGTGTCCGCCGGCTCAGGTCTGCATCTCTCAGATTTACTTGAAGCCACTGCGGATCACGTCTCTCAGTCTGCTATCCGCACTGTCTTGTTTGACAGCGAGCGCCGCCGTAGTTTTGATTCCCTAAATCTGCATTCCCGCTCATCCTGTGCAGGCCTCAGGATACGCTCGTCAGGACCATGCCGTTCTACTCTCGGCGGTCGAAAGTGCCCTCTTCCCCAGACACCCCATCTACTTCTTCCCAAACGCGCAGTAGCTTGTCGCCATTGTCCGCAAGAAACGAGGCGCCACCTCGGGAGCAGCAATACTTGGAACACAGGCCTTCCATTATGGCAGGCGCATCGGAAGGTCAGCCCCCACTTCCGCCGCGCGGTATCCTGCGCCAGCCTCCCTCCCTTTCTAGCGCGTCCTCCTCTCGTCCGGGCGACGCCGTTGTCCCACCCAGCCCTACCACACGATCCAATACCCCGCGTCATTCCGAGACCATGGGTACCACTAAGCGTGCGTCCCTTCCTATGCTGTCCGCCGGAAACAGTCGTTTCGACAAGCGGTTCTCGCTACCTGCGACACAGCTGTCGGCCGTCGGCGACACGCACTCAGCGCATCTGGAGGACGACAGAGACGATCACATGTCGGCGCCACTCACTCCCTTGTTGCACCCTAAGGTGCGCTCTGTTCGTATTGCCGACAACGAATCCGACCGCCTCGCTCGGGCGTGCGGGCAGCTTCCCGCGTCATTAACATCTACCAGGCCTCGTTCGACCTCGTGCACAGTACCCTCTTCAGCGCAACGGGACGGCGGAGACGAACTATCCAATCGTGGTAGGGAAAAACAGAGGCGCGCTAGCACGGGCTTGGCTCGTCCCCGCTCGCGTAGTCTGAGCCGGTGCCCCTTGGATCGCTCTGAGAAACCACCACCTCCCCCCTACCAACCACCGGAGCCGTTCGAAGCCCTGAGGGAGTTGAATGTCTTACTACAGAGGGAGAATCAACGCTTGGAGGACTACATAGAGGTCGAGGATTTCCTCCAGGAAAAGGAAAAGGAAGCGGAGGCGCGTCAAAAGAGGTTGGAACGTATCGCGCGAGGAGAGGTTGAGCACAGGAGGGACGAGGATGCCAAGGCCACTGTTCGCCCACGTACGTGGCCTTGTTTTTGATTTATGGCCAATGGAGCCAATGACTAACTGTCCTTTGAAGGCGTCTTTGGAGCACCCTTATCAGATGCACTCGATCGTTCGTCGATGCCTATCGTCATAGGAGGACAACAGCACGAAATCCCGACTGTTGTGCATGCCTGCATCGAGGAGCTATACCGCACCGGTCAGTTAGAGACGCGGATATATACCACACTCAATGTTGACAGTGCGTGCGACCCTTAGGTATCTACCAAAATGACTTGTTCCGTGCACTTCCCGACCGTGCGCGCCTTGTCGAGCTCGTGCGGACCTTCGACGACATGCCTTCAGGATCCGCCGCGTCACCTACCTCCGTCCTCCGCCATGCATCCATGGCCGACGTCTGCGCGCTCCTCTCGTCTTTCGTCACCTCACTCCCGAACGCACTTCTCGACCGCACAATCCACAACGCGCTATGGACGTGGTGCGTGCGTCCTGCGGTCGCGCGCGACGATGCCAAACGCGAACAGGAGATGAAGGCTGAGATGGAGCGCTACGCGAAGGCCCCGCCAAAGATGTGGCGCAAGCGTTCGCAGTCCGAGCCTAAAACGCCGCCGTCCGCGTCAGCGACGCCACAGTCGCACAAGACCCCAGACGAGCTGCGCCGGGAGATGATCGAGAAGGAGCGTCCGCAGGTCGCAATCGCCCGCCTCGTTCTGCAGCTCATTCCGGTCGAGAATCTGTCGCTCCTCGCGTACCTCTGTGCCTTCTTTACCCAAATCCCGCTGTGTCCAGACAACGGCCTCACATTCGAGGACATCGCACGGATCTTCGGGAATCGCCTGCTGGGAGGGCCAAGCAAGAACGCTGCGCGGGTCTTGATGGTCTGGCTGCTCAACCGGTGGTCTCGGATCTCCGCAGGACTCTTCGACATCGAGGATGGAGTGTCAACGAAGGCGCAGAAGAACCGCGAGACCAGCAAACCCATGTACTCCGCCAGACGCCCTCCGACCCCTGCGGAGCTCGATCCGCCCAAGGACGAAGACTACGTTGCCCCTGACGAGGACGCTCTGTACGGTGGATATATGCGTGATTTCCACCTCGAATCTCCCTCGCAGTCGCGCACGGGCAGACCGTATTCATCGTCAGTATCCTCGCAGGGGTCATCGAGTACATATGCATCTACGGCCCAGAGCGAATTGGGCGACACATACCCATTTGGAGGCTCCCTTCCGTATGATAGCGGTATGACATTGCCGAGAAGGACAGAGCACGGAGATCGACCTCGGGCGTCCAGTATTCCACAAGATAGATTACTGCGCGTCATCGAAGAGCACGAGGATCATCAGACTGGGAGGCCTCGTGAATTCTTTATCCCTAGGACGCCCTTCACAGGTATGTACTGAATAAATCGACGAGCGTCTTTCTGTAAAAGCTCATGGGTCATCAGACGAGCAAGAATTCTTGCAAAAGAATGATTTTTTCAGAGCCGACCCGATGCGTCGAACAAGGACTTCCGACAGTGTTTACTCCTCAGGTGTGTGTGCATCACTCGACAGGGATATATGTTCGCTTACTATGCTGCGAACAGAGGAAACTGACGAGGGAGGGTATTTCGGAGACCTTGAGCCCTCAATCCTTCGTCCAAAAACCTCCTCCTCTATCCCTCGTCCTGAATTCCAGGGCGACATGGATGCATCAGCTGGATATGCAGACCGCCGCGCCTCGACCCCTGGTCTACCGCTCATTAAGGATGAGCTCAGCTCTGCCCTTGAGCGCATCTTGGAGCTCGAGCGCGAGCTCAGAGTTCGGTCTCAGGACACAGAGCATGACGCTTTTGAACCCCTGCATCCAAATACCGACACTGACGGTTTTCCAGCCGGTCCACCGGTCACTTCTGAGCTGGCCCGCACCTGGCAAGGCGACACCGGCAGCCCCAATATCGAGCAAGACGTTGTGAGCGTCAAGAGGGAGCTTAACGCAGCTCTCAGTGAGCGTGATGATGCGCGTAAGCTTGTTCATGAGCTCAGGAAATTCCTTGATGATGTTCTGCAAAAATAATGTCCCTATGACCCCCCCCCCTCTTGACCCCCATCGCATGTGTTATATCTGTGGAATCTGTGCCGATACACGTCCCTGGCACTATATGTACAACTGGAGCTTCTACTGTATCTCTAGAAATGCGATATACTTCAGGCACTATGACTCTCTACCTTTGGGCATCTCGGAACATGAAGCTGGCTGTACTCGCTCGTTGAATCACCCTATCCTGGATGTTCGTAGCTGTCTCCCGAACGGAAGCAGATGCACTGATCGACTCCGGGCGGATTATTGTGGCTACACTGAGACAGCATCACTTCAGCCGAGCCGAGCCTGCCTGGATTTCCTATCCTATTCTCGAGATGTCGAGAATCCGCCGGCGTGCATGGGGCACCCCAGCATCCGCTGTGTCCAATACGTTTTGCCGACCATACGTATGTCATCGTCCGCCTCGTGTATCGTACATGTTCCCGCGGTTCCGATACCCAGTTTGAATTGCGATCTCGTTGGCTTATAAACTGAGCTGCCGTCTTCCCCAAGTCATCCCAACCCACTTCTTGCTCCTTGCCACGATGTTATATAACATGAACATCTTCGCGCTTGTTGCGCTTTTTTTCATCGCTGGTTCCAGTGCAGGCATGTAGCATAGTCGTTCCGCTTCACTCGCAGCGTACTCAACGGCATCCACAGTTGTTATTAACACCTCAGAGACAACCACCGTCACGCGCACTCGCTATGTGTACACCACTACCACCGAGACCGTCCCGACGACGATCACGAGTACGACGACGAGCTACTCCACGACCGTCACAGAGTCTGTCACCGATACAGAGACTGACACTGTCCTCACTACTACTGGGACGTCAACCACGTCGAGCCCGACGGGCTACGCTCCCTACGCTCCTTACAGCCCGTACCAGTAGACAGTGTTATATGTGCTGATATGTGCTGCTGTTGTCGATACTTGTTCGTTCGCATGTATTTTCGCGCATGGACTGAATAATTTTCTTGAAGTAACATCGTACTTTCACACATTGAAAAGCGCGACTTCAAAATTTCGGTCATGAGGATGCGTTAACACAGCACCTGCCGCCTGATTTCCAATCAACCTGAGATCAACCTGTAAGAAAAAGCCCAGCGGGCATGATCGAAACCGCTTTGCTCGCATCTGGCGACACCTAGTGGAGATGATCGCAAGCATAATGGAAGTCATGGCGGGAAGCGGAAGCGCATCGGAAGGCGGGGATGATATGGTAGAGCCGGAATGCGCTTATACATGATGGGGCGCGCGGAGCGTCGGCGGCGGGGCGCGGGGCGGATGCAAATCCGCTGACGGTCCAGGCTACGCGTGTGTGGACCGGCGATGACAATGGAAGTCCGCCGAGGCGGTGTGCACTGTGCAGAGTATATAGGCTTGGTCCAGTCTGGCGCAATCCCCACATCACCTCTATAACTCTTCCCACTCACCCACACAATGCCTCGCACTTTCCGCTCAATCGCGCTCGCGGCGCTCTTTCTCGCCGGTTTGACGCACGCAGTCGGTGAGCATGGCTATTCCTCTTCCACGATTGTTCACTGACCGCCAATCGTCTTTGCAGTGACGGTAACGGTGACCCGCACGCTAATTGAGCAGACATATACCACCACGACGTCGACTGTTGAGCGCACCGCGTTAACGCCGACTACAACGGTCGCCACATTGACCGATGCTACGACGACCACAGAGACTGAGTTCGATTCCACGACGACGGTGATAATCCCCACCTATGCCGTCGTCACTGCGGGCCAGTCCCGCCGAAGAGCCCATGGGGAAGGGCAGGGTGAGGGACAAGCCGTAGATGCCGGTGTGGGCTTCGGCGCAGGCCAGGGTGAGGATCAGGGTGTGGGCCAAGGCGTAGGTCAGGATGCGGGACAGGTTGGCGAGGGTGAGGGAGAGGAAGGGTACGATCCTACCCACACGCCTGACGTCACGGGCGCAGATGGCACACCCGACACTGCCCAACCGTACCCCGGCTACGCAGGCTACCCGAAGTTCAAACGGGAGTAGGCAAATGATCTCGCTGTTTCTTTTGCGTTATTTTGTCGTATCCTTCAGTCAACTCTTCTACGTCAGGACTGTATCGGTAGCCTTAGTTAATTTATGAACACCTAAATCATACAATCCACCGCTTGCGCGGCGAGATAAGGCGTACCAACTCCGCAACTTCAGCACTAAAAGTACACGAAGTAGAACGCAGTACACCCTGTCCTCCACGTGGACGCTCACCAGGTCGAACCCAACTTGCGGGGTCTCGTGGCTGGAGTACAGCTTGCTGCGCGTGACAAACAGCTCGTCCGCCGCTTCGGAGCTATTCAGCACGACGATGCGCTGGCCGCGCAGTTTGACAGAGAACACAGGACCGTATTTCTGCTCCCACTTCAGTTCTGCGTGTCGCGCGCGTTAGATGGTGCGGGCGAAGCGGCGCAGGCCAACGAACACTATACCTGGGGGTTGGGGCGCATCACGTTGAATTGGAACATGTTGCCAAAGAACGGGATACCACGAGGTCCAGGCGGTGACGGGGCACGCCGAGTGCCTTTGGCGTAGAAGAGCATGCCTGTAGCAATTAAGACAACAGAGAGAATCGCCAGCTCATTGGTCGAGACGTCCATGTTTCTAACGCGTTCTGCCAATGGCGGTGGATGCAGTCGTAGTGTGCCGCACGATTCATCTTAAGTAGTGGTGGGTAGTTGCAGACATGGGGCTGGCGGGCCGCATGCAAGCATTGACTGATAAACAGTATGACAGATGATGTTGAGCCGTAGTTTCGAGAACTGCCGCAAACCAACGGTTTGGCGACGGTTCGTTCATACAAAGAAGGCGTCCATAAAACCGGCGGCGAAGTATGCACCACATACGCGAAGCACCGTCAGCAAGAATACTCAGCGTTAATCAGCACACCCACCGTATCGTCCGAGATGGACCCAATTACTGCCATGTATTCCCAACGGCGCGTATTCCGGCGGGATATCCTTGAAGCACGGTACATCACGCGCATAGCTAGATAGAGAAAGGAAGAGATGAGTGCCACGAAGAGACGAGTCTAACACGAAGAGATGAGTCTGCCGTAGATAGTGAGGGGGCGTCGGCCGCCAATACAAGGCCACGGGCGCCAGCGAAACTCTTCGAGAACAGACCGGCGGTGATTGCGAATGAGCACCTTGGGTTCCGCAGCTACCCACGTGCCGGTTCGTCTAGAACACCATTGAGCAGAAGAAGGTTGAGTTTGTCTTCATCCATGTAAAACACGTCTTACTAGTGGCGGAACAATTGTCCATGATCTCGCGAATCGCAAAGGTAGTGTGTGACAGGGAGGTGGAAAGGCCGACACCGGTCGTGAGTGCTCGCTGTTTCGGCATCTCCCGGGACCATGTTCGTAAGATTCGGATCTCGATCTCGACCTGGTTAACCAATCAAGCTCACGCTCATATTGCAGCTAAAAATCATAGACAATCGCCAGACCATGTCCACAACAAGGCAGAATATGGACGCCTCTAGCTAAGCCTTTTAGTTTTAGTAACCCTCCTGAATCACAATACATCAAGATTGCCGAGTGCACGGAGAGGTAGCATCTCATTGATGTATCCACATTTCATTCGCTCCTTAACCGTGTCCTGCTCTCTCAAGGAGCGGATGCATGACTACTCAGTGCGTGCGGCTCACAGCGCCAGACTCGCGGCCATGGCCACCCACGCGAGCGCAACGAGCACGCTCACGACCGTGCTCTGCTTTACACACAACAGCCAACGTCGTCTGTTGACTTTTGGGTACGTCGGGCAAGCGTCGCTGCCGGCCCGGGTCACGTTGTCGTGCGCCGGTGTGGGAATAGGACTTATGTAGGCGTTGCGCGCCGTAGGTAGCCCCATCGGTTTGTAACCTAATCACCCATTGATTCCTGTCCATCGAGGACGTTGTCTGCCGGCGGTCTTTCCGGCGTGGTTCTCACATCGTCGTACCCGTCACGCACTTGCTCGCGGACACGGCAGAGGTTGCAGAAGTTATGGAGATGGCGGATGACATGGCGTACGAGACAAGCGCGGCGGAGGATGCACCTGAAGATAGGGTCGCGGTCACGGAGGCGGCACGTGAGGAGGCAGACCCAGCGGGGTGCAAATGATTAATGACAAACATTCGTGTGGAGCGCATGATAAGGGAAAGGGAATAGCTTCGGAGGGCGGGCGCACGAGGAGCATAAAAGGGAAAGGACGGGCGCACGAGGAGCATAAAAGGGAAAGGACAGGCGCAACGAGGGCAGGGACGACAACGAAATGGGCTAGAGACCTGGCGTCACGCCATCGTGGCTTTCAATATGAGTTCGTGAAGGGTGGTTAATTCGGCATATCCACACGTATGAAACAAGGTGAGGAAAATATCTCGGGCTTGACATTATAGCCTATGAAGCACAGGTGTCATGCGTGGACCCAAAGTGTCCGTACAATAATAACTAAACAACAGATAATTGGGAATCCGGTATGCTCTATATTTCATATACGCAATACGTCAAAACTTCAGAACGGCAGTGAGTAGATAGAGTATTCCATAACGACGGCCGCGATGTAGGGACTCCGAACTGTTCCGAAAGCTGGACTATCGTCGGATTTAAAATGGAAAAGATGTACAGTACTCTGGGCTACAAAGGAGCAGTCTCACTAATATCTGTGCATCTCGAGTATGACGAGACCGGCCTTGAGGGTTTCTATGCCTATTCCGGATCTATGCGGCCAATCTTACTATATCAGAAAGGCAATTCAGCATCGTATTATGCACAGATTTCTATAACATCGTGGAATCAGGAAGGTAGAGCCTAGACACGACGGGAAGAGGGACATTTGCATTGCGTTGAAGACTGGCATGAAAATATGGGCGCGATCGCTTTCTTTAAGCTACATAACATTCACCGCTCATCTCCCGCCAGCCCCATCGACTGCCAGTCATTCTGGACATCTTTATACGATGCCGTGATCATCTCTGCATGCTTCTCGGACCGTGGCTTGAATCCAACAGGGTAGATCTTGGGCGCACTCACGAGCCCGTCCGTGAACGTGTCCTCTTCGTTGACACCAGGCAGTCTAGCTTTGCCAGTCTGCGGATCAGACGCCGCGTGCAATTCGAAGCCCCAAATGAGACGCGAGAGAACAATAAACAGTGACGCCTCTGCAACGTATTTGCCAGAGCAGAAGCGCCTGCCCCACCCGAATATGTAGCTGAGCCGGACTGGTCAGTACACATCACTCCACGTTTCGATGAGGACGTACTGGTCGCGATTGTGGGTGTCTGGACCACTGGCCCAGTTCAACTTTCCATCTGGATTGTAGAATCGCTCCGGCTTGAATGCGCTTGGGTCAGGGTACCGAACCGGATCCATATGGATAGCCCATATGTTCCCAACGACTGTAGATCCTTTTGGGATGAGATACCCATTGTAAACGTCGTCCTCGTCTGCCTTGTGCGGTATACCTTGATCGCATTAGGGATTTAGGTTGTGCACATAACATTGTCAGTGCTTGCACGGGAATTAGCTGCCATCGTACTCACCCAAGGGAAACGGCGGTGCGCGTCGCAGCGTCTCCTTGATGCAGGCTGTGAGCCAGGGCAACCTATCCTCGTCCTCCCATTCGGGCATGCGGCTAGAGCCTACCACCAGGTCCATCTCTTCCTTAGCACGCTGCAGTGCGTCTGGGTTGCTAAGCATGAGCAGCACGAACGAGAAGACGGCGGTCGAGGTCGTATCAGATCCCGCTTCGATGATGGACACGGCGGTGTATGTAACGAGCTTGTCGCGCATCCATCCTGCCGCGTCCTCTGTTGCACCCTTACCGGGTAGGTCTTCGAGTCCCGCTTCGGCACGTGCACGCAGATAGGACTGCACAAATCCGTTGAACCCGGCGCCGTTGAGCAAGGCCGTGCGGCTGTCGGAGAACAGCTTCCCCCAGAATGCCATCTCCCTGTAGACTAGATTAGTATGTGGGACTTCGGATGAGCAAAACGATAGATACCATTCATGCATCTTCCTCCCCTCTGCTCTCCATGGGGCCAGCATGTCGGGTAGCCAACGCAGGAAAGGGAGTGCATCCACCCTACATCAAGACCAACTATGAGCGACGCGTAGGTATTCAATGACTTTGACAAACAGATAACTCCCAGGCTGGCACACGTGTGTGATATTGGCCATGACGTCGTAGACTTTATGCCTGACAGTAGCTCGTCAGCAGTGATATCTACGGTCTGAACTCGCCGACATACAGCTCCGGATTGTCCACAATGCGCTCGATGCGACGGCCATACACGAGAGTCATCATTAGGCTGGTCGTCTGCACGGAGATGCGCTCAGCATACCAATGCACAAAGCTGAGGGCTTGTCTTCGCTCACATATCGCCTAATGATAGAGAACCAATGCCTCTCCGGCACCTTCCCGTGCGGTCCCTCGACGAAGTCCTCTGTGATGCTGGTCTCACCGTGGCAGAGCAGATCGTGCAGCATGACGCGGGACTCGAGTTCTTGCATCTTACGCATCTGCTTGGACGGGCCGGGGCCGAGAAGGCCGTGAACATTCTTCCTGGAAATCTGATTGACCACGGCGCACAGCCAATGCAGGGCAGCCGACGGGTGAGCTCGAACCGTTGACGCTGAGAGGCACGTCCGACAGACCTTCCACTCTCTGCCATACGGCATGAACACCATTCGCTGCTGGTCGCTCACCAGGTCGAACCCAACATGCGGGGACTCGTGGCTGGAGTACAGCTTGCTGCGAGTGACAAACAGCTCGTCCGCCGCTTCGGAGCTGTTCAGCACGACGATGCGCTGGCCGCCCAGTTTGACAGAGAACACAGGACCATATTTCTGCGCCCACTTCAGATACTGCGTGTCGGGCGCGTCAGATGTGGCGGGCGGAGCGACGCAGGCCGACAGTCACCATACCTGGGGGTTGGGGCGCATCACGTTGAATTGGAACATGTTGCCGAAGAATGGGATACCACGAGGTCCAGGCGGTAATGGGGCACGCCGAGTGCCTTTGGCGTAGAGGAGCACCACAGTAGCAAGTAAAGTAATAGCGACAATCGCCAGCTCATTGGTCCTCGCGTCCATGCTTCTACCGCGTTCTGCCAATGGCGGCGGATGCAGTAGCAGCGTGCAGTAGCAAGTACTCGACCCATCTTAAGTAGTGGTGGGTGGTTGCAGTCATGGGGCTGGCCGGCCTCGTGCTCTCACAGCACAACTACTGACTGATAGACGGCGTGACAGATGGTATTAAGCCATCGTTTCGAGAAGGAGAAGTTGTATCTGCCACAAACCAACGGTCTAGTGGTGGTTCGTGTAGATAACGAAGACGTCCAGAAGGCCGGCGGCAAAGCATGCACCATATACGTGAAGCACCGTCAGCAAGAACACTCAGCGTTAATCAGCACACCCACCGTCTCATCCGAGATGGGCTCAAATCCTGCCATATATTCCCAACGGCGTGTATGCCGGCGGCATGTCCTGGATCCACGGCACATCATGCGCATAGCTGGATAGGAGAGAAAGAGACGAGTCTGCCACGCGAAAACTGATGGCGTTGATTGCACATGAGCACCTTGGGTTCTGCTACTACCCGTGCGCCGGTTCGTCGGGACTACCACCGAGTAGATGAGCGTGCGCCCACCTTTAGAGTTTAAGGTACGGCTAGAAGGATTGCAGTCGAGGTTGATTGACTTCTGAAATGCCGGCACACTCCCGAATCGGAAGGTCTTGGGCAGTTGATGCGGCTCCTTCTCCGAATGACAAGAAAACGACCCGTACACCGTTGAAGGTCTTGATAATCCAGTTACAGCAGCTCCTGCGCCATATGACCATGTCGTGTCGATTCTGTTCCCCGGCAGCCTGTGGTGCACCCTCTGAGCGCAGCGCATCACGTCGAGCGGTCTCGCAATATGTGACCGAGGAGGGATCTCGAGGAGAACGGCGCCTGTGCATACGTGCCACCACGAATCGGATCGCGCGCGTTGCCGATGCCATGAAGGCCGCGGAACCACATACGTGTACGTACCACGTCCAGTGCCCGCGGAAGACCGAGGAAAGCACCTGCTTTGCCACGAGGCGACTGGTGAGCCGCACGAGCAGGAAGCGAGGGGGGGCGCACAACGGGCGCACGGCATAGACAAGGGGATCCGCGGCGTGGGCACGACAGGCAGCCTGCAGGGGGGCCGGATTGGTCATTCTGGACGCGCAGGCAGGTCGCGCCGCCGGCTGCGTCTTGCCCGCCTTCTGCCTGCCGCATACCGAGTCGAGGCGAGGCGAGGCGAGTCCTGCCTCTGGGATACTGTGGCCCGCCGGACGGACCACTGCGGGGCGAATGAGGGCAGACAGGGCGCATGCCTATGTTATTCGCGAGCGATGCAAATGCAGGTGCGCCGCAGCGCGGCCTGGTGTCGGTTGCCTGCATCTGTATCTGCATTAGGGATGGCGGCTGAAGGGGGGTGGAACCCCGCCTTCAGATGCGGGAGCGCTCCACACGACCCCTTCAACCCCCCCAATACCGTTTGGTCCTTGTGTTAGACGGAGCGGACGCGGACACAAATACCCATCAGTCCCTCATCAGATCAGAACGCAACAGGATGCTATGCGCACCACCGCTCAACCGAATGCGCAAAAGCGACTGGAAACGATTCACAATTTCGACAACGCCGCGATGCGAAGGGTCGCGCTGCATACTCATCGTACGGGAGACGAGCAACCCAACCCCCGCTGACAAACGAACAGCTCAGAAACGCAACCAAACATCATGCATCATGCATCATGACTGTGGCAATGTCGGCCAATCAGCGCGCCCAGTGTAGGGCGCGGGGCATCTCGTGACCCCAATTAACATCGGCCTAATTCGCCGGTTGATTACCGGTTGACTAACCGGCAGTTTACCGAGGGCTGGAGTCCAGGGCGTAAGCAATGAATATGAATAAATTCAGGGCGGTCGACGCTACAGTAGAGTCGGTGGATCTGTAGCGTCGTTCGAGCGAGCTATGCTATGCTGGGAAGTGTTGACGGCGGGGACACGACGGCCCAGGAGCGGCGAGCGTGCAGTGTGCATCGCCAGCAAGACTGCTCATCTGCGACTCGCGCGCCATCTTAGGCCTGGCTGTTGATGCTGTCCTCTCACGACAGAACGGCAGGAGGCTGGAGCGCGGAATGTCGGCGAACATTGCGAGCTCGGGCGAAGTCCGCGCGGAGGACCTCGACTGGGATGCTTCAAATAAACGACGGCCGTTTGCCGCTCTTGAGTCTTCATTGACCAGCAGACGGCTGTAGTAGGTTGATCAGGAGGCAGTTCTCAATTCACAGCGCCATAGTCCAGTAGTGCCAGTACCGTAGGACAATTCGCGGTTGACAGCGGCGGTGGATGACGCATAACGAGTGCCTGTAAGCCTGCAGGTTGGCAACAGGTAAAGATGTTGGGCCGCGGGTACAGAACCGCGCTAGAAAACGAGCGCAGACTAGGGAAAAGGACTAGGGCCATTCAGGTTGGGAGCGGGACCAGCATGATAGCACGCGACTGCTCCAGCATTGTTGGGCGTGCCCGGTGCCGTGTTTCGTATGTACGGTTCTTGGCGGTGGTTTTGCAGCGCGCGGAAGGTCCAGGTCCCAGGCCGGCTATGGCAGATAGATGATCATGGATAGCTTGTCAGGCCTAGGTTTGGCACCGAAGGTGTTGGTGGGACCCATCAGGAAGAGGGATGCGCGCGACGCGATTGCCGGAGAGGCGGTGCACACGCCCATGGTATCTTGGACCGCGTACGCATTTTGCGGCCGGGAGACTGTGCGAGGGGAGATGACAGGGGACATGCCTGCGGGGTGCAGACAGAGCGTGCGGGCGCAGAGGAGGTGGGGCCGTGTGAGCGCAGAGGAGCTGCCAAGGCGGCGTACGTTGGACGTGATTGAGCAACAGGCCATCGTACGATGATGATGCATCGCGAGCAGGAGATGGCATCCACGCAGCGAAGACGTCACATGGGACGCCTTCTGACGGCTCCTGGTGAGGCCCGGAGGTGTTGAGCTTGTGATTGAAGCCTCGGGAGTCGTGTTGAACTCTGAAGCACGGGCCACAGATGGCAGCTGACGTCCCAACAGCGTGGGTGTGGATGCAGGCCTGGCCACGTGTCCGTTTGGGCAAGCGATGATCCCGCTGTGGACAGCAGCAGGAGCGGCGCTGGGACAGACGCGTGCTGCCCGTGATCGGCGTCCATGTCTCTCCTTGCCTTTCCGAGCCGCTGTCACGCGCCCCACGGGGTTCGAGGCTCGACACAGGTACCGACCCCGCGGAGCCTTCCCAGTTCCCGCCCTCTATAACCTGTCCCTATGGCAGTTATAAGCCCCTCCGTCCCACCCTGCGCACCCCTGCTGCCCCCCGCAGACGTTCTTGAAAACAAAACATGATGTTCGTCAAGACGCTCGTCCTCGCCGCCCTCCTCGGCGCCGCCGCCGCGCAGAGCAGCTCGGCCGCCGTGCCCACGAGCACCGCCGGCATCGACCCCTGCATCCTCTCCTGCCTCCAGAGCGCCGTCTCCGCTAACACCTGCTCCAGCGCGTGCGTGCTCCCATTTCTTACCCCTCCTTCTTTCTAGCGCGCCGGCTCACGCACGCATTTTGACTGTTGCGCCCGCCAGCACGGACCTCGCCTGCGTGTGCTCGTCCACCGCGTTCCAGGAGGCGGCCGCCGAGTGCCTCGCGAGCAAGTGCACCACGGCCGAGCAGCAGGCCGCCCTCGCCCTCCAGTCAGCAGAGTGCGCCGCCGGTACGTCCTTGTCCTTACCCCCGTCCTCATCTCCCTCCCCCCGCCCCCCCGCCCCCCACAGCGATACCCTCTCATAGCGCATCACGGCTCATGCTGATCTACGCCCAGTGTCCGCCTCCTCCGGCGCCGCCTCCGCGACCTCTGCTGCGTCGTCAGGCGCATCCTCGGCGTCGTCGGGCGCATCCTCGGCGTCGTCGGGCGCGTCCTCCGGTGCCGCATCCACATCCGCCTCCACCACACCGACGACGAGCAAGAGCGCCGGCGCGGCGGTGCGTCTGGAGCGCGGCGCCGTCGTGGGCGTGCTCGTCGCGCTTGCGGGCGTCGGCGCCGGCGCGGCGCTGGTGCTGTGAGCGGCAGCCGCGCTGGCGATGTCGATGAGGGCGGATGTGACTCGAGAGAGGCTGTGCGCGCAGGACAGCAGCGATGCAGATGCAGACGGAGAGGGAGGCGGAGATCAATTTTAATATCAATATGTGGACGTGGACGTGGATGTGGATATGAAAACGGACGTGGGCCTGGACGTGGATGGCGGGCGCGGGTGCATCATTGCTGTATGTCTGTGTGTATACCAGCTGCCCTGTACCGGCATGTGATATGTGAGGCCTTCGGGATGCAGGATCGTGGGGCGGTGCGCCGTGCTACGTCCTTCTGTGCTGGCATGCTGGCATGCTGGGGCGGCACGCACGCCTGTGCAGGGGGGCCAACGGCCTCTGACTCGTGAGTGGAGGCCACTAAGCGCCCTGGCCAGCCCGCGCGATCGACATTCGACACCCGGCTCGAGCGTCCGTGCACATGCACCTCGCCAATGCAGCGCCGTAGTCTACGATCCAACGCGTCGCCTTACCGTGAGGTCGGTTTCTTTGAGCGGCGCTCTAAATCTGAGTGCGAGGAAGTGGTGGAGGCCGAACCATTTGCTCGCACCCGTCGTGTGGCGCGCTTAAGATGCGCCTGCTACTTTCGCCTTGTCGCTGCGCTATTATCTATACAATGGCAATGGTTGCTTTGGAGAATGCACGCAGAGTTGTACAGTTGCACATGATGGGGAGCATAGTGTAGAGAGGTTTCGACGAGTCTTCACAGCCTGAGGAGAACTGCTAACAAGGTCCAATTGTATAGTAACACAGCCAGTTTGTCGCGACTTGAGGTCAAGCGACAGGGGAAGACCTGAGAGCTGGGGGCGTCCGACTAAATCTCACTGAAGTGATGGTGAGCAGTGCTCAAACCTAAGGCTAGGAACAAGTAAGTTAGTATTGAATAAGTAAGTAAGTACAGGGGCTTACTGACCTAGGGACAAGAGGTCGAAACTGAGGTCCCTAGGGCAGCAGAGGCCGGTTTATATACAGGGGAAGATAAGGGCAGGCTGTGCGTGCTGGTCCGTGCGCAGCTGGTCCGTGCGCAGCTGGTCCGTGCGCAGCATGCTGACACGGCCCCGGGGGCCGGTGAGTCAGAGCGGCTGTGTCAGTGGAGCCCGAGCTGTGCCGCGCACTGCCGTCCTATCTAATCTAATTGTACAGTAGATCACGATGTGTCTGTATCAGGCAGGTAGTACAGAGGTCGCGGGTTCGAGCCCGCAAAAAAGGAAAAAAATAAAAAACAGCTAGGCGCCGTACCAACTCGTGACACAGTTGGTCAACAGACAGCGCAATATGAGACATCTAGTTTTTTGAATACTTGACCATAAATACATGATTGGAAGGAGGTAGCAGGGGATTTCTATATCTTTGAAACAAAGGTCTCTTGCCCAGAATAACATCAAGCACCTGAGTGTGATGTGTCTGAGGCACAGGATGCATGTTGCTTGTGTATGTGTGTACACCCACATGATATTGCCATTATCACTCAACCTGTTAGTAGTCATGACTTGGTATGTGTCGCGACTTGAGGTCAAGCGACAGGGGAAGATCTGAAAGCTGGGGGCGTCCGACTAAATCTCACCGAAGCGATGGTGAGCAGCGCTCAAACCTAAGGCTAGGGACAAGATAGTATATTAGTTAGTTAAGTAAGAAAGGAATACAAAGGGGAGCTTACTGACCTAGGGACAAGAGGTCGAAACTGAGGTCCCTAGGGCAGCAGAGGCCGGCTTATATACATGGGGAGATTAGGGCAGGCTGTGCACGTTGGTCCGTGCGCAGCTGGTCTGTGCGCAGCATGCCGACGCGGCCCCGGGGGCCGGTGAGTCAGAACGGCTGTGTCAGCGGGGCCCGAGCTGTGCCGTGCGCTGCCGCCCCATCTAATCTAATCGTACAGTAGATAGCGACGCGTCCATATCGGGTAGGTAGTACAGAGGTCGCGGGTTCGAGCCCGTGAAA